GCCTTCCAAGTAAGGACCGGAGTCAGACAAGGCTGTTTACTCTCTCCCTTCCTTTGTCTTCTGGTGGTCGACTGGATCATGAGGACCTCGACATCTGAAGGAAAACACGGAATGCATTGGACAGCTCAGAATCAATTAAACGATTCGGACTTCGCAAATGACCTAGCCCTCTTATCGCATACACACGAACAGATGCAGATAAAGACAGCCAGTGTAGCAGCAGTTTCTGCATCAGTAGGCCTCAACATACACAAGGAGAAAACCAAGTTCCCCAAATACAACACGGAGAACAGCAATCCAATCACTCTTGATGGTGAAACTCTGGAAGATGTAGAATCCTTCACATATCTGGGAAGCATCATCGATGAACAAGGAGGTTCAGATGCAGAGGTAAATGCAACGATTGATAAATCAAGGGTCACATTCCTTTAGTTGAAGAACATATGAAACTTAAAACAACTTTCAACCAATATCAAAGTCAGAATCTTCAATACCAACGTCAAGGTAATTCTACTGTACGGAGCTGAAACTTGGAGAGCTACAACAACCACAATCAAGAAGGTGCAAGTATTTATGAATGGTTGTCTAAGCAAGATAATCAACATCCATTGGCCGGATACCATCAGCAACAGCTCTTTATGGGAGAGAACAAACCAGCTTCCAGCTGAAGAGGAGATCAGGAAAAGACGATGGGTGTGGATAGGACATACATTACGCAAATCGTCAAACCGCATCACGAGACAAGCCCTAACTTTGAATCCTTAAGGGAAGCGGAAAAGAGGAAGGCCAAAGAACACATTGCGTCGGATAATAGAAGCAGATATAAAAAGGATGAATTACAACTGGAAGGAGCTGGAAAGGATTGTGCACGACAAGGTTGGATGGAGAATGCTGGTGAGCGGCCTATGCTCCTTCACGAGGAGTAACAACAGGCGTAAGTAAGTACGTCTGCAACTTTACACTTCACTTTTTTCCCATTAGGTCATATATGATTGGTTGTGTTGCAATTCACAACATAGTGCACGTAGCTTCTTGAATTCCGATTCAATTTAGTAATCATAGTTCACCTGAGTTCTACCCACATATTAAACGCACTTATTTTTTTCCACTGCAAATGATCAGGATTTTTTAAACACCTGTTGCAAGTTCTGCTGCTCCACATTTTCTCTTATTACTTTTTAAACAGCACCACGATTGCAACACATTACTATGTGACTTCTACCCGACCTGTATGACGTGGAGTTTTTGGGATAGTTTGTGAACATAGTAAACTCAATGTAAGGTGCCACCACACTGACCTTTTTTGATAGTTGGTCTATGTACATATGGATATTTTGCCAAACAATTCCACTGATGTAATCTAGTTAATGACCATAACAGGGTGGTGTTTTATTTGTAATTAGAATCACGTCTGTAAAAATAGTCATTCTTACGTTATGACTAAATGGTTGATATTTAATAGAAATCTGATGAAGAAAAAAGTGGCAAATTTTCAGCGTTTTGACACAATGTTTGTTTATTGCATTGGATCGTTCATCAGACAAACATTTTGCCATTTGATTCGGCTTCTCAAATACTATTTAGACTCATTTCAGATACATCACACTTCACATCTTATTTTATATTCACCAGTGTATCTGTAGTCTTTTGACTTTACTTTGTTCTGGTGATGGCAACTACGTGACCTTAACCTAATGATTACGCATACCCTTATTCGTTCTACTGTACTTATTTAAACATCCTTGAGGACAAATATCTATCCACAATGACGTTCGTCTCTTCTTTTATGTTCAGCAATATGTTCGTACCGTGCAAATATGGAGTTTCTACCTTAACCTGGACCATGCTGTTGGTATGAGCAATTACGAAGTTCATAATTTACATCAATTGCCTCTTCTCTGTTTGATTTATAGTAACCACAAACTTATTATCTAGTTTCATCACTGAAATATATACAGTAGTTAGCTGATATACCTCATTGAATATTTCGTTGTAAAATTTTCTTGATTTATTAATGTACTCTTTCTAACAATGCCACTGTGGTAGTATCTTATATGTAATCCTCTGTCTTGCATTGTTGGTTATGCTCATAAAAATGGTTTGTGGCTGCTATCTCATGAATGAACTATTATTATGTTGTTATCTGTTTTCGAATTTCGTTGTTGTTCAAGCAACTGAATCAGCAGGTATGTTTCTGGTAAAATTTCATTCATTTTGTTGTTGTTGTAGTAGCCCAATTGACTTTCCGTCTAACTAAAACTACGCTAACAACCGAAAAACAAAGTACAAACGTAACTGTCGACTTGAAGGTGGGTGTGACTCATTTTTGATACGGTTGCGAGTTTTATTTCATACTGATGAGTCTCATCAAAAGAAAGCCAATACTCTTCTCTTTTTACTTAACGGAATCGTGATGTGCTTCTATCACCCTGCACAATCAAATCATAAGCAATTCAGAAAGGTATCATCGCCTATTTATGATATATTAAGATCAAAGTTAGGCATTTTTGATCTCAGTAAACTTGACAGTGACTTCATTCAGGAAAAAATTTGACCACTGAAACTTACTGACATCTTCTTGAATCACTACTGAAAGGCGGTTGTTGTTGATAGGATACGTACGTTAATGGGATCATTTCACATAAACGAAACACAAGAGGAGTTTGTTCCATAAATACATTAATTTGGTACATTGGTTTCAGATTCATTTAAAATAACAAAATCAGTGATGAGTCTGTCTTATTATTGCAAAGGGGTTTGCTTTTCATGTTCCAGAGATTATTGAGCTGCTCAGTGGCTACGGAATGTCATGATATGATCCCTTAAGAGTCAGCGCTACGTCTTCTTCTCTTTTTCATTTATGTAAATGAAATGGGATGTGATTCGACTTCGATAAAAAATTTACTCTTAACATTTTAATGTGTAAGGTGTTTCGTTTGAGATATGTTGCAGACTGCACATACAAGCAAGGTTATTCCCCTCTAGAGGTTACCTAGGTTGAAAAATATCTACTGGTCTCGGTGCTCTACGGTTAAAAGTCTCATAATAACTGCGATGGAAATGTCTTTTGAACAAATCTTACACTGCAACTGTGAAGCGTATTTTGACAGTAAGGCTTTCCAATTAGTCGTCGAAATTTTTATTTTGCTTCGTTTATAATACAGGAATGGCGCTTTTCCTCTTCCGCTCCAAACGGATATTTATACTTCTGTAAAGTGTGATCGGTGAACGGACTCTCCAGTGATGACATGGAACTCTCACCACCACATTAACTTCGTTTGATCTTGTATGACTACACCTTGTTTATTCACCAATCACAATTTTATGTCCATCGAAAAATAATGTTCGCTTTGTTGACATACTTTTCCTATCCTGTAGTTAGTCTTGAGTATGTTATTTATGACTCTCTGTTTCCCTGTTTAGTAGACTTTTGCTTATTTATATACTAACGGTGTTAATTCGCGTTTTAGAAGTAGATAAAGTTCATCGACCCAGATAGCTTACTTGTCCTAACTTTGGCTAAGCTAAGACTCTGTGCTCGACAGTCTAGAGAATAGTTCGGAATTACACCTGTAAGAAATTACTGATTAAAAATTTTCGAACAGTAAATTCGATATACTTACTGAACTGACTTCCAATAAGTATTACAGTTCTGATGAGATTTATGAGTTATTACCCCATCATCTGGGAGATTATGACGAAGACCAACTTGAAACTGATGAACCCAAAACCAGTGGTCTGATAGAACTTCAGTTAGCTAGGTTAGATATAACCCAATCGGAGGAAGAAATTGAACTAGAAAAGTTACATCGCCAGGGAAGTGAAGGTTACGACCAATCAGTAAGCAACGGCGAGAATGCAATATTAGAAAAGCTGTAATTACCAAAGAGAGAGATCTTGAGATTTGATGGTGCACCTCTACTTACTTACTTTCGCCTGTTACTCCTAATGGAGCATAGGCCGCCGACCAGCATTCTCCAGCCCATTAGAATGTTATAAAAAATTTCGAATAAAATGCATCCGGAGTGAGAATATTGGATTTAGAGCTAGGTTGAATTACTCGATTCAATACTGTGACGCGGAGATCAAGAGCCACTATCCATCATTGTACTATGCTTGAACCGGAGATAGGTCATCGTTATTCACTAAAGCACACACGTTTATCGACAATTCGTTAAACCTTCGCGATATAAGAAAGAATCAACCAGGTGGTTTGAGAAGATTGTCTCGAGAAATGCAAGTGGTCTGACTCTCTGACTTTCCCTCTTCCAGAACTATTGAAACTATGATTCTGAAGTTACAAACGCATGTTCAACAAAAGTGGCGAAAGGTAGCTTATAAGATTATCAGAGGAGGTCGAGAACCTCTGTTTGCTGATATTACTGAGTTTGTAAGGGAATAGTATCATTGGGGATACTGGTGGTTTAAATGTAAATATTGGTTCAGATTATAAAGCAGCGAAGATATTGTATGTGAGTACTAGTGATGACGACGTTTCCTTATGTAGTTCATCTTGTTTGGAGGGCTCAAGGAATCATTTGTTTAGATCGATGCCAGAAGTTTAAAGTTAAGAATGTTAGATTAAGTAAGAAATTTGTTCTTAGGCACAAGCTACGTAATGTTTGTTTGAAGGTAAACCATGTATCAAAACTGTCGATCATCAAGAGCGTGCACTGTTGAAGGGTGTGGTTGGCGTCATCAGTCTAGAGGCAACATCCAAAAACTAGATGCACATCAAAGCCCACTTAATCGCAGGCACGCCTTCCATACTCTGCGAGTAGCCTAAAACTGGAACTATTTAGACCATTTGTATCAGATTATTTTGCATAGTAGAAAAAAACGAAGTTGCTAATTTGTCTAAGCATCCGATACCAACTCATTATGAAGGGAGAGGGTTCCTTTAAAACATATGTTTTGTGATATTGACCTGAAACGGGACACCCATATTCCCTTTTTTTCTGGCAATCAGCCTTTCTGTCATCTGGTGTGTTTTAATGTTCATATGAGTGAGGAGGGCACTTTAAAGTGTTATGCGTGGTTTCGCGTTTGGGCTGACGGTATGTGGTTTTTGTGTTTGGTTCACCGGTTAGTAAAGTGTACAGTATATATGCTTATTGAACTATTAGCGATTCTAATAGCGACTCTTCCTGTGATTATTACGAGACGTTTTTTCTCCATGTAAAGCTCATGTGTGTTCCTAAGCCGAAAATTTTGTAGGTTGTAGTTCACATACCAACAAGACACTAAATTACTGTATCCAAAACTCTAATCATATACAAAAATGACTGCATAGGTGTATCACCTGTTTTTTCTGCATAACGGTTTGACTTTTGGAGTAGTCCTAGCTATTTGTAGTAAGTCGGTGGTCTCATATCAGCGAAACTAAAGGAGCTAGAAGTTGAATTCGTAATCTGATATAGGAGATTGCCTACGAAATAAAAAATATTTGTCTCAATCTTCAAGTTATAGGGAAAGCAAACAAAAAATTACTTCGAGATGAGATCTGTCGAGAATTCGGTATCAGTTCTTGGGCCGAAGCAAGAATATCACATGCAGTCAATTACGGACTGGGTATATTCATCCGAACCTAGACTCACAGTTACATCTTTCTGCCCATTTTACCAACCTTGAAGCTCTTCTGAATTCCAATTTTGTCAAAAATATATTAGTGGACACAAAAATGTGACGTGCCGAAAATCAAGAGATAAAGTTTATTGCGTCCGTGTCATAGCACTAGTTCGCGCTCAATAGGATATACTCCAAAGGATATTGCCATTTAGCAATAGTACCTTCATGTTTTAATGGTTAGATCACTCCGCTTCTATCCCTTGGAGCTGATTCGTCATTTCAAGTAATTAGTCGGTGTATACACTCCCTGTCTTCCTTTAAACTAAGAGATTAAAATCGCTTCATATCTTTCTTTCTACGAACCAATTTTTTCTTCTTGTACTATATCTCTATATGCAACCACCTGCTGTCTTGAATAATTATTTTAAATAAACGTACAAGAAGTAAGCTTGTAAATAGTACCTTAAAGTAGGAAGCCTCTACTCAGGGTGTTTAACGATAAGAAGTAAATAGCTGAGAATAAATTATCACTTTTGTCACGTATAATGCTTGACTTACTATAAACCTCATCAATTTTAATTAAAACCTTTAACAATATAGAAAAGGCAAATAGCAATTAGAACACAATAAATCCCAGGAGAGCTGGAGCCTTAAATATGGGTGGAAAAAATCAGTGTGAAGGTGAAGAGAACAGTCACAATAAAACATCTGAACATACGACACCAACTAAAAAATTCATATTGAAAAATTCGCGTACGACTAGTCTCAATAGAAAGAGTGAACCTAAACCGCAGACGAATGAACGTAATATCGACTTTAATAACATCAAAGGGAATATACAACATAAATTAGAAACTTTATCAGAACAAGAAAGCAAACACAAAAACAGGCATACAGACAGGACTGAAAAGTATACGTCGTCGACTTCGGACTCTGACTCTAGTGATGACGAGCAGCCGGCGAGTAAGAAGCCTGCGTTGGTGAAGGCGTCTCCATCTGTGGGCAAGGCTGTTAGTGGTGTAGTTGCTGGTGGTAAGAAGGTGGTCGGGAAGCCTGCGTCGTCGAGTTCCGACTCGGATTCGAGTGATGAGGGTAATGCTGGATCAGCGAAGAAGCCTGTTGGTGTAGTTGTTAGTGGTGTTAAGACAGGGATGGGAGTTGTCCCACAAGGTGCTGCTCAGTCTGTGCAGAAGAAGAAAGTTGCGGCCGCTCCGTCGAGCTCGGACTCTGATTCTAGTGATGACGAGCAGCCGGCGAGTAAGAAGCCTGCGTTGGTGAAGGCGTCTCCATCTGTGGGCAAGGCTGTTAGTGGTGTAGTTGCTGGTGGTAAGAAGGTGGTCGGGAAGCCTGCGTCGTCGAGTTCCGACTCGGATTCGAGTGATGAGGGTAATGCTGGATCAGCGAAGAAGCCTGTTGGTGTAGTTGTTAGTGGTGTTAAGACAGGGATGGGAGTTGTCCCACAAGGTGCTGCTCAGTCTGTGCAGAAGAAGAAAGTTGCGGCCGCTCCGTCGAGCTCGGACTCTGATTCTAGTGATGACGAGCAGCCGGCGAGTAAGAAGCCTGCGTTGGTGAAGGCGTCTCCATCTGTGGGCAAGGCTGTTAGTGGTGTAGTTGCTGGTGGTAAGAAGGTGGTCGGGAAGCCTGGGTCGTCGAGTTCCGACTCGGATTCGAGTGATGAGGGTAATGCTGGATCAGCGAAGAAGCCTGTTGGTGTAGTTGTTAGTGGTGTTAAGACAGGGATGGGAGTTGTCCCACAAGGTGCTGCTCAGTCTGTGCAGAAGAAGAAAGTTGCGGCCGCTCCGTCGAGCTCGGACTCTGATTCTAGTGATGACGAGCAGCCGGCGAGTAAGAAGCCTGCGTTGGTGAAGGCGTCTCCATCTGTGGGCAAGGCTGTTAGTGGTGTAGTTGCTGGTGGTAAGAAGGTGGTCGGGAAGCCTGCGTCGTCGAGTTCCGACTCGGATTCGAGTGATGAGGGTAATGCTGGATCAGCGAAGAAGCCTGTTGGTGTAGTTGTTAGTGGTGTTAAGACAGGGATGGGAGTTGTCCCACAAGGTGCTGCTCAGTCTGTGCAGAAGAAGAAAGTTGCGGCCGCTCCGTCGAGCTCGGACTCTGATTCTAGTGATGACGAGCAGCCGGCGAGTAAGAAGCCTGCGTTGGTGAAGGCGTCTCCATCTGTGGGCAAGGCTGTTAGTGGTGTAGTTGCTGGTGGTAAGAAGGTGGTCGGGAAGCCTGCGTCGTCGAGTTCCGACTCGGATTCGAGTGATGAGGGTAATGCTGGATCAGCGAAGAAGCCTGTTGGTGTAGTTGTTAGTGGTGTTAAGACAGGGATGGGAGTTGTCCCACAAGGTGCTGCTCAGTCTGTGCAGAAGAAGAAAGTTGCGGCCGCTCCGTCGAGCTCGGACTCTGATTCTAGTGATGACGAGCAGCCGGCGAGTAAGAAGCCTGCGTTGGTGAAGGCGTCTCCATCTGTGGGCAAGGCTGTTAGTGGTGTAGTTGCTGGTGGTAAGAAGGTGGTCGGGAAGCCTGCGTCGTCGAGTTCCGACTCGGATTCGAGTGATGAGGGTAATGCTGGATCAGCGAAGAAGCCTGTTGGTGTAGTTGTTAGTGGTGTTAAGACAGGGATGGGAGTTGTCCCACAAGGTGCTGCTCAGTCTGTGCAGAAGAAGAAAGTTGCGGCCGCTCCGTCGAGCTCGGACTCTGATTCTAGTGATGACGAGCAGCCGGCGAGTAAGAAGCCTGCGTTGGTGAAGGCGTCTCCATCTGTGGGCAAGGCTGTTAGTGGTGTAGTTGCTGGTGGTAAGAAGGTGGTCGGGAAGCCTGCGTCGTCGAGTTCCGACTCGGATTCGAGTGATGAGGGTAATGCTGGATCAGCGAAGAAGCCTGTTGGTGTAGTTGTTAGTGGTGTTAAGACAGGGATGGGAGTTGTCCCACAAGGTGCTGCTCAGTCTGTGCAGAAGAAGAAAGTTGCGGCCGCTCCGTCGAGCTCGGACTCTGATTCTAGTGATGACGAGCAGCCGGCGAGTAAGAAGCCTGCGTTGGTGAAGGCGTCTCCATCTGTGGGCAAGGCTGTTAGTGGTGTAGTTGCTGGTGGTAAGAAGGTGGTCGGGAAGCCTGCGTCGTCGAGTTCCGACTCGGATTCGAGTGATGAGGGTAATGCTGGATCAGCGAAGAAGCCTGTTGGTGTAGTTGTTAGTGGTGTTAAGACAGGGATGGGAGTTGTCCCACAAGGTGCTGCTCAGTCTGTGCAGAAGAAGAAAGTTGCGGCCGCTCCGTCGAGCTCGGACTCTGATTCTAGTGATGACGAGCAGCCGGCGAGTAAGAAGCCTGCGTTGGTGAAGGCGTCTCCATCTGTGGGCAAGGCTGTTAGTGGTGTAGTTGCTGGTGGTAAGAAGGTGGTCGGGAAGCCTGGGTCGTCGAGTTCCGACTCGGATTCGAGTGATGAGGGTAATGCTGGATCAGCGAAGAAGCCTGTTGGTGTAGTTGTTAGTGGTGTTAAGACAGGGATGGGAGTTGTCCCACAAGGTGCTGCTCAGTCTGTGCAGAAGAAGAAAGTTGCGGCCGCTCCGTCGAGCTCGGACTCTGATTCTAGTGATGACGAGCAGCCGGCGAGTAAGAAGCCTGCGTTGGTGAAGGCGTCTCCATCTGTGGGCAAGGCTGTTAGTGGTGTAGTTGCTGGTGGTAAGAAGGTGGTCGGGAAGCCTGGGTCGTCGAGTTCCGACTCGGATTCGAGTGATGAGGGTAATGCTGGATCAGCGAAGAAGCCTGTTGGTGTAGTTGTTAGTGGTGTTAAGACAGGGATGGGAGTTGTCCCACAAGGTGCTGCTCAGTCTGTGCAGAAGAAGAAAGTTGCGGCCGCTCCGTCGAGCTCGGACTCTGATTCTAGTGATGACGAGCAGCCGGCGAGTAAGAAGCCTGCGTTGGTGAAGGCGTCTCCATCTGTGGGCAAGGCTGTTAGTGGTGTAGTTGCTGGTGGTAAGAAGGTGGTCGGGAAGCCTGCGTCGTCGAGTTCCGACTCGGATTCGAGTGATGAGGGTAATGCTGGATCAGCGAAGAAGCCTGTTGGTGTAGTTGTTAGTGGTGTTAAGACAGGGATGGGAGTTGTCCCACAAGGTGCTGCTCAGTCTGTGCAGAAGAAGAAAGTTGCGGCCGCTCCGTCGAGCTCGGACTCTGATTCTAGTGATGACGAGCAGCCGGCGAGTAAGAAGCCTGCGTTGGTGAAGGCGTCTCCATCTGTGGGCAAGGCTGTTAGTGGTGTAGTTGCTGGTGGTAAGAAGGTGGTCGGGAAGCCTGCGTCGTCGAGTTCCGACTCGGATTCGAGTGATGAGGGTAATGCTGGATCAGCGAAGAAGCCTGTTGGTGTAGTTGTTAGTGGTGTTAAGACAGGGATGGGAGTTGTCCCACAAGGTGCTGCTCAGTCTGTGCAGAAGAAGAAAGTTGCGGCCGCTCCGTCGAGCTCGGACTCTGATTCTAGTGATGACGAGCAGCCGGCGAGTAAGAAGCCTGCGTTGGTGAAGGCGTCTCCATCTGTGGGCAAGGCTGTTAGTGGTGTAGTTGCTGGTGGTAAGAAGGTGGTCGGGAAGCCTGCGTCGTCGAGTTCCGACTCGGATTCGAGTGATGAGGGTAATGCTGGATCAGCGAAGAAGCCTGTTGGTGTAGTTGTTAGTGGTGTTAAGACAGGGATGGGAGTTGTCCCACAAGGTGCTGCTCAGTCTGTGCAGAAGAAGAAAGTTGCGGCCGCTCCGTCGAGCTCGGACTCTGATTCTAGTGATGACGAGCAGCCGGCGAGTAAGAAGCCTGCGTTGGTGAAGGCGTCTCCATCTGTGGGCAAGGCTGTTAGTGGTGTAGTTGCTGGTGGTAAGAAGGTGGTCGGGAAGCCTGCGTCGTCGAGTTCCGACTCGGATTCGAGTGATGAGGGTAATGCTGGATCAGCGAAGAAGCCTGTTGGTGTAGTTGTTAGTGGTGTTAAGACAGGGATGGGAGTTGTCCCACAAGGTGCTGCTCAGTCTGTGCAGAAGAAGAAAGTTGCGGCCGCTCCGTCGAGCTCGGACTCTGATTCTAGTGATGACGAGCAGCCGGCGAGTAAGAAGCCTGCGTTGGTGAAGGCGTCTCCATCTGTGGGCAAGGCTGTTAGTGGTGTAGTTGCTGGTGGTAAGAAGGTGGTCGGGAAGCCTGCGTCGTCGAGTTCCGACTCGGATTCGAGTGATGAGGGTAATGCTGGATCAGCGAAGAAGCCTGTTGGTGTAGTTGTTAGTGGTGTTAAGACAGGGATGGGAGTTGTCCCACAAGGTGCTGCTCAGTCTGTGCAGAAGAAGAAAGTTGCGGCCGCTCCGTCGAGCTCGGACTCTGATTCTAGTGATGACGAGCAGCCGGCGAGTAAGAAGCCTGCGTTGGTGAAGGCGTCTCCATCTGTGGGCAAGGCTGTTAGTGGTGTAGTTGCTGGTGGTAAGAAGGTGGTCGGGAAGCCTGCGTCGTCGAGTTCCGACTCGGATTCGAGTGATGAGGGTAATGCTGGATCAGCGAAGAAGCCTGTTGGTGTAGTTGTTAGTGGTGTTAAGACAGGGATGGGAGTTGTCCCACAAGGTGCTGCTCAGTCTGTGCAGAAGAAGAAAGTTGCGGCCGCTCCGTCGAGCTCGGACTCTGATTCTAGTGATGACGAGCAGCCGGCGAGTAAGAAGCCTGCGTTGGTGAAGGCGTCTCCATCTGTGGGCAAGGCTGTTAGTGGTGTAGTTGCTGGTGGTAAGAAGGTGGTCGGGAAGCCTGCGTCGTCGAGTTCCGACTCGGATTCGAGTGATGAGGGTAATGCTGGATCAGCGAAGAAGCCTGTTGGTGTAGTTGTTAGTGGTGTTAAGACAGGGATGGGAGTTGTCCCACAAGGTGCTGCTCAGTCTGTGCAGAAGAAGAAAGTTGCGGCCGCTCCGTCGAGCTCGGACTCTGATTCTAGTGATGACGAGCAGCCGGCGAGTAAGAAGCCTGCGTTGGTGAAGGCGTCTCCATCTGTGGGCAAGGCTGTTAGTGGTGTAGTTGCTGGTGGTAAGAAGGTGGTCGGGAAGCCTGCGTCGTCGAGTTCCGACTCGGATTCGAGTGATGAGGGTAATGCTGGATCAGCGAAGAAGCCTGTTGGTGTAGTTGTTAGTGGTGTTAAGACAGGGATGGGAGTTGTCCCACAAGGTGCTGCTCAGTCTGTGCAGAAGAAGAAAGTTGCGGCCGCTCCGTCGAGCTCGGACTCTGATTCTAGTGATGACGAGCAGCCGGCGAGTAAGAAGCCTGCGTTGGTGAAGGCGTCTCCATCTGTGGGCAAGGCTGTTAGTGGTGTAGTTGCTGGTGGTAAGAAGGTGGTCGGGAAGCCTGCGTCGTCGAGTTCCGACTCGGATTCGAGTGATGAGGGTAATGCTGGATCAGCGAAGAAGCCTGTTGGTGTAGTTGTTAGTGGTGTTAAGACAGGGATGGGAGTTGTCCCACAAGGTGCTGCTCAGTCTGTGCAGAAGAAGAAAGTTGCGGCCGCTCCGTCGAGCTCGGACTCTGATTCTAGTGATGACGAGCAGCCGGCGAGTAAGAAGCCTGCGTTGGTGAAGGCGTCTCCATCTGTGGGCAAGGCTGTTAGTGGTGTAGTTGCTGGTGGTAAGAAGGTGGTCGGGAAGCCTGCGTCGTCGAGTTCCGACTCGGATTCGAGTGATGAGGGTAATGCTGGATCAGCGAAGAAGCCTGTTGGTGTAGTTGTTAGTGGTGTTAAGACAGGGATGGGAGTTGTCCCACAAGGTGCTGCTCAGTCTGTGCAGAAGAAGAAAGTTGCGGCCGCTCCGTCGAGCTCGGACTCTGATTCTAGTGATGACGAGCAGCCGGCGAGTAAGAAGCCTGCGTTGGTGAAGGCGTCTCCATCTGTGGGCAAGGCTGTTAGTGGTGTAGTTGCTGGTGGTAAGAAGGTGGTCGGGAAGCCTGCGTCGTCGAGTTCCGACTCGGATTCGAGTGATGAGGGTAATGCTGGATCAGCGAAGAAGCCTGTTGGTGTAGTTGTTAGTGGTGTTAAGACAGGGATGGGAGTTGTCCCACAAGGTGCTGCTCAGTCTGTGCAGAAGAAGAAAGTTGCGGCCGCTCCGTCGAGCTCGGACTCTGATTCTAGTGATGACGAGCAGCCGGCGAGTAAGAAGCCTGCGTTGGTGAAGGCGTCTCCATCTGTGGGCAAGGCTGTTAGTGGTGTAGTTGCTGGTGGTAAGAAGGTGGTCGGGAAGCCTGCGTCGTCGAGTTCCGACTCGGATTCGAGTGATGAGGGTAATGCTGGATCAGCGAAGAAGCCTGTTGGTGTAGTTGTTAGTGGTGTTAAGACAGGGATGGGAGTTGTCCCACAAGGTGCTGCTCAGTCTGTGCAGAAGAAGAAAGTTGCGGCCGCTCCGTCGAGCTCGGACTCTGATTCTAGTGATGACGAGCAGCCGGCGAGTAAGAAGCCTGCGTTGGTGAAGGCGTCTCCATCTGTGGGCAAGGCTGTTAGTGGTGTAGTTGCTGGTGGTAAGAAGGTGGTCGGGAAGCCTGCGTCGTCGAGTTCCGACTCGGATTCGAGTGATGAGGGTAATGCTGGATCAGCGAAGAAGCCTGTTGGTGTAGTTGTTAGTGGTGTTAAGACAGGGATGGGAGTTGTCCCACAAGGTGCTGCTCAGTCTGTGCAGAAGAAGAAAGTTGCGGCCGCTCCGTCGAGCTCGGACTCTGATTCTAGTGATGACGAGCAGCCGGCGAGTAAGAAGCCTGCGTTGGTGAAGGCGTCTCCATCTGTGGGCAAGGCTGTTAGTGGTGTAGTTGCTGGTGGTAAGAAGGTGGTCGGGAAGCCTGCGTCGTCGAGTTCCGACTCGGATTCGAGTGATGAGGGTAATGCTGGATCAGCGAAGAAGCCTGTTGGTGTAGTTGTTAGTGGTGTTAAGACAGGGATGGGAGTTGTCCCACAAGGTGCTGCTCAGTCTGTGCAGAAGAAGAAAGTTGCGGCCGCTCCGTCGAGCTCGGACTCTGATTCTAGTGATGACGAGCAGCCGGCGAGTAAGAAGCCTGCGTTGGTGAAGGCGTCTCCATCTGTGGGCAAGGCTGTTAGTGGTGTAGTTGCTGGTGGTAAGAAGGTGGTCGGGAAGCCTGCGTCGTCGAGTTCCGACTCGGATTCGAGTGATGAGGGTAATGCTGGATCAGCGAAGAAGCCTGTTGGTGTAGTTGTTAGTGGTGTTAAGACAGGGATGGGAGTTGTCCCACAAGGTGCTGCTCAGTCTGTGCAGAAGAAGAAAGTTGCGGCCGCTCCGTCGAGCTCGGACTCTGATTCTAGTGATGACGAGCAGCCGGCGAGTAAGAAGCCTGCGTTGGTGAAGGCGTCTCCATCTGTGGGCAAGGCTGTTAGTGGTGTAGTTGCTGGTGGTAAGAAGGTGGTCGGGAAGCCTGCGTCGTCGAGTTCCGACTCGGATTCGAGTGATGAGGGTAATGCTGGATCAGCGAAGAAGCCTGTTGGTGTAGTTGTTAGTGGTGTTAAGACAGGGATGGGAGTTGTCCCACAAGGTGCTGCTCAGTCTGTGCAGAAGAAGAAAGTTGCGGCCGCTCCGTCGAGCTCGGACTCTGATTCTAGTGATGACGAGCAGCCGGCGAGTAAGAAGCCTGCGTTGGTGAAGGCGTCTCCATCTGTGGGCAAGGCTGTTAGTGGTGTAGTTGCTGGTGGTAAGAAGGTGGTCGGGAAGCCTGCGTCGTCGAGTTCCGACTCGGATTCGAGTGATGAGGGTAATGCTGGATCAGCGAAGAAGCCTGTTGGTGTAGTTGTTAGTGGTGTTAAGACAGGGATGGGAGTTGTCCCACAAGGTGCTGCTCAGTCTGTGCAGAAGAAGAAAGTTGCGGCCGCTCCGTCGAGCTCGGACTCTGATTCTAGTGATGACGAGCAGCCGGCGAGTAAGAAGCCTGCGTTGGTGAAGGCGTCTCCATCTGTGGGCAAGGCTGTTAGTGGTGTAGTTGCTGGTGGTAAGAAGGTGGTCGGGAAGCCTGGGTCGTCGAGTTCCGACTCGGATTCGAGTGATGAGGGTAATGCTGGATCAGCGAAGAAGCCTGTTGGTGTAGTTGTTAGTGGTGTTAAGACAGGGATGGGAGTTGTCCCACAAGGTGCTGCTCAGTCTGTGCAGAAGAAGAAAGTTGCGGCCGCTCCGTCGAGCTCGGACTCTGATTCTAGTGATGACGAGCAGCCGGCGAGTAAGAAGCCTGCGTTGGTGAAGGCGTCTCCATCTGTGGGCAAGGCTGTTAGTGGTGTAGTTGCTGGTGGTAAGAAGGTGGTCGGGAAGCCTGCGTCGTCGAGTTCCGACTCGGATTCGAGTGATGAGGGTAATGCTGGATCAGCGAAGAAGCCTGTTGGTGTAGTTGTTAGTGGTGTTAAGACAGGGATGGGAGTTGTCCCACAAGGTGCTGCTCAGTCTGTGCAGAAGAAGAAAGTTGCGGCCGCTCCGTCGAGCTCGGACTCTGATTCTAGTGATGACGAGCAGCCGGCGAGTAAGAAGCCTGCGTTGGTGAAGGCGTCTCCATCTGTGGGCAAGGCTGTTAGTGGTGTAGTTGCTGGTGGTAAGAAGGTGGTCGGGAAGCCTGCGTCGTCGAGTTCCGACTCGGATTCGAGTGATGAGGGTAATGCTGGATCAGCGAAGAAGCCTGTTGGTGTAGTTGTTAGTGGTGTTAAGGCAGGGATGGGAGTTGTCCCACAAGGTGCTGCTCAGTCTGTGCAGAAGAAGAAAGTTGCGGCCGCTCCGTCGAGCTCGGACTCTGATTCTAGTGATGACGAGCAGCCGGCGAGTAAGAAGCCTGCGTTGGTGAAGGCGTCTCCATCTGTGGGCAAGGCTGTTAGTGGTGTAGTTGCTGGTGGTAAGAAGGTGGTCGGGAAGCCTGCGTCGTCGAGTTCCGACTCGGATTCGAGTGATGAGGGTAATGCTGGATCAGCGAAGAAGCCTGTTGGTGTAGTTGTTAGTGGTGTTAAGACAGGGATGGGAGTTGTCCCACAAGGTGCTGCTCAGTCTGTGCAGAAGAAGAAAGTTGCGGCCGCTCCGTCGAGCTCGGACTCTGATTCTAGTGATGACGAGCAGCCGGCGAGTAAGAAGCCTGCGTTGGTGAAGGCGTCTCCATCTGTGGGCAAGGCTGTTAGTGGTGTAGTTGCTGGTGGTAAGAAGGTGGTCGGGAAGCCTGGGTCGTCGAGTTCCGACTCGGATTCGAGTGATGAGGGTAATGCTGGATCAGCGAAGAAGCCTGTTGGTGTAGTTGTTAGTGGTGTTAAGACAGGGATGGGAGTTGTCCCACAAGGTGCTGCTCAGTCTGTGCAGAAGAAGAAAGTTGCGGCCGCTCCGTCGAGCTCGGACTCTGATTCTAGTGATGACGAGCAGCCGGCGAGTAAGAAGCCTGCGTTGGTGAAGGCGTCTCCATCTGTGGGCAAGGCTGTTAGTGGTGTAGTTGCTGGTGGTAAGAAGGTGGTCGGGAAGCCTGCGTCGTCGAGTTCCGACTCGGATTCGAGTGATGAGGGTAATGCTGGATCAGCGAAGAAGCCTGTTGGTGTAGTTGTTAGTGGTGTTAAGACAGGGATGGGAGTTGTCCCACAAGGTGCTGCTCAGTCTGTGCAGAAGAAGAAAGTTGCGGCCGCTCCGTCGAGCTCGGACTCTGATTCTAGTGATGACGAGCAGCCGGCGAGTAAGAAGCCTGCGTTGGTGAAGGCGTCTCCATCTGTGGGCAAGGCTGTTAGTGGTGTAGTTGCTGGTGGTAAGAAGGTGGTCGGGAAGCCTGCGTCGTCGAGTTCCGACTCGGATTCGAGTGATGAGGGTAATGCTGGATCAGCGAAGAAGCCTGTTGGTGTAGTTGTTAGTGGTGTTAAGACAGGGATGGGAGTTGTCCCACAAGGTGCTGCTCAGTCTGTGCAGAAGAAGAAAGTTGCGGCCGCTCCGTCGAGCTCGGACTCTGATTCTAGTGATGACGAGCAGCCGGCGAGTAAGAAGCCTGCGTTGGTGAAGGCGTCTCCATCTGTGGGCAAGGCTGTTAGTGGTGTAGTTGCTGGTGGTAAGAAGGTGGTCGGGAAGCCTGCGTCGTCGAGTTCCGACTCGGATTCGAGTGATGAGGGTAATGCTGGATCAGCGAAGAAGCCTGTTAGTGTAGTTGTTAGTGGTGTTAAGACAGGGATGGGAGTTGTCCCACAAGGTGCTGCTCAGTCTGTGCAGAAGAAGAAAGTTGCGGCCGCTCCGTCGAGCTCGGACTCTGATTCTAGTGATGACGAGCAGCCGGCGAGTAAGAAGCCTGCGTTGGTGAAGGCGTCTCCATCTGTGGGCAAGGCTGTTAGTGGTGTAGTTGCTGGTGGTAAGAAGGTGGTCGGGAAGCCTGGGTCGTCGAGTTCCGACTCGGATTCGAGTGATGAGGGTAATGCTGGATCAGCGAAGAAGCCTGTTGGTGTAGTTGTTAGTGGTGTTAAGACAGGGATGGGAGTTGTCCCACAAGGTGCTGCTCAGTCTGTGCAGAAGAAGAAAGTTGCGGCCGCTCCGTCGAGCTCGGACTCTGATTCTAGTGATGACGAGCAGCCGGCGAGTAAGAAGCCTGCGTTGGTGAAGGCGTCTCCATCTGCGGGTAAGGCTGTTTGTCGTGTGGTTAATGGTCATGATAATTTTGTGGAGAAATCGAATTTTGGTGTTGGTGATGGTCCTGTGCGTCGTGATTTGTTGGATCATTCGTGCAGTCGTAAACGCCGTTTCTCGTTTGTTGATTCCGGTGATTTTAAGAAAAGGAGTTCGGTTAGTTCTTCTACTGATAATCTTGTATCGGTTACTAAAACGTCTTTCACTGATTCTAACACTCCTTTTCGTCGCGTTGAGGAGAAGGATGTATTTGTCCATCCCAATCTGCGGGACAATTCGTTCGAGGCGAAGGTAATTTTATGTTTTGCTCGTGTTTGCGTTTTGTCGTTGATTTACTTTAATGTTATTTTATAACTGCTTTTAAAATTCGTTCACATCAATAAACAATATATTATATACTTCTAAATATTGTCGAGAGACGATCTAGTCTTCACCATTAAACATGATAGAGGTTTCTTTGTCTTGATGTATTTCTCTGCTTTACTCAAAAACTGTTTCTAGTTTTATTATACATATTCGGCATTAGTTTCTTCTAATTATTGTATGAAGCCTTTTTAGAGAACTCATGTCTTTCGAGATACACAGTAATGGAAAATACGATGATCATTCTTATGATAAAACGGAACTATAAAATTATACTGTAACATGATTTCAGACCATCAGTTTCTTTAATTTGTTATTATTACATATAGACATAACTAGTGACTTATAAATAATTAATAAACCTGTTACCTAGTGATACTGACAATGAATTAACCTGGATCCTAATTTTTATGTTAGTCATTTACATGGTTGTTATTCAGATGAATGCTAATTAGTTAAGAATTCATTAAATATCTCGAAGTATGAAAGTATGCTTTAATTTCTCTATACCCACTTCCAAATTTTTCCATCATTACCACATCTCTGTAATCTTGTTGAGTTTCATGTAAAGGGTTTAAAGCCACAATACCTCAAGAAGGAACGAAGAATGCTTCGAGTTTTTTTAGAGATGAAGTAGATTTCAAACTCATGATTCACTACTTAAAGTTTATGTAAACAAACCATTTTGTTGCAACCCAACAAACTAGCTCAATGGCTTATGTGCTCAACATTTATCTGTTCTGTCGTCCGTTTGTTCGTAGCTTCATCAATTGATGTCTGGCTCAAACCAGTATGCAGAATTCTAGTTAGTTACTCAGTTGCAACAACATAAATTGTATGGATAAAAAATTGTCTTCACTTTTAAACTACTGCTTTGGATAACGTTTTTGTTTTCGAATCTTTTGTTCAGCGGAATGCACGTGGATCGTGGGGTGAAAAAGCGAATCGCGATTTCAAGTTTACCAGTGGAAAAGCGTTCAAACAAGAGAAAACTAAAAAGAAGAGAGGTTCTTATAGCGGCGGTTCACTTTCCTTAGATTCTTGTTCCTTTAAGTTTAATGAATAAACAGGTCTTTACTCCTGATTTTCTGTAAATATTTTTCCACTTACATGCATTTTGTAAATAGGAAGATAGTTAAAATATTTTCTAATGCTTTGCGATAACTTTGACGTACTGTTTGTTTAAAAAAAAGATTTTGTTGCAATTTTTTTGAAATATCGTCATTTCAAATGTTATCGTTCAGTAAATCGTGGCTATTGCAAAATGCATTGTCTTGTAGTAGTGACTTGGGAGGAATCGGTCTGTCTAAAATTTAAGAATCCATCTATCTCAGTATAAGCAAATGGATAAGATCACTTTCCTTTCGGTTTATAGTCAGCTGCCAATATTTATTTTTATCATTTGTTTCTGTAAATGTGGTTGGATTGATGAAGAAAAGTGTTACTCAGAGATACGTTTAACTGTAAGCTACTTGTGTCGTAGTTTGCTTTGTTGGTTATAATTCTAATGCTCATTTGTTTTCAATCCTTTATATTTTCTCTCACCGCTGATATAACAGCTTGCAATTTCAACAGGCATTAACGTAAGATCCAACAATAGTTGTGTTTAGTTTTAGTATATGGAGGAGTACTGTCGCGAACTTTAAGCACAAAAATGATGGTAATATTCAGAAAAACTAATAATTAAATTGAGTAACATCTTGTATCTTTTTTATCATAGGCGACTCTGATTCCAACCATATGCTCGTAAATCGACCCCACACCTATCTGTTTTGTAGGTATATGTACAGCTAAGCTAGAAAAATAGTACTTATTAGTACGTAATTTCACATTCAAGTCTTCGGTGCTATTATCACTTTTATTATTTTACAAATTGAACTCATCCCTTTTAATTGTGTTTCTTCTAGCTACTCAACTCATGTTGCTGTTAATCTCAGGTTTCTAGGATGATCAATACTTCTCTAAAGTTTGACATTATGCATGTTCACTAACTGATTATTTCATTATCTTTATCTGTAATTATTTACGTTTAGTTGATCGTTTTTAATGGTTTTTATCTCCACACAACATTGGTAAATATTTAGACATTCAAACTATTAACAAATAAGTTTATACTTCAGATCGTAATTGAGTATGTAAGAAGATTCACTTTCTGTCTTGCAATACTTAGATGATATAGTTCTGATTAGTAAAGACACTGTCACGATACAAGGCTTACTGATGGCCTTGGGCAACAGTACATGTATGTTTGAGATGTATTTCTCCCTCTAAATGTGAAGTTTCGCTCCCGGATCGGTCTACGTTAACACCTGAAGTGGTTGAGTAAGTTGACCATTTCACTAATGATGAAAGTGTCATCAGCCCTGGCTTGCTAGTTTCTGATGACATCTCGATACGGATCAAGAAACTTCGTTCTCATCAACGTGCGTCGCTGGTGACGTAAACGAGGTGTATGTCTGTCAGCCAAATTACGAGTTTACTGCGCAGCAATTCATATTCTACTCTATGAATGTGGAACATGTTAATTTCAGCATAGAATATTTGTAGGTCGTTAGAATTTCACCATAGATGTCTTCGAAACACTGCTGGTGTATCTTAGTATCACCGAGTGAGTGAATGTGAGGTTAGGCATAGGGTAATAGGTAAAGATGACTAATCAATTAATCAGGTAGTGAATCTTCACCGAGGTGGTTAGGACATATATCTCATATACCCAGCTACAGCTTACCTGGATGGGGAAAATACGATGTAGGAGTAAGCCTAGAGGAAGCTGAACGAGGCCAATTTAAGACAGCATCGATTCATGAAGTTATTAGCTGTTGAACTGAGCCATGTAAGTAGGTATAAATTGCCTGGTTGACGTCCAGTAGTTAAGGACTGGTGGCGACGACTGGAAATCGTCCACAATGGCGCAGGTCCATTCACTATGCATTTCTTTAGTCCCGAAATCTTATGTATTTCTCTTTAATTAGTCTTTCTACTGCTCTAGGATTTATCTTGATCGTTTTGTCTCGCTGTGCTAATGTGTGGCAACCTGAATCTGTGTACATGTGGCCGATTTCTATGTTTGTGACTAAATAACATTTACATAACTGTTACAGTTGTGATCTGAATGATTTAAGATGTAATTGTTCTAAATCCATCGAAATACACTTTCGTTCACTGTCTTTATTTATGTGTAAGAATGATTTAATAAAATGGTGAAGGGTACTTATTTTTACAGCATGTTCTATGGTCTGACACCAAAATTGTGCGATTAACTACCGGGTTGTAATAGCAAAGCTCTTTTCACACTTGACCTTCAGTGGTCGTTTGCGATCAAAAATGTATTAGGAATGGGAAGTCTTGTAAACATTCATCTTGATGTGTGATTTCTATTTCCCATCGTTAGATTATTAATCTAAAGAACCGAGACAAATAAACTAAGGGGAAGTATTTTTGGAATTTATATTTATTCAGCTTTAATCAGTTTTATCTTAGCCTCTTACTACGCTACTTGATTACTTTTCTAGGTTTCTGTTAGAGACCTTCCACCCTCTAATAATGTAGGGAGCATCACTCCCATGTATCACTGTTCACGTTTACACTGTAGAAAGTTAGTCTGCCACACTTATTCTAATATTTCACATATATTTAGCTAATTATCACCATGAAGTTTCATAAATATCCAAATTCTGGAATTCGTTCCATGTATTAATTTATTAGGCTGTTCTTCCCGCTGACGAAGTTTGTTTACTTATTTACATAGAAAGTCGTGCATTTACTTTAAACGCTTTCGCACTCGTTATTCATTACTTTGATCTCAAGATTATCAGAATTGTACTCACTAATAAGTCAGTCCAGGTTGTTTGAAGCACCAAAATTGGCACTTGGTACCAAAAATTTAAATGATCATCTCGACTCAGGATATAAACGTTTTAGGGATTACTGTATTTATTTGCTCCAGCTATAATTTTTCAATTGTTCCTAGTACTTGAGTTTCATATTGTTGTTGTTCCTCTTTGGTGTTAAAGTCAGCAATAATTGTGAAGCACCGATATATTAGGTGTCGTTTCTCTGAGTAGACATATTCTTTTTGTACTATTAATCACAATCTTGTTTACAAATCATCTGCTTACAAGGACATCGATAGCTTAATTTAATACCTTTCTTATATTATTACATTCGGATTTTTAAGTATCACGACAACTGTATGCTATTTGTCGTCGAAATATCAACCATACTAATATTACGATTTCAGCTTGCATTTTCGGTATTAGGTGTTCCATTTAATGTAACCTTACTAAGGAAATTTAATCAGAAATCGTAACCCAAACATTTTTGGGTTTATTTTGGAAAGTTTTACAAGACTTGTAAGCGGAATAATTCCAGTTGAAAGTTCAGAGATGATCAACGTCCGGATAAAGTTTAGTAATTGTTTACTGCAGGTTGATATTTTGGAGGATCCAAGAGAGGATACCTAGTTGGATGTTGTTCCCAGCCTTACATTATTTAGTTGGTTGATCGATCACAATGTTTTCCACGAGTTTTCAATCGGGTGATAAATTATATCCTGGCTTTATGTACTTTTCAGTTAACTTCAGACAACGTAGTTATCTTCAGTAAAACACCCTGAATTATCTGACAGTCAATTGAGGTGTTGTTAACCGAAGTAGCGATTGCGTGTATAGTATTTCAACTAACATTTTTCCATATTTTAACCAACTGGAGGTTATGCTTAAGTCTAATCCATTAATAAATATTTAATTCATGGGAATAGCCATGTGCTATTGAATCAGTTGGATGTATAAACACCGCCGTGTTTTAAAAAATATCTTGAGACTCATTAAGCTTATTATTCAATCGGTTGTATATTTCAAATAATTCGAGTCCAGGCAGTTTATTGATGTCGATCATTATCTCAGCGTAAATAGAAAGCGCATATTTGAACTTAAAGCTTTTAAATAATTTCCGAGTTGTAATGGATCCTAAATGGATGGCATTAGGTTTAGTGCTTATCAAGTCTTACTCCTCAAAAATGCCATCAATAATTATCAAATTATGACTTCGGTAGGTTGTTCGTTACAAAACATTAATTTTCTCATTTTGCTTGAAGCAGTCGCTCAAAATGCGCCTAGAATTTCAGTATCTTAAACACTTACTATTTCTTAATATGTGCTGTATTCATTATCAGTTGTGATATACTTGTAATACATCTCAATGTTATGAAATAGAGGTGATGCTTTTCTTCTTCATATGAATTCAAATTGTTTATTCAACCGAAGAAATGAAAGTTAAATAGCTTTGAGTTCAGTGACGCGATTGCACGAATTTCTCCAGTTTATTCCACTAATTTTAAAGGATGTTGATTTTCGATATACATAGGTTTAAAAATCCCCCAGTTGTACACAATTTTGTCAATTTTGAGTGTTTGGTTATCGACGTATGGATGAATAAGTTAGGAATCGTGTTATTATTTTGGCCATTACCTAGTATACCTGAATACACATCAGTTATGTGAGGTGAATACCTTCTATTAATGAAGATAAGTGCTATTTTTATTAATTTTATTATTCGAATAACAGGTTAATATTAAATTCAATTGAAGAAGGGCAATGTAAATAGCGTTTTAATCAAGAACGTACGTTTCCTCCTATTTCGAACACTCGAGCTGAACAAGCTCACTTTGTAGGGAAAGTAGGTATCTGCGTATTCACCTACACTTAATTATATATTTATAATTTAAAAAATAACAATATAATTTCATGCTCAGGATATCAAGTTAACCTCCTGTCTTTTATATCGTTTTCTTTGTGGATGGTTGTAGTATCGTTTCATAAAAATAACATGAGTTCGACGAACATAAATTAAAAGAATACACTAAAATCCTAACCACAAACCTTTAAACGAATTTAATCAATTTTTCTATCATTAGCTAACAAAACATCTTTCCTAATAGTCTTTTTTAAATTCTACTGTTAGGGAATTATAGTTAGAAAACGTATCTCAGCTTTGAATCCAGTAAATACAGTTGACGCCTTATAAAAAAATTGGCTAATATTTATGCTAAGAACCTTTCGGAAAATTCTCAAATTTTTTATAATGTTTTATGATATGGACTTAGAAAATAACATATCACTGGATCCATATCATTGTGCTTGATTATGAGATGTGTTACATGTGATAGAGTTTAAGACATTATCTAATCCTGATAGTGACTTTATTTCACGTCTTATAATAACAGTGGAATATGAGCTGATTTGGATCGGCAAGGAAGCAGAATGGTTTTACTGGTGAAACAGTGAAGATCTTTAATTCATTTTTGTATTGGTTGTTTGAATCTTTCCATTGATGTTTAGGACTGCGATTGACCAGTCTCTTATTGGCATATATGCATCCTGTAGGCATTGCCTTAAATCACAAGCATTGTAAACAGTTATGGGTGATGGCTAGTGGTGGAATCCAGGAAGCATGTTTCGTTTCATCTAGGAATCGTCACCTGGATGTAGTTGCATCTCAGAGTTGATGTTCATTCCGGGACTCGAACCCAGTACCATCCGCTTCAAACGCCATAGCGTCATCTACTTGGCTACTGATTGGCGGATTCTACTGCTAGTATCCATCCATCTCTGCTTATAATGCTTGTGATTTAAGGGAATATCGAGACAATCTGCACGGGATGCATATATGCCAATAGGAGACTGATCAATCGCAGTCCTGAACATCAATGGGGAGATTCAAACAACCAATACAAAATGAATTAAAACTTCAACCAATTGCACGAGCCTGTGATTACCACAACTCAGTAGCTAAGTGGATAACGCTAAGGCATTCGGAGTGAATGGTACTGTTTTGAAGTCTCGGGGTGAACAATAAATCCGAGATGCAGGTATACCCAGGTGACGAGTCCTAGATGGAACGAACCACGCGTCTTGGATTCCACTTCTAGCCACCATCCATCTATGCTTATAGTGATGAGCTTTTTTCCACTTGTTGCTCCTCAATCCATACATAATAAAAAAAGTGGTTCAGATGTGTATTAGTAATGATTTTTGATAGGATACTGAAATATTCCTGAACTTAAAAGTTTGATGACATTTTAACTTAACTCTCGAGTTAGATGTTACTTGTATATGTTCTTATATTCATCAGCTTTAAAACCTCATCTAGGTCTTCGTGAAAATGTTTCTCAAAAAGAATTGCTAAGGGTTCTAATGTGTATGATACATTGAATGTTTCAATCAAGTTATCATTGTGTAAAATATTTTTTTGGGAATCTATATGATATGTCTAAATTGTTGGAGAAATCTCATAAAGACGTTTCAAAATTTTTTATGGGTTACTTTTCATTTTCAGAGCATGACTCAAACCTGACCAATTAGGGTGTCAAACGAGTTCATTGTTATTTAACTGATGTTTTAGTGCGTCACTGATTAACAGAACAAATAAAGCCAAAAACAGCTCCTGCTGCATTGTGATATTTCGATCAGCATAACAAGCTAAAGAAACGTGAGTTACGGCAAAACGATTGATCTATATCCATATAAAAACTTATCCCTCTTTGAACAGATCAAAGACTTAAAAATCATATATATATATATATATATATATATATATATATATATCATTCTAATTCTTCTAATTAGCTACATCTGGAACCTCCGGGCTTCTGCCTTTCTTAATCTCAGTCAAAGGAGGATGGTTGGACATCATATCCGCAACCCGATCCCGTAGAAAACAACGTTGCTAAAGAACACTAACCAATTAAACTCTGCTATGAGATATGAATGATCTCCAGTCAGAAGAATTATGATGCCTCATTGCAAAAGCCAATATTCTTCTGAAGTCCTGAGGCAGATGCCCATTCTAACAACCAGAGCAACAATTTGTACAGGTACATTGAATGTCCAGACAATGTGGGAGACCGGGAGGACCAGTGTTATGCACTCACCAATGATAGTAACGAAGATCAGTTTTACGAAAGGCTGCAACCCATCACAGCGAAGTGCTCATGAAACGACCTGACTATCCTGATGGGAGATCTAAACGCCAAAGTTGGAATGGACAACATCGGGTATGAAGATATAATGAGGCGAAATGGACTGAATGGGATAAAATAACGAGAATGGAGATAGATTTACAGGAGGCACAATATTCCCACACAAACATATAAACAAAGCTACATGGGTCTCCCCAACTATTCTAGAAAGAATCAGATCGATCATATTTGTATCACTAAAGAGTCCAGAAAGACAGTGGAAGACGTAAGAATCATGAGAGGAGCTGACATAGCTTCAGATCATCACTAGCTGATGATTGCCATGTTGAAACTGAATCTCAAGAAGTACTGGACAACTGGACAATCAGCACTACAAAGGTTCAATACTGCCTTCCTTCCACATACTAACGAACTCAACGAATTCAAGATATCTCTCAACAACAAGTTTCAAGCCTTACAAGATCTACTGAAGGAAGAAGAAACTACTATGGAGGACAACTGAAAAGAGATCAGTGAAGCATTAACTTCAATGTGTCAGCAGGTTCTAAGCCTGAAGAAGCACTTTTATAAGGAATAGGTCTCTATGGAAACCCTGTATTTGATTCAAGAAAGGAAGAACAAGAAGACAGCAATTAACAACAGCCGAATGAGAACACAGCAAGTTAAGGCACAAGCTGAATACACTGATGCATACAATGAAGTGGAGAACTGACAAGCATAAATACGTGGAAGATCTAGCAATGAGAGTGGAGAAAGCTGCAAGAGAAGGAAATATAGAACAAGTATACAACGTTGAGTTTTATCTAATAACGGTTATCAGGACAAGTGATATACGAAGCCTTTGGAATTATTTCTAAAATATTCTAGTACAACCCAACACTTGTGAAATGGGCGTTACACGAACTGAAAAGCAACTTTACTTGCTACTTTCTTAGATTCATGAAGACATAACCAACGTTCGTCAGTATTCTTCGGGAGGCTGATGGCTAGCCTTAAACATAGTCTGCGTACAACAATCCATTCAGGACGATACGTTTTTGGGTCAGCGAAAGGCAAGAAAAGCTTGTTTTAAACCAGGACACGATCAATTCCAAATACGCAGCATTCGTAACCATAAAAACTTCCCCAAGAATTGGCCAAACCTACATGTTATCTGCTCTGTATCAGTGCGTAAACGAAGTAGGCAAGTTTAAATAAGATAGCCCTATACTTTGTATTCCATGACAGTACTAATCAATGCGACTACTGAAAGACGTGGGACCGTCTAGATGGGACAGAGTTTTCGGCAGAGGTAAACTACTGGTTAGGTTAAATAATATAAGTAAACAGGATGAAATAAAGGAAAACAAAGGTGAGACAGTGCAAAGTAGATACCTTTGAATTAAATGCACTGCAAATAACATGTACGCGAATCGGTTATTTTCTTCATTATTATTATTTATTATATTTCTGAGTGTGTTAGAATACTACCCTGACATCTCAATAGGGTCCTGAAGTCCATTTACATCATAGGTTTGGAATCACAGTTTTCCAACTTCCGTAGGTGGGTCCTATGGGTCCACCAGCCTAGTTTAATGACCGGAAGTTCACTTTTCGTTCTACCATTTTCGTAAAAGCCTACTTTACGTGACGGGAGAACACAACCCTTTCCATTCTCCGTTTTACCAGCATTTGGGGACACTAACACTCTAGACTTTTCCAAGTGGCAGAATATAATCTGTTTCTGGCTACCTGTGGTTAATTGACTCAATTGTTTTGAAGTCTGATTAAACAATACAATCCGGTTGCAGCGAGTAACTGACATCCTTCCCCACAAATGAATGAATAGTGGAAAAAAAAAATAACTCGCCAATAAAAATTATTCCTTTTTAGTAAATTGATAAACTGATACACAAAATACTTAAGATTAATTAACACAACTAAAGCCATTTAAAATAATTATGCAGTTGGAATACAAGGGTAATTGTATTTCACTTCTCAATGAATGAAGTTATGAACTGACTATTAAATCTCAAGCATTATTCACTAGATCAGCTTCATATGAACTATTGAATGTTAAATATAATTTATTCGTTCAAATTAAAATGAAATACAAGTAGAACACATAGTGGAATTTAGTGTTATAACTATGAAAATCAATTTGATTTATTATAATAAATAAATAAATGATTTGGAAGATACTTCGATATATTTTGAAGATATGAAAATAATTAAGTCAATATATATAAATAGCTGAATAAAATTTACAAATTGTTAATATTTCTTCAAGCATGTTATTGTTTTAAATTTAACGAAGATAACATATAAGAATTCTTTACTTTTCAAGAGATTAATATTTAGATAAAGCCTCTAACAAATATTAGTTGTATACTGAAGTAAGTACTCGATTTTCATATTAAGGAAGCTTGTTTCTTTGTGAGAAACTTTTATTCATTGTATATAGATATATCTTTACGTTTTTTATAGAAGTAAAGAAATCCATGTTAAATTGATAATAGAAGAGTACTTTCCTCCAATATAATTTACCTAATTAAAAGAGATATCTAATTGAAATTACAATTTGTGAATATTTTTCTTCAGGCTGATATTATATAATTCAACATTTATATAAAGCAAATTTTGAGAACAAAGAGTCATAGGAAGTGGTTTATTACAGAAATGAAATATATTTTTAAACAACAAAATCTTGAACGCTACAAAATAATTTATAACATATTGAACGATTCAATTCAATTCAATTATAAATATGCTATGATTGTTTGAATGATCATGTTTACATTTATTCTAACATAAAATTGAAATTAAAGAAATAATTATCATGATCATATTATGTAATATTTTTTTATTTCGTAATACATTAAATAAGACAAAAAGAAGTAAATAAATGGTAAGATCTTTTACCAAAATATAAAAAGATAAATAAAAGAAAAAAAATTCAAGTAATTAAAACGAAAATGAAAATAATGATAAATAATAACTTAGACAGTAATAATAATAATAATAATAATAATAATAATAATAATAATAATAATAATAATAATAATAATAGTTACTACGGAGACTGTAGTGAATGAAGAGAATATGATCATAAATACAATTTAAAATTGGTATTAGTTATAATTTGTTAACATTGAAAATCATAGGATAAATACATAACTAATGATAAATAATATTTACATAATTTCAATAGATAATTGCTAATTAGTGTGATGAAGTTTCACAATTATTTTCATTAATTTTATTAGATGTAATATTATTTAATGTGATGGATTCTTCCATTGATTTATCACCATTTAGTTCATGTATTTTCAATGATGGAGAAGAACAACTGTTAGGTGTATTCAATAATTTGAATTTATCAAGAATATGTATAATTGATTGTCTTCTTGTACATTTACCATTAATGAGTTTTTCTTCAGATTGATTGTTCAAATGATCTTGATTCTATGAAACAAAGAGATAAATGTTTTGTCAATACAGTGGATGTATGTTTTGAATGTAAGATATTCCGCTAATTAAAACTGAGAATAAATCTTACAGACATAAATGAGAAAAACTTTGAAACGTCTCAATTTCTTTATCTATCAAATGCTTTACAAAGTTTCATGATCTAGTAGTAGGTCAAAAGATAAAAGTTGACAACGGAATACTTGTAAGACTTATATACGTTAAAAAGCTTAATAAAATGACTAATAGGTCGGTGCATTTATTGTGAATGCATACAATGATAGGTGTAATGAATGAAATAGTAGGTAAGTAAGTTGTAAAATACGCTTTTCATATTCACTGTTGCTACATCAAAAAATCAACTTCGGTAGCTTGAAGACGTTTTATGCAGTTATAACAGCTTCGTGCTCAAGCAATATTTGATGACTTTTAGACTGGTTGGAGGCAGCAGTTACTTCGCAAATTAATATGCATACGAAAGGATCCATTTATCTTTTTAAATTTATCTTAGCTGTCTGAATAGGATCCTAGGTATCAGGTACATTGGTGGCTTTTGATGTTATATATATATATAGTTCAAAATAAAAAAAATAGTGAAATTTCAACTGAAAAGTATTTCCTATGTTCTTCACAAACATTTGTGATGAAATCTTCATTGGTGATTTGCCTGATTAAATAGTAACCTTAGCTGCAATCACTATCGTTATTATATTATATTTTGATATTACCTTTACTAAAACACGTACAATTTATAAAACAAAGGGAGGCGGCTGTGACAAGGTGGCTCTCAATATTGACCTTTTAAACGTTAGATTATTAGCTCAAAATTCGATCCTCTCCTGGTCACATTTCTATTTTAAAAAAGTCAAGATAGTGTTTTACGAAAAATCCAGCTTAAGATTTAGTACATAAACTTTTACTTTACCTAGATTTGGGAGTGTTTATTTGAAGAAAAATGCTATGAAAACTATATATTTGAAATGTACAAGTCAGTGGAAATAACTGTAATTTCAATATAAAAAGGGTACTTACTTGCTTGTCTGTATTATCATTATTACTGTTCATATTAACAATCTCTTCCTCTTTAATAGATAAAGGAGTATTTACATCATCTGTTAAATTGACATTATTTGATTTTTCAATATACGTATTGACAATAGATGAGCATTCTTTACAATGTAATACTTGTTTTATTAAATCAAAAGTTAAATCCAAAAATAATGGATCATGTTTATATAATTGATTAATAGTTAATGAATTGATAGGATAATTTTCATTAATTTTTATTAAATAATCATTTAATTCTTTTATAATTGCTTTATAACTAGTAAACATATGTTGATTTCTTTCTAATTCAATGGAATTCTCTTCAAGTGCACTACGAAACATTTTTTTCACCTAAGAAAAAGTATCAAACAATAATGAAATGATAATTCCATTATATAGAACTTATTCTAAAATTCTGAATGAATATTTATTAGGTAAATTGACATTATAAATTTGTATGCAAAATAATTTATCTGAGATAACATGATGAAAATGAACGTCACTTGAGAAAAAAACCAGTGAGGTTTCACATCAATCGTGCTTACTATTTCTTGTACATAGGACTAATCAATTTGATGTATTTGGAGTCTAAATGATATTGGAGGCTGGTAATTACCAAGTTATTAGGTTGATCTAATCAGGATCATATTGTTATAATTAATAACTAATTTATTATTATTAATATTACAGGGACAAAGTAATTATCCTACAATGATAATAATAGAACAGTTTAGTGATACAGTAAGTAATAGAAATAATAATAATATGATCACACAAATGTATATGTACTTTGGCGATAGTACACATTTGTTAAGAAGGCGAATTCAATCGCTTTGAGACAATGACTCAAAAGTATATATATGTTATTAAATAGTATGCGAATTGATATAATATTTACGTAGATTGAATAAAAAAAGTATCTTATTTCTCAGATGAAGTAAACAATGATCAAATAATCCTACCAATTTTATTCCAAACTGTTATATATTAGGATGTGTTGATCTTCGGTAACTTATTGTGATTCACATGACTTTGGACAGATTATTGAAATATATAGAATGGTGAATTTTAAAAACTGTAAAAAACTTTCTATTGAACAATGTAAATGATTAAAAAAGTATCTGCCTTTTATATTATTCCATCAATCGGAAGTTAATTGTAATTATTTGACGAATTGAATACATTTAGCGAAGGCTTATTAACAAATCTATACGACAAGATGTATCAGAAATTATTATTGTATAGAACAACTCAATTGAGTTAACAATAGTTATCAAATCACGTTAGCCCATAATAATAATATTCAGATTATTCTGATATTGATAAACTTTCTGTTGGAGGAATATAGTTTGGAATAAAGCATGATCCGTGCAGGACTGTATTGGGGAAAGCTGATTAGCTGTTTCTTAAACAATCAGCGTCAGCGGATACTCTAGGATCTTATGTGAAAATTATAGATATACTGACGTTTCTCTTATTGAGATTCCTACTTCCATTCAACAATTTTAATTGGAATATATTTACGTTACTGTTCAACCATGTTCTGATTTGGGGACTTGTCGAGTGAAGTACTGCTTAAGAATGCTAAGCAATACGGGTAGCTGGATCGTAGTAAGAGAAATCGTAACACAATCTAAGTGAATCAATTATTAAAGAAAGTAATGTAAAACAAACATAGTATGGGGTGAAAAGAGACTAAATTATATTTAAGTGTCAAATATTTCTGTCTTAAAAATGGTGTTAAATTCAATGGAAAATCATTAAACTGACGAGTATGCAATGGATATAAACATGAACAGTAATAATCAAACAAATACATTGATTTGTGATAACCTTGATAGCTTGAGATAATATGTCGTACAATATTTAATTAATTTGTTTGGACACATAGAAATTATACAAGGGAACACCACATATATACATATAAACACGCGTCACGATAAAAAAGAGGTTGTGAAGAGATACAAAATGGACGGTAAGTATAATAAAAATTAATGTATGAGAGTGAAAGAACAATAATAATAGGGAAAACAGCAAAAATGCAACTAGAAATAGAATTCTTTCAGTTAAAGAAGTTATATTCACTTTTATGGAGAACGCAAAATAAAGTTACAGCAGGGTCGCCACTGACTTCTATTCTAAAACATATCTGATAACGTCTCTACCCATTGTGTTTCAACGTCTCTAGGACCCCAATCAAGGAGTCATGAAGGACCAACAGATGCCATTCCTTTGCAGCTTTCTTTAATACTACGACACCATGTTATACACAGACCACCTCTCCACTTTTTCCAACTAGTCCGAGCGTCAGAAAGTAATGCACGACGTGGAATTCTCTAGGATAACATTCGTAGAACATATCCAAGCCACCGGATTGGATGTTTCAAGATGGTGACACCAACTGAGTTATCTTCTCTGCGCCCGAACACACGATAGTTTGAACGCAGTCGGTAAAAGACTTATCCCCCCATTAGTAGTTGCACAGATGACGTGAACCTTTTAGAAAGATAGGGAAAACTATCGACTCATTCAAAGATGCTGCAGCACAACAAATTATGCTTTAAATGATAAAATTTGACAAAAAGGTAGATACCAAACTTTACTTACCTGAAGTACTTCATTTTCTAAGTGAGCTTTTTCTTCTAAAGCATCTTGAAAATCCTGCCTGGAAGCGAATAATTCTCGAGTTAATATTTCAGCTTTATCTTCTAACTGAAATATACAGAAATAAAATGATATAAATTAATATATTTTCCTTTTAATAATAAATTTAATCTTTGTAAAAAATAACAAGGAAGTGATCGTTTAATGGTTTTAAACAGTTAGACTTTTTAACGATTTTTAATGACACGTTTTAATGTAGTTCGAGCAGTGGCCAATAGTCAGCACAAACGATATAGTACAATGACACTTATACATAAGTATATACAAAATATTTATGAGTATTATCAATGAAATCGAGTAGTTCTTAAAAAGGAAATATTATAGAATTTATCGAACATCAGAAGAAATCTTCAAAAGAAAAAAATAGATTTGTATAAATCCTACATAATATTATCTGAATTAAATATTTATAAACCATCTGTCTTACTATCTATGTAAACATGATATCAAATTCAAACAACAATAGATATTTTGACAAAGAAACACAATTAGTGTTAACAGAGAAGTTGCACATATGAATTAAGGATAAATACAATGAATAATACAATGATAACCACCGATCAAAGTGAACATTTTTATATTCCCATGACACATCCATTTGATATATAACCTAATATGTCACGATAATAATAGTCTGAATAATAGAATATTATCTAGGATAGCATACACTTACTCTAGAAAGATAATAAGGGTGATTATACTGAAACCGACATTGCTGTGTATTAATAACCAGTAATTTTCAACACATTCCTTAGTCACTTTTCTCTGAAGTCCGAGATCAACAAGATTCACCCTTACGGAGAAACAATTACCCTTTAACACTGTGAATAAATCACCCAGGACTAAATACCAGTGACGCCTGTTGGAGCGACTAAAGTAGAGTTTCCTTTCATGAATCTACGTTCACAGAATTGTTCTATTTGAAACAGGTTGGGTCCACCGTACTCAGACCTCATCGATTCAATCGTTTGCAGTTATATGATGTTCCTCTTAACACCATATATAACTTGGTGCTCTTAAAGACTATCTTGAGTTACTGAATCAGCTTTCCAATAGTTTTCAGCCTGATTTACCTCATTGCTTAGCTATGTAAGCAAAGCTTAGCCTGAGGCTAAACTGATTCTCTGTTCCTAAACACCAGTACAATATGTACTATTGTCTCAGGTTGACAAGGAACTCTATCTTCTTTAGCAACGCTTTCCGTACTTTGCATAGGAAGCAAAGCAGCAATGCTGAATATTGTTGATACCAACCTCGAGGTAGAAGCATCATCAATACCTGTTTCAGTATAATCCCCTATTTCTTATCCCTGACACCCTCCACACATTATCTTTCAAAATTTAATGTATGTAATCCTAGCGATTCAAGTATTATGTTAGTACATCATCAAAAACCTGTTCATATACTTTTGAATCACACATTTTCTTGCTATGAAAACGTTAGGATAACTTTTCCTGTTTTAGATTTGCATGAACTTATTTATTACTTATTTTAACCACATGTTCTCAATCACTTCCCTAAAAAGCTGCCAATATATCTGAGAATTACTGAGAAATTCAAACACGACCAACCACAAGGCTTGCTGGTACATTTCCTTCTCGTATTTTCTAAGGAAACAAGAAGACTGAGAATGGGATTCATGAACCACGTGTATTATGCGATAAAAGATTTCATAGCTACGAAACTATTCGAAAATGTTTGTAAATGCCGACAAATAACAAGTAATCACTGTTGTGATAAAATTTTAATCCGTTTTCCTCATAAATCGATATCAAAAATGGAACTGTTACAATACTGGACATTTTGTGCTGAGAGATTGTGCTGTGATCAAATATATGACATTATTATTATTATCTTTGAGTTTCGTGCAAAAAATGTAGTTGTTCACTTTGATGTGTATTGATTCGATATCATGTAACTTAGTTTTACCACTTGAAGCAACCCTAGAAAATAGTGTTTCGTTTATTTGTTTGTAAGCGACTTGAACACAACTGAATATACAAGAGTATGTAAACATCAAAACATTTATAGCAAACAAACAAAAGGAAAAACGATACAAATAGTTCCCGAGAAATACGGAAAGATAAAACAATCACATATTATAGGTTGACTTGAGATACTTAAGCAGTAAGAGCAAGGAATAGACATTTAATGTTCGGTTTTACAGAATATATATTTACGCAAATCGTAAGTTAAGAAAATTTTATATGATAAAGCGAAGTATTATATACTCATTGCTATATTGAGTATATGAACAGATTAAACATGACGTTATTTTATTCATATACTAGTCTTCTACGATGAAATATATCTGTCTGATACTTCATAAAAATCTAATTTGGATAGGAAAGCAACAAAAGATAGTTTTATATAGGGAAAGAATTTTAACAATTAATCTGTGAACTAAAAATGGACATTAAGCTCATTCGAATGTAAAATTTCTTGAAAAATCTACACAACATTCAATACAAATGACTAACCGTAAATTGTAAAAAACTGGTTAGAATTACTGATAAAATAAATGAAAAATTACCCGGTCAACTTGTTTGTGCATTAATGTTTTACTCGATAAAAGACCGGTAGCCAGTGATTCATTCTCGTGTTCTAATCGAGAAACTTCTCGACGTAATGATGCCAACTGACACTCCATGACATGTAGAGGAGATTCGGTCAATTTTTCTTGAGCTCTCTTTGTTATCCATTCTTTAGCATATTTTTGTAATTTGGCGGAAGTAACCTTTGAAGAAATGTAAGAGAGAAAAGTGGATGGAGAATTTTATCGAAACTTCTAACCGTACGGTTAAGTGAAGAGTACAATTTGGTGATCAAAAGTGCAAGATCTTCTGCAGATACGGTAATATCATTACGAGATAATATGGAACACATTAAAAACATTAAATCGTGAAGTATCTGTATAAAATACTATATCTATTTACAATAAAAGTGAATATTGTTACGTCATCTACCTGATTACGGCAGAATACGATATACAACTAACGGCAGTTGAACGTGTAGAAACCCACAGTCGCAAATCAGAAGACGGAAGAGGCATGGGAAATGATTATCGAGTAAGAACCAAAAATGTACAGAAAACATGGGTATTTATAGTTATTGGTATTGGCTACAACCTCATTGTAATTCAGTCAATATGCAAGCAGATAAGTTATGCTATCGTCCAATCGTAGCATGCCACGTTGATATTTTAATGGGCTTTATCAGATTCTGATTGGATGGAAACTCTTCAACTCCTTTAGAGCATCTAGAGTCTACGTTGTGCTTTTCGAAGCCGTCCTAATATATATAGCTATGTACAACAACATACGATAAGTTACAAAACAGATAACACGTGTGTCAAAATCGCAAGGGCAGATAATCGAAAATGAGAACGAAGTACACAAAATGGAAATTGATACAGCAGAACAAACATCCAACAATTTCATCGAAGTTGAAAACGACTGTTACAAATGCTAATGAAATGCTATCACTGGTAAGTAATTCTAATGTCACAAGTTTATGTAAATATTTGGGAATACTAAACAACACCAGATACACGTTGAACATCATGTTCTCAAAAATCATTAAAATTGACACTGGTTACTGAACATTAGTAAGTACTATAAAGTAATAAACAAAAGAGAACAAGATAAGAAAATAAAGGAAAGAAAAAACATTTAAAAATGGGTTTTGATTTCTTTTGAAAGAGAAATTCCGATCATTAGTAAGGTGTATCGACCTAAATAATCATATAAAATCTGTCTTTTTTCACATAACTGACAAGACAAAGCTATTTTTTACTAGCAAACTTAGGACTCCTGGTATATGTCTAAATGGTAAAAGTGGAAATGGTACAGGAAATACCTGTCTTAATTTGAAATAATCTGAGCAAACAAATTAGGTACTTTGGAGAAAATATATTTACGTAAATAAAAACCAAAAGAGTTCATTATTGTCATTTTGAACACCGAAGGTATCTGGCCATTTGAACTTAGTAGCTAAGTGAATGAAACTAATGGAGTTTGATGCGGATGGTACAAAGTTAGAGTCTCGTGGAGGACATCACCTTTGGTATCCAGGTCAATCACCCTGACCAGTACCCAAAAGGACGAGACGCGAGCCCTGGATCCTACTGCTAGACACATCCCATCTATTCTAGACTAAAGGTATTATGAAATATGACAAATAGAAGTGTTGAACGAACCTACGATGAATACAGTAGATTAACTTAATTGTTCTTGTCAAATTACCATCTTAATAATGCTGGATAAACAACAAAATGTATGAAAATAACAAATTATACAATTTGTATAACTTTTATTCTAAGTTTCAGTGAGTCACGTACTATCATAAATTACTTGTCTGGACAAGTGTTACTTAAGCTATATGAGCATATCAATTAGTAGAAATAATAATAATCATGATCGATTGGACTACATCGGACTACTGCTGATAAAACTACAATTACCCTAAAGATTTGATTATGCAATATATGAATATTCATCTAGAAATCACACACTATGAGAAAACATTATTGTGGATTGTAAGGCTGGGATAATATTTGATTATGAAAAATAACACGTACGAAGTAAGGAACAGTGAGCAATTCGACAATTATATGACTGACGTTCAATGGATAGATTACACAATTAACATCATTCATTCTCTTAAAATCAGAATTAGATAGGGGTATAGCCATTAATAGTAGAATATTAATTTGTCTTAGTTGAGATGTTCATCTCAGCGAAACCTGGATATAAGTTGGCGAACACGGTGATGGAGTAAGTAGCTGATTACGTGAGAGAATACCGACATTTGTGAAATCAATGTAAAAGTGAAGCTTAAAAATTTACTATTTATGAATAATGATAATACCACGATAATCATTATGATCATCAACCCAAAAACTAAGCAACTCCGTAGAAGTTTTCTTACTTATTGATGACTTAATAATCTTTTGAAAGACAATAGGTATTACTACACGGCTGTTCAAATATTGGTTTGTAATTCGAATTTAAAAACCAAAACTACAAATTGGATTTTGAATGCCTAAATAAACGAGAAACAGTGTAAATAATGAATAGTAATTCTATGAAAATATATTCATAAGAGTAGAGAAAATACATATATAAAAAAGTAAGATGAATCTATTGAAGAAATAGGGGAAGAATATGAAATGTCAATAAAATAATTCAGTAGAATTGAATTTAAAACTCGATACAAAAATAAGTAAACTAGATGAGTATCGTACGCGAATTAGATGAGGAATCATACGACGTAGATAAAAAACTGATATAACTTAATCATCTATCTAAACGAAATCTAACAATTGACGCCAATATTTTGATTAAAGGAACCGGCTATCTCAGCAAACTTATAAAAAAGTGACAAAGTGGAGTGTAGACGTCTTAAAAAATTAATTATGAATTGATGTAGAAGAAACCTCATACAGCTTAGCTTAGTACAAAGAAGTTATACGAAGAACTCTATACCTCAGTTTCATCCCTAAAAATACACTAACAAATCAAGAGGTTAGGCCACAACTGTGAGACTGCAGTAGTGCTACTCATGGGTAGTCGGTATTTTGTTCTATAATTTCATTTTTGTCTTCTTGGTGGGTGATAGACTCGTTATTTCTCCGGAAATATTGAACTAATAATTTTTGTGCTTGTTTGTGCGAAGAAGTTGATCGCTGTTGCTGGAATTATCACATTGAATGTGAAACTTGACTTTAGGCTGGTTATCGTTTACTGAAGAACCATTTATCACTTATACAGAAATACCCCGAGAGCCAAAGATAGCCTTTTGAATTTAATCGACTTCAGGTAGATTGTTCCGTTGAATCTAACAGATTTTTAATACATATTTTATGATTACGGCAATAGGAAGCTATATTATCATGTAAAGTTGCTAAACCTGGTGATAAAAATCTATTTCTTAGTTAATCAGAAAATTCTACGATGGAGAAGTAACTGTTGAACAAACAGGATTCAACATTGATTGTTATGAATGATAGAAACAAAGTGGACTGAATGAAAGAGAATAATAATAGGCAGAATTCCTAACGTAAGCAGATCAACCTAAACTGTTTTAGCTTTTAAACACATCATTTAAAACATCGAAAAACATAAAATTCATTAATGGAATCTCTTTTCAAGCTGTGCAGTCGTATCCTGTGAATAAATACGAATAATGAATAAACACGATTATGTAATAAAAAGATCATAATCTCGGATTATATAGTTTCAAATAATGATAGTAAAATGTTATGTTATTACTACACAATATGTATATATAAATGGAATAGATAGAATATAAATGATCCAGAAGGAGCAATACAAAAGTGCGATAAATTTGTGTTGACTTAAACAAGGTTACAGGAAAAAATTACTCAACACATTTGTACAACAATAGTACACAATATGATTTGAAGGCAACAAATGACAGGATGATATGAATGGTATTTACTTATAAAAAAGTATCATATTATCATCAATAAAGCTCTAGAACTTCGAATTAATAGAAACAAATATTAAAACACTTGACCTTAGATATAAATGAATGTGATCAAAAAAAATAATAAATCGATGTGGATAATGACACGGATAATGTCTATAAAATAAACAGTCAACGAAACATTTACTAATCACTTAAAATGTTTAAGATAATAAATATGGAAATTTTCCATGATACAGTCGATAATAAATCGTCTTTACTTTAATACTAGGAGCAAATTATTTTCTCAAATCAACAGTTCCTCTTAGTATCTTTGAGATATCACTTAACCAGGAACTTAGAATAACCAGGATTCTATAAAATAAGTTTAACATCATTGAGATGGCAACCGACAGTGATTTCTGATAGCAGTCACCAAACAAATCATATATATGGTATAATTGTTAAGTAACTAAACTATATATATTCATATTCCGCTTATTACAAGCTTTACTTTGACCTATGAACTTAATATAGGATTTACCATTCTCAAGTTATGCCCAGTTTATTAATTACAGTCGTCCACGTTCACAGTCACTTTTGGCTAGATTCTTGTACCAATGTTATTTTCCATTTATAGTGTGATGTGGTTTGTTTGGCTTGCAAATAAACCCAGTATATTTGAAATACATTATTCATATCATGGAAACTGAGATTTGTGTTTTGGGCTTAACAGGCAGGGAAAAGGACCAATCAGGACTACAGGCTGTTCGTTCAGATGTATGCGTCATTTGTTGGTCGTATAAGTCCGCGTGTCTAAATTTGGCAACCGTATTCACGATAATCGTACAAGCTAAGGTAATAACACCTTGGACACAAACATCGTGGTAGTTGATACTCATCAAGATGTACGTGAAGATTTGAATGAGTAACAACTAGAAGGAAACCGAATTTCGAAGTTTCAAGTTAATCATCTTCAATTATTTTATATCATGAAAGCAGCTGATGAGAACCTAACGAAATAAAATGAATTCATATTATTCTGCACCAACCTTTGTTCTTACTCTCTTTAAAATAATAAAGGGAACTATGTGTATGAAATCACTTGTTGTTATTATATCCAGCTATAACTGTACCTCTATTATTTAAATAATAAACCATAAGAGTTGTTCAAATGAATGATTTTATAGAATCATTGTCAATTCCTTTAAAACCATTGAAAACATTTTGTTCCATTCAATGAAAGATTTTCTTCACATATTAAATATATCATTTTATTAAACTAGATGCTTGTTTTCCAAACTCACTTTAGCCGATAATGCGATACTAAGTAATTCTTGATTAGCATCATGGGCTAAATATTTTTTTGGCATCGTAACACGCAAATGCTTGAGAACACCTTCAAAGTCCAAACCGAGTAAGTCACGTCTAGCCAATTGCAATAGTGCTAAAGACACTTTGAATATGAATATCAAACCCTATAATAAACATAGATAAAAGATCTTTTTTAAAATACAAATAAAACATCATAAAAACATATACTACTATAGTGTGATAACCTTGACTAATAGAAAATAGTAAACCTTTGTCTTCAAAGAAATAGAAAAATACTGGAAGGCAAAGTTCGTTTTACTGAGAAAATGAGGGATGTAACTATCAATTCTTGTATATCAATGGCGAAATTAGTGCAATTTAGAAGTAATTCAATGCTTTATGAATTTATCTAAACAATATAATTCCTAAGTGTGACATGTTTTACAACATTTGTTTAAAGCAATCAGTCCCTTTAATAAATTCGGATAGTTCACTTGGTATTATTTACTTGAATCTTCCCACTGATGTTTAGGACTGCAATTGATCAGTCTCTTATTGGCATATGTGCATACTGTGTGTATTGCCGCGATATTACCTTAATCCACAAGCATTATAAGCATAGATGGATAGTGGCCAGCAGTGGAATCCAGGGCGCGCCTTTTGTTCTATTTGGGACTTGAACCCAGTACCTTTCACGTCACACGCCATCGCGTTATTAACTTAGCTACTGAGTCCTGATAGCCACTTGCTTGTGCAATAGGGTGAAATGTAATAAGAAGACGAAGATTATCAGAACTATGTGATACAATAGCGCAATACACTTAAACAATCTGATCGCACATACACTTATTAAGAACATTTACATATGAAAATGAAAGTTCAACTAGACAAATGAAGGAGACAAAGATAATAAAGAAAAGAAAACGAAAAAACAATCCGAATCGTCTAGCTAGAATCTTTGTTCTTGCTCTTTTCAAGATTAAATTTCTTCAAGAAAAAAAAATTTCCAAATGACGTTAGTCGTACTACTGATTAACGGTCTTTCTAGTCTTTACATTTGATGTATCAGTCAAAATAAGCCATGACTGACTATTGAGGTAAGAGGGATAGATTCATCTTGGAATCTAGTTGTAATATATTTCTATGTCTCTTTGTAATATCCTCTTGTCCTAGTTATTAAACGTTTTTCGATCGTCGATAAAACTTTGAGTGTTTAAGTTCATATGACCAAGTATCTAGAATCTAGCGTATGACAAACAAAACACATTTCCCTCCGTTATACCATACGAAAACGATGTTATAAATATGTAAAACATTAAAGGTATTACGTACTTTTAAAAAATTTATAGTATTTATACATTTTAAAAAGAAATGATCATGTATTTAAGTACAACATACCTCAGTTAGAAACAGATCAACAATATGAAAGACAACATTTAATGGAAATTTAGCAGTGAACAATGTTAAAAACCATTGACTAGCGAACATGTGAGTTTCTAAGCCAAGATCACTAAAATGTTTTGCTACATCTGGCAACTGATCCTAATTAGAAAGAAAAATGATCACAGCAAGTGAAGTGAGTGTTTATTATTGCATCAATTCAACCAAAAACAAATCAAAATTACAAAAGCTGATGGAATAATTTATTCACAGTTTAAAAGCTCATCTAAACAGTCTCCCTCTGTAGCTCATAGAAAAGAAGTAATACTTTCTATACTCAAGGTTTATATTTGGTTATAAATAATTTATTGTAACGGTTGGACGATTGATTTCTCATCGTGGTGAGATTACTTCAAGATGTTACATGAATAGTGGTAATACTGAGCGAATAAAAAGTTCTCAACATACAATTATATCAAATTATTTATATTTTTATCATCACAGAAACACTGTTAGCTATAAAATCTAAAATAAATGAACTACCATTAGATGCATATCTAAAAAAGTCATTTTTATTTTATGCAAATTATTTATCAAGTAAAGATGATTTATCTACTCAGTTTCGAGACATTCACCAGTTCACGTATGAGAGCTAGTGAAACTATTCGGTTGGCAAAAGTAAGTTAGGTATACAATGGGGTTAAACTCTAAGATCCAATTAATTGGGAATCGATTGTCCTAGACACCAAGTCACACACATTCAATAGTGAAAAATAGAAAATAAAAACAAAATCATATTTTGTTGAAATGATGAACCAATTAAAGTTAGACAACCACTGGGAACCTGGAAAGATTAGGCGGTCGTTTCATTTAACTACATGAACGCCCACGGTCCCACAAGCAGGATTCGAACCCAGGATCTTCTGTCTCGTGCGTGAACGTTTAACCAATACAAGGACGAAACATCCGTCCAATGCTTCCAGGCTTTTAATGGTTGTTTTACTTTAGTTTGTGATTACAATGAAATTTAAAAAATTCCACGACCTCAAAAAAACAATTATATTTTACCTGAATAATACGATCTAATTGATATAATCGCATATGTAATCCATCGAAATCATTCAAGAAAAATTCTCTAACTCCATAATTGTTATTCACTTGTACTAATAATGTGAATGCTTGTTCTACTGGCATCTGAAACAAAAAGACAGAATATTCATAAAGAATAATTATGAAAAATTATTCAATTTAAGAAAACAAAGATGAAAGAATTCAATTTATTTGAGTGTCATCTGTATTAGTAAAATCAACTGTAAGTTGTACCCAAATATACACATTAATACAATTGAGATATTGATACCACTATGAAATAATAATAATAATAATAATAATAATAATAATAATAATAATAAATAGTATTACAATCTAATCTCATATGCTTAGATAATTCTCTTAGATTAAACACGTGATTTTAGAGCAAAAGGTACTTAAAAAATGTACAATATTTTGGACACAGTATAAAATAAATCCAATATCACGCTTATGAAATATATTTCATGCTAATTTTTAGAAGTATTATACAACCATTCATTCGTAGTATGACGGCTCAGCTTCCAAAATTTGTAATGAAAGATGTTTGCAGATTGTTAGATTAGTAGATGTACGGCCGATCGATTGTAATATACAACGATACGATATGACGAAGTGATGGTTCCTCATTAGATCAAATTATTATTATGAACCGCCAATTGAACATGCATCACTAGATAAGGTCAGATGCTCAGCAGAAGACATTTTTTTCCAATAAAAATAATATTCTTTGTACAACGCATTGACACAAAAACATATGATTTTGTTGGTCACTTATCATCCAATGAGTTAAGGCATGACTATCTAGCTCAATTATTGCATCATCGAATCACAAAGTTTACCGAATTCAATTATCAAGTGTGAGTTGATGTACTCGGTTTGGAGTGATACTAAATGTGATTGCTAATGATATCACCCAGTTGAGTGAATGAAAGTAGGTAGAATAGGGTCAAAACTTGAAATATATTGGTCGGAGATTGAGCATTTTAATCGATTTTTTTTTAATTATCACCGTTACCATGCTTTACCAACAAATGAATGGCAAAATCTATTTATTTATTTGAACACATAAATATTGATACAAAGGGGCACCAAATATATATCCGCCACACAAGTCACTCTTTAAGTATGAGTTGTGATACTGCCCAGGCGCCCAAACCGAAGCAGGTGGTTTTCTTAGACAGCCACACCCGGAGCTTTTAACCTAAAGGTCTAATCTACAAGGCAGTGGAGCAACGTTAGGAGATGCAGTCCCATGGTACCGGTGGCCAACAATTGGTTCAGACGCCATTTGTTCCCTCAGGATCCTAGAGCCCATGCGCACCATTGTTTTGGAATCAGGGTCTTCCGACTCCCCTAGGCGGACCCTCCATATACACTAACACTGTTAAAACGCTGAACATTCGCTTTTCATTCTCCCAATTTTGTAAATAACAGTAATGCCGCGAGAAGGCAGTCAGCAGGACTTTCTTAGCAGTGGTTATGTACGCATGTTCATGTGACAGCATTTTGAGAGGTTGAGCTGCCTCTCCCCACCATCGGTCGTACCAGGGCACTTGGGGGGCTCTAATGTAAATTTGACGATGAAAACTTAGTACTAAAAGCACCTTGCTAATGCTATTGAATGTCAAGACTATGAATCTGTTTGGATGTAAGTAAGCTAGAATGATTTATCACATAGTCGCCATGATAATCTGAAGAAATCACAAACACTTTTATGATTAAACAAGGAAAACTTACATGAAGTAATAATACAGCGGCAAAAAATGTTAAACCTTGACAATAACCAACTTCTTCATCGTACAAAGCATAAGCACGACTAACAAGAAAGAGACTTTCCTGTCCAATTTTATCACGGAAGAAACTATGAGCTGGAAATGTGCGTGCTAAATCACGACGAATAACTTCATCATGTTTGCATGGCTACAAGAAAAAAAAACAATATTCACTCGAGAGAGGTGGTTATATAAAGTGTTACTATGAATCTTTTTGTACTAAGATAGAGAGAATATTTAATCTTGGCGCTCAGGTCAATCGGCGAACAGTAAACACATCCAAATCTGTCTAATCAATCGATCAGATAAATCATGGACAAATATAGGACCAAGAATCAGATCAAAAGGAAGATACAATCAAAATAACGAGGCAGATAATTACTGGTTAGAGGTCAACAATAGCCAATCAAGATCGAGGTAGTTGGGACAAACTGCGAGTCTGATGTTGAGAAATTCAAATACTTTACTTTTACCGGAAGCTTGTCCTGATGTTCAGAAGAACAATAAAAGCTCCACGTCCAAAACACCCAGATTGAAGAAAGCCCCACCAAAATCTTAGAGCTTACAGATGAAAAACAGTGGGTTAGAAAATATTGGAGTTATTAGGAAGGAGAAAAACATGTCTCTCTGTAATTTGGTTATATTGATTAGCAAAAGCAGTCATCTGAGTGCCGACCGTTTGCGTGGTAATGAGAAATCAGTGGATAGTTCTTATTCTTACTATTTGGGTGTGATTGGTAATTTTTATCCGCTAATATAAACAATACGACTAATGAAACTATACCGCTGTTCAAACAGAAACATAAGGAGAACGGTTTGATTCTGTAAGGTATTAGATGGTAATTAAACGCTTGACACTAAACAAACTAAAGTATTCTTTTGTTGAAGGAAAAAAAGTACAACAGAATAAAATAATGAAACAATACTACTAGAGTAGCTTACTTTAGTAATAAGAATTCGATAAGCATCCATCAATCCACTTTCATCAACAGGACAACCAGATAATAACTGCCAAACTTCAGCTCGTAAGGCATCTGGAATACCACGGCTAACTAGTTTTCTAATTCGTTGACAAAATGCAGAACCTAAATGAGAAATATGGGGACCAGAACAACCACTATACAATAATTCAATTCTCAAACAATATGTAGATAAGCCGAGACCATTAGCTTGATCTTGTCTGACTTTGTTATGCCATTCAGTAACTAAATGTCCCCATTCAAGAAGTAGCTGATCATCTGTAACTTCTCTCGATACAATTCCATTACCGCTCATCAGTGGTTCATTGTCACTATCTGGAATGAAATTTAGTTTATAGGAGATCAATTTTGTTTTGCAGGTTTTGAAAAAAATTTATAGTTTTCACGAAAAAGTTAATAAATGATGAAAAAATAATTGAGTTTGAGAACTGCATCGTGATATTACTTGGTCAGTACATTAGATAAATAGTGAATAGTAATGAATATACCAATATTTATACTGGATCTGTAGTTCTTTATTTTGATATATTTCATCATTTAGTTTTTATGGTGTGTTAGGAAGCCAACAGAAAACTATAAGTTTAAGCAAAAATCAGATTTAAGTGTTGTATGTGTTCTCATAAGTAATGACAATCAAATATATCTATCTGTGTATACAGAATTCACTCAAAATAATGATATGGAAAACTCCATAAATTATACAAGTTGTGTTGCAGATCATATGGATTCTCCATATATCATGTCTATTCTGATAATAACAACCCACTGAACATTTTTGTCAAGTTTGAAAAGTAGTTACGAAAATAACAAACACTGAAGAATCAACGGATGAATATTAATTTTCAGCTTTTCTGACTACTCAAAAAAAGCAAACAACCACATTAATTATCAAAATAACTACTTTATAGAACAAGAGGTATGAATTCACGAAGAAACTAAGCTCTTCAACAATTCTTCAATCTTATCATTTCTTTTACACCAGTAATTGTAATGCTTACTGAGGTTATTGTTAAAAGTCACAGCTGTTACTACTGAACTAAATAGCATGCTGTCATCACCGTAGGATTTAATGAGAGATTAAGACTAGAAACATGGATCAATAATCAAGATATTATTCACAGCACAAAATAGATTTTAGAAAATCTTTACAAGTGTAATAACTATTTTAATAGAAAAAATTATCATGTCGTAATGTACTTTTTTTGCTGTCCAGTATAATTTAGTTGCAAGGTAAAACTGAAAACAGTGCTCTCTACAAAGTTTTAGTGGAAAAAACAAACATCGAATGATCAATAAAAAAATTTCCGAATTGTGTATGTTTGATCATTGGAATGAAGGTTAAAAGAGAAAAGAAATAAATTTAAAATGCTTTAAGCGAATATTTCAGTGATTTTAGCTCGGAACAAACATGAAGGCGTAGCAGATCACTATAATTAGAGACAGTAAATAATATCACTAAACAACGGCAAAAAATCAAACAAATTGCTTCACATAGAAGTTCAAGTAATAATGTTGCTTGTTTATAATAAGACTGAATAAGTATTCATATTCAACGGAAGTCTAGCGACATGATGCTTTACTAGTTCTATTTACTATATTAAAAAACGACTTTGTAAGTAAACGAGATTCAACATATATGACAAATCCGACAAAATAAAATTAGAATATTGATAATTGGAGTAAGAGGAGGAGTTATAAATAACAGATTTGGTGGATCTTTTAGTAAACTTTAGATGATCTTGAATTTTCATAAAAATCAAACTAGAATATAATTTATTGTATTTCTAGTAACGTGAGACAATTAAGTAACACTACCTTCTTGTTCAATTTAAGTATAAGCTTAACATCATTAAAATTTATTACACAGTGCCATGTCTTAAATTAACTGTCCTCCAGCGAAGCGAAATGAAGCGCGGTGGAGAAGTCATGTGAGCCAACTCCATTTGATCAAGAGTTAATCAATATTTATAGCGAGATAAAAATAAGCTACAGACATGTGATGAATGTGATAAGAAGTGTACACACACATACGCTCGTATAGTATAAAATCAGTCAGGGTTGATAAGTTAATGATTAACAAGGTCAAAACGTGACACAAGTAGGATGGATAAACTGGCCTGTCCAGAAGATAGAACAAATCATATGGGCTTAACATAGTAACCGAGACTACATGTCAAGTATACATCTTCCAGAGTTGAAGCATAGAGCCTCTGATCCGAGTGTGAGGTTAATTGACTAGTGCCAGCTGTTGAGCTCCCGACGGATGTTACTGAATCTGCTATTTTCGTCCCATATCGTAAAAGTATCATATATATACCTCTTGTATATATGGGAACAGTCGATTATTTATCAAAGTACGGTGTTATCCGATTATTTTATGAAACAATCATCTATAAGTGACCCCATCGATGCTTCAACATTGTCGATCATAATCATTATGAAACCTGAACTTTACGTTGAAGGTTCATCGTAGAAGTAGTTACCATAGATAGTATTCCGGGACACGAATATCGTCGGTTTTTACTTTTGACATAGTCATATAAGAAACATCTTCACGAATGAGACATTTTTGATAAGTGAATCAAAATTAAGTAATACCTTTCAATTTTCGGACATATTGATGTTAATTACTGAATCAACAGAATCTATTAAGCTGATGTCTTACTCGTAGCAAATTTTTAGACAAGTAGCACTTGCAAGGTATAGAGAACTATTTATATGTAGAAAAGAGTATGAGGAAACATCTTTATTATGCATGTTTGAGAAACCATATAACTGTGGGAGGACAAGATCCAGACGGTTCAAGGTGTCCGAAAAGGTCAAAACTGATGTTTGTTTATTGAATCAGCACATAATTCTTTTCATAGAATGCAGTAGTTGTGATTTGTATTCTCCTGACAATAGTTGCTTGGTTTTTGATATTCTTATTTGTGCATTTATTACAAAAGTGTACATGGGCCATTTTCAATTGCTCCAAATCTCTGTTACAGACTAAGAAATTACTTGTCTGACAAATTACTACGATTTTTACAGATAGCAAAACCTCAAGAAATCAGGGTAATCAGACGTTAAGGCATTAAATAAAAAATCACTATGACATCAAGGCTGCCTTCGATTCTTTGCACAGGACTGTTCTCTGGGATTGTCTATCGGAAAAGGGTGTGCCCGAGATTTCTAACTGCTTGAAAGCCTTCAGACAGAGTGAGGGCATACAACCACCTCTTTCCACTGTTCAATTCAAGCAATAAGGTTGACCAATCTAATCCTTCCTCTTCAATTTAGCCATCGATGACATTCTGGAAACAGCTCTGATGGATGTAAGTAATGGTGGTGTGGAGCAGTTTTGCTCTACGCTTGTGAAACCTGGCTTCACCGAGTCGAGGATGTTAGACAACTCTGTGTTTGATCATCGTCGTCTCCGAAGGATTGCTGGCATTCAGTGGCAACACCATGTTATTAATGCAGAGATTCGGCATCGTGTGTTCGGGCGCAGCGACGATAATTCAGTTGGTATCACCATCTTGAAACACCGACTTCGTTGGCTTGGATATGTTCTACGAATGTTATCCTAGAGAATTCCACGTCGTGCATTATTTTCTGACGCTTGGAATGGTTGGAAAAAGTGGAGAGGTGGTCAATGTATGACGATGTATCGTGGTATGAAAGAAAGCTGCAAAGGATTGGCATCTGTTGGACCTTTACGACTCCCTGGTTGGGGTCCTAGAGACGTTGCAACACAGTGGGTAGAGACGTTATCAGATATGTTTTAGAATAGAAGTCAGTGGCGACCCTGCTGTAACTTTCTTCTACTTTCTTCATAAAAAATAGACGTTACTTCTTTATCTGGAAGAATTCTTTCTGGTTGTACCTTTTACAATTGAACTGCTCCTCCCATTATTATTATTTCACTATCACACACTAATTTCTGTTCGTGTTGGTTCTCATTTTTCTTATACACATCTTACATTCTTTATCTCTTCACATTCTCACTGTTATTGTGTTGCCCATATGTATCTGGTGCCCCTTTGTACCAATATTTATGTGTTCAAATACATAAATAAAATAACAAGATAAACGAATAACACAAAATAAAGTGAATAAGAATATGATGATACGATGTTTATCGTTAAACATAAAAAAATATTTGTATACTAATATGAATGATTTTCAACAAATTACGATAAGTTTTGAAATAAGTTATCAAATTTCATATTTGCCTGCATGAATTGAACGTACAGTCAATGGCTACCATAAAGCGGTGACAAATTTGAGTATATTTAAGAGAAAATTTCTCTCACTTAATCTTATCCAAATTAAAATGAAGCAGTGAAATAACAAGTCAACCAACATAAATGATACATACTCCGTTTACTTTATTTGATAAATTTATTCAAGTTTACCAATTAATCTACACATTCTATATAAAGATTACCGCCCTTACTTTACTACTCGATAATCAATCAAAGGCATCAGTGATTAACTACCTGTAATCATTTTATACTATATCGCTTGAGACGTCAACTCCGCCTGTAGCTCTTCCAGAGTTACTGCCGGTCCCAAGCCCGGGTAAAGGAGGAGGGTTGGGCATGGGGTTAGCGTCCCCATCCCGTAGAAAACTAACTCGCTAAAAAAACGCTAACTAGAAAAAATTATTCAAACAATTTAAACTCTGCCCTGAGAGTTAGAAGGTCTTCATTTAGAAGAATTATGACGCTTCATGATGAAAGCCGAGTTCTTTCGGAAGCCACGAGGCCGATGCCCCTTCTAATAACCAGAGCAACAATTTTTATAGGTACATGGAACGTCCGAACAATGTGGGAGACCAGGAAGACCAGTCAAATAGCAACGGAAATGAGGAGATACAACTTGGCAGTACTTGGAATCAGCGAAACCCATTGGATCCAAGCTGGACAACAAAGGCTAAATACGGGAGAGATGCTACTATACTTTGGTCATGAAGAGGAAAATGCTCCACACACTCAGGGAGTTGCTCTAATGCTGTCCAAAGTAGCACGAAATGCACTTGTGGGATGGGAATCTAACGGATCCACAATCATCAAAGCATCATTCAAAACAAAGGAGGGGATCAAAATGAATATTATCCGGTGTTATGCACCCACCAATGATAGCCACGACGACATTAAAGATCAGTTCTATGAGAGGTCGCCATCAATCATAGCGAAGTGCCCAAGAAAGGATCTCACCATTCTGATGGAAGATCTAAACGACAACACCGGATATGAAGATATCACGGGACGACGTGGACTGGGACAGAGAAACGAAAATGGGGAAAGCTTTGCAAATCTGTGTGCATTCAACAAATTGGTCATATGGGGAACAATATTTTCACACAAGTGTATACACAAGGCTACATGGATCTCACCGGACCACACTACAGAGAACCAGATAGATCATATCTGAATCAATAAAAAATTCCGAAGGACACAGGGAAGATGTGAGAACCAGGAGAGGAGCTGATATAGCTTCAGATCACCATATAGTTGTGGCCAATTTAAAACTGAAGCTAAAAAAGAACTGGACAACTGGACAAACAACACTACAAAGGTTCAATACAGCCTTCCTTCGAGACACTGACAAACTCAATGAATTCAAGATAGCTCTCAACAATAGGTTCCAAGCCTTACAAGATCTACTGAAGGAGGAAGAAACTACTGTGGAGGACAACTGGAGAAGTACCAAATAAGCATTAACTTCAACGTGTCAAGAGGTTCTGGGTCTAAAGAAGCACCATCATAAGGAATGGATCTCTATAGAAACACTGGACAAGATCAAAGAAAGGAAGAACAAGAAGACAGCAATTAATAACAACCGAACACGAGCAGAGAAAGTCCAAGCACAAGCTGAATACATAGGAGCAAACATGCAAGTGAAGAAGAGCATTAGAGCCGACAAGAAGAAATACGTGAAAGAACTAGCAACGACGGCGGAAAAAGCTGCGAGGGAAGGAAATATGAAACAGCTTTACGATACAACGAAGAAACTACCAAGGAAATACAGTAGACCAGAGAGACCGGTCATGGACAAAGAAGGCAAGCCAATCACTGAAATTCAACAACAGCTGAACAGATGGGTAAAGTACTTCAAGGAACTCCTGAATAGGCCGGTTCCAATGAATCCACCGGACATCGAAGCAGCGCACACAGATCTTCACATAGATGTCAATCCACCAACGACTGAAGAAATCAGAATGGTCATCAGACAAATCAAGAGAGGGAAAGCAGCAGAACCCGACAATATACTAGCTGAAGCACTGAAGTCAGATATCGAAGTAACTACAAGCATGCTTCGCCTTCTATTCAAAAAGATTTGGAAGAAGGAACAAGTGCCGATGGACTGGAAAGAAGGACATCTCATCAACATTTCAAAGAAAGGACATCTGAGCAAATGTGAAAACTACAGAGGCATCACACTACTGCCAGTACCAGGGAAGGTCTTTAACAGAGTTTTGCTGAACTGGATGAAGGATGCAGTGGACGCCCAACTTCGAGATCAACAAGCTGGATTCCGTAAGGATCGGTCATGCACAGACCAAATTGCATCGCTACGGATCATCGTCGAACAATCAGTTGAGTGGAACTCATCATTATACATCAACTTCATTGATTATGAAAAGGCATTCGAGAGTGTAGATAGGAGGACATTATGGAAACTTCTTCGGCACTATGGAGTTCCTGAGAAGATTGTCAACGTTATCTGGAACTCACACGACGGACTACAGTGCAAAGTCATGCATGGAGGACAGCTGACAGACGCATTCCAAGTAAGGAACAGAGTCAGACAAGGCTGTCTACTCTCTCCCTTCCTCTTTCTTCTGGTGGTCGACTGGATTATGAAGACCTCGACATCTGAGGGAAAACATGGCATACAATATACGACTCAGGACCAGTTAGAAGATTTGGACTTCGCAAATGACCTGGTCCTCCTATGGCATACACATGAAAAAATGTAGATAAAGACAGCCATTGTAGCAGCAGTTTCTGCATCAGTAGGCCTCAACATACACAAGGGGAAAACCAAGGTTCTCAAATACAACACGGAGAACATCAATCCAACCACTCTTGATGGTGAAACTCTGGAAGATGTAGAATCCTTCACATAACTGGGAAGCATCATCGATGAACAAGGAGGTTCAGATGCAGACGTAAAGGCGAGGATTGGCAAAGCAAGGGCCGTATTCCTTCAGTTGAAGAACATATGGAACTCAAAACAACTTTCAACCAATATCAAAGTCAGAATCTTCAATACCAACGTCAAGGCAATTCTACTGTACGGAGCTGAAACTTGGAGAACTACAACAACCAGCATCAAGAAGGTGCAAGTATTTATAAATAGTTGTCTACGCAACATACTCAACATCCATTGGCCGGATACCATCAGCAACAGCCTTTTGTGGGAGAGAACAAAGCAGCTTCCAGCTGAAGAAGAAATTAGGAAAAGACGATGGAAATGGATAGGACATACACTACGCAAATCGTCAAACTGCATCATGAGACAAGCCCTAACTTTGAATCCTGAAGGAAGGCGGAAAAGAGGAAGGCCAAAGAACACATTACGTCGGGAAATAAAAGCAGATATGGAAAGGATGAACAACAACTGGAAGGAGCTGGAAAGGATTGCCCAGGACAGGGTTGGATGGCGAATGCTGGTGAGCGGCCTATGTTCCTTCACGAGGAGTAACAACAGGCGTAAGTAAGTAAGCAAGCTTGAGACGTCACATTTCAAAAATATCTAGTAAAAGACATCAAAGTATATTTTTGATAAATTGGTAATAACTTGAAAACATACCACACATAGTAGTTGGCAGAGTAATATACACTTTAACCGTACCTAGTAACTTCCCTTTCACACACTTACCCTACGAAAATATATCACATTTTAAGTAAACTCTCAAAGTTAATCTAAGTTAATTTAATTACCAAAGAAAATTTGATTGACCACATGACTTGAGTAAACTGAGTACAGAAAAAAGAATTAGTGATTTAAGTTTACACACCATTTAACACATGGCACTTCACTGATTAATAATTAGTTCAAAATAATAAAATGATGGATTGGAAAATATCACAGATGCAAAGAACTAATGAATGTTTCTCAGTAGAACAAGACTATCCCGTTGCTGATTATGAGTTACTTGAAACAACCAAAAAAGACTACAAACCGATAAATGTATTCTGATTTTTGTTTATACAGTAGAAAAGTACAAACCTGGTAAACATTGAAGTAATAGCAAACGTGTAATATATCATTTCCCATAAAACTAATCTTAGTTGACAGTAGGAAATTGATCTTTTTCTTCCAAATGGATTACAACTACAAATATGAAATGTTGATCTCTGTCATTAAGAAAGAATAAATTTTTTAAATTCCATAATGATCAGAACTAGGGCAATATTGTGCAGTTAGGTAGAAGGATAGATTTCTAATTACAATCATTACTACAAGACCTACATTTTTAGGGCGTTTTTTCTCAAAATGAATTTAAAGACTTCATGATCAAGAAATCGAAACACAAGAAACCTTGAACTGACTGATCCTGATTAGTAATTGATTTAATGTTTAATTTTTAGGGCTGATTGAATTATATAGATTGTATTTACAATTTGAATAATAGACTAAGTGATTCAAACAGAATTTCCTGATGTATATAAATCATTAGAAAAAGGCATCTGCAATCTTGAAGTGTGTGATGGTTTCTCAGATATAATGTCTCAATTAGACCTATGCAACTCAGTGAAAGTCAATGAAAATTTTTACCATAACTAAGCGGTCATAAAAGAGGAAAATCTTAAAAGGTAGAGTTAACAAACCATACATAACACTATGATCGTGTAGCACGTAAATTTCATACATTAACTAATAGTACAAGATTGATAAGCACAAAAAACTACAGTTGAAAATATTGACCATGTAAAATGAAATATTAAGGTCACTACTATTGTTATTAGATCTAATCCAGGTGAAATATGCAAATCATATGCATTAGTAGATGGAAAATGAATACAAACAATAAGAAGTATAGTAATAATATTGTTATAATGAGTACTAAGTTAATTTATTATTGGTCAACTAATGATTAAAATTTACCTTCAGCTTGATTAACAACTGATGGAACAATTGATTGATTATGTTCTGGATGAAATGCAGTAACATTGAAAATTTTCTGTATTTTACCAGCGTGTAAATTTCTGTTTTCATCTATACTCTAAAATGATAATTTGTTTTTTGTTTTTAAAAATGGTTATTCGAAATTTAAGAGTAACAAAAAAAACTGACTAGAATAATGAATAGATAAGTTGTAAATTGAGATACTTAAAGGTAACTCATCATTAGATATGAGAGCTAGTGAAACTAATTTTGTTGCTAATACTGAAGTAGTTGAAGCCAATTTCGAATATATTTATCATTAAGTCAGTCAAAACGATGTGAAGTGCTAGAAAATTTTAAACTTCATCAACCATTATCGGCCTCTTGCAGTGAAAGCTATCTATAAATAAATATGAGTAATACTGAAGTCAGACTAAATGAATGCATTAAAAATGATGTTAGAAATATTTTACTGAATAGCCATAGATTACGTTTTTTGGATGTATGTTTTTTCCAGAGAGTATATAAAAACTAACCAAAATGAACAAATCCACACTAGTAGTAGAAGATAACTGTTCTCGAAAAATTTACTTTAAGCTTTCGAATTGCTTAGCTAAATACACTAATGACCTTGACTCATCATAAACTTTAACTTTTTTCAAAGTTATGACAAGATTTCAGGGTATATGGCAATTACGATCCCTTATGGCTCTATTTCCATTTCTTAATATATACATCTTGAAGTAAAATTTAAAGAGAAGAAACTTAATATTTCTTAGACAAACGTTTTAGTAACAATACAATAACAGTCTATGATCTTTGAGTATCATGTTAGGAAATTTCGGGGTATTTTGAAAATATTTAGCTTAACAATCCCAAAGTAGATGAAATTTTGAGTAGTTGATCAGAAATTTAGTGACTAAATCATTGAAACACACCAATAAAATGTTCAATACTCATTTGTCTAGTTGACACTATTTTAAATAATGTGGTGTAATCAGTTATTAACAAACGAGTCTGTTTTCCTTGAATTTTCAACTACCTACATTGGGTTTTTCATTTACACCGTAATATATGACAAACATGTTGATACAATAAAGCAAAGACTCAAAATCAAATACGAAAACATCTGTTAATATCAACGGCATATAATTAGTACAAAATACAAACCTCAGTTAATTTAATAGTATAATCTTCTATAACAGGTTTTCTATCTAAAGAGAGCCAAAATATTTCATCTGTTTTATAAACACGCGCTCGACAGATTCGTCGCAGAGCTAATGGTTCTTCAAGTCTATGGATAAGTAGGCGTACAACAACCGTGAAGAATATACATTCATCTACAGAAAAACATATGATAGAAGAAAAAAGTGTTAAAATTTCGGCTTCATTTCAACAAAAATATTGAGGTCAATTTATAACATGCGGATCATTTAAATATAACCTAATGTTTATTAAAACTGAAAGTATATAATCTAAGTAAGAGCACGTAGTCTTTTATTTACATAACGGAACATTGTACAAAAAGTTTGGTTTAATAAAATAGTTGATACTTTTCTTGAGAACAACTATTTCTTGAAATGACACGGTATTTCAGATGGGGGAGTTAAAGCACTCGACTTTCAAACATTGAATTTCAGGTCTGAACCCCGCTGAATTCGATTTAGTTAGAGCAACTAGTCAATATTAACAGGCCACATATAAGATGTTCGGCTTGAACCTAATTACACCAATTTGTATTTAATTGCTAACTTCCTATTTAAAACCGTAATTATGAGCTCTACTTTGTTAGCTATAGTAAAGCAGGTGGGAAATGTGATACTCATGTAGTTCACCGATAAAACATCGATCGCATTTTAACCGACATACGCTAACAAATGCAGGATTGTTATAGCATGATGGTTAATCCCGAAATTTTTATGGTATGAATACTTAGTCTTGAAATATTCATAATTTATTCACTTTTTTAAGTTGCACAGGGTTTTGGAGATTGTTGAATTACAAGAAATCATGAACCTACTTAAGTTAGACCACCATCTAAAACTTCAGAGCATTGAAAGACCATTTCGTCCTAGTATAAGACTTTTCAGTGGTGCGCATCCAAGATTCTGAACGCGCAACTCGAACACAGGGCCTTCGGTCTTGTACACGAATGCTTAACCCCTGAACCATTGAGTACAGATTCAACGATGTTAATGTCTAACTTCAACAAATCCGTGACATTGCACCACCATTTTTCATGGACTTTGATGGGTAACTACCTTACAATCGACACAGTTTAGCTCTACATGTGACGGTTTTGCACAAGAAGTCCAGAACTGTTTTCTCGAAGTTAGTCACCAGTGAGCAAACGATGATTATCAGTATGGGGTTGGGGAGATTGATGAGTAGCAAAGAAAACTCATAACTGTACAAATTACAGTATGCTAAACTTTAACAAAATAATTAGCACAATCTTTAACTAGTATATACGAAAGAAACATAAAAGATGTATATAAATTTAGGGATCATCTATTTTCAAAGAAAATTCACAATAACCTTCAGATTTTTACTTTTCTAGTAAGTTAGAAAAGAAACAGTATGGTGTTTTTTTTAGACTTTCAGTAATATTTTACAACTTAACTCATAAGCTCCAATTCTAAATGATGGTTGGATACTGAAATATTAATTTTCACTGATAGCATCTTACCATGGGCAGAAACGGTGGAAAAATGATAATAAACGTTTTATAATGGTAAGTTTTGGAAACAAGTTTATAAGCAAATGTTGTTCAACGTGGAAATTTAACGAGGGTTCACTTAAAAAGAGACTGGTATATACGCTCATTAGGAAAACTACGAAATACCATATACATATCGTCAAAATAAACAGTCAATGCAAATATAACTATATAATTTTCATAATCGACCTAAAAAATACATATAAATCAACAAATGAAGAACTAACCACGACTTCCAACGACATCAAACATAGAGAATTGATTATGATTTGATGGCCAAACAACCCAAGTAGAAAATGAAGTTCCGCTTAAAGAATTAGATGATGCTTCTCCTCGTGTAACATTTTCTTCGCCTCCCAAATAGGTTAGTTCACTATCCGATAAATAACGACCAAAACCCAAACATACGTCTAAAATTCTAGATGATATAAAAATGATTTAATGTATGTCATATACATACGTTGTAAAGCATGAGAAAAAATATCCACACTTTAAAACTGATCATTATGGAATTAATATTTTCAGATTTTTATGGTGAAATAAAATAGCACAGTCTTAGTGTTAATATGTAATATGTAAACTTTAAACTAGTTTTTTACGATCACAATATTTGCATAAAAATATTATAGAAAAGATATCTACAGTAGCCTACCGAAATCATATTGCTTAAATAGATAATGGTATCGATGGTTAGAATTCTTCAAATTACGTTTTATTATTGTGAAAACCGGTTATGAATTATGATTTTAAAACTTCAAGGTTTTAAAATATGATTAATCTCAGGTTTTAGAAAACAAACTAAAATGATCATTATGTTTGCGGCTTGCTTCTGGCAGTGAACTTTGTGGATGCAGAAAAGGAACTGAAGACTAAAGCATCTCAGTGTACACAAAATTACACAAACAGTTCATTTGGCTTAAGCATAGTTGAATATGAACTCCAGCATATTCATTTTGATATTTCTTCGTTATTTTAGTTTATGACATGAACGTTTCATAAACGTTATAGCCTTAATTCGTTATAAAGTGTGGGATTTATTAAGTCTTTCCAAGCCTACTGTTAATAAATTCATTCATCTTATGTTTATAAAAAGCTCATTATTATTTTACATTGATTTTACTAATTTGGGCTTAAATAATGACTTGTTCGCATTAAAAAGGATTCAATGTGTCAGTATATTAGAGTAACCATTCTTTACTTGAACCCTCAACTAAGTGAACATTAGTATTCATTTACTATTGGGGTCGATAAACATATCACGAACAAATTATTACCCCAGGACATCCTAATAACAATAATAGTGACCAGCTGCAGTAGTTAAGTCGACATTTTATAAAGAAAATTTTGAGGGATAAATAAAAAGAACAGCTTTTTTATGAATACTTACATCCCATACAACAATCTGATTAGTAACTTTGTCGTAGCACAATGAATTCGAATAGTTTATAAGTAAGGATTTCAAAAAAAGAATAGTGTTCTAAATATCAAATAAAATAACTGAATTAATAGATCACAAACAAATCCCAGTTAAGATTTACTAGGCATCTACAAAATTTCATCTTTGGATAAACTAACTCATGTATTTATGACTAGTGACGATTATCAAATCACGTAATAAGTTGAAAATAATTAAAAAAAAATAAATCTACTAACCCATTTATCGGTAGATAAACATGACCGTCTAATTGACTGACACCAACAAATAGTCGTTTAGCTGTGCTCTTTCTCATTTTAAATAATTCCGACTTTTCTTTTGGTACAGGAGTAAAGTTAACATTCGATCCATCATCTTCTCTTATATCCAAATGTAAACGTAAACTAGATCATGTTTATTAAGGTTGAGAATTAAATATAAGGGTAGACAATATGGGAAAGAATCTTTTACTATTCAAACTACAAATAAATTCTTGAAGTTAACAGAAAACAGGTACTAGTGATGTAGAACTTGTTAATCATGTAAATAGGCATTGCCAACTTCATCAAAGAGAAGCAGTTTACAATCGAAAATTAGAATTAACAATGAGTACTAAGCAGTGTTTGATCACTGTATTGAGTTTAGTTCCAAATGGTTTACTTATAACATATGTTTGACTATGGAGTAGGATTATATGACTTGGGAATTTTAAGGTGGTAATACATTTCTACGATAGATTGTAGGTGGGTTTCATTGACAAGTTCTTAAAAGCACGAGAGCCAACTCAAAAGTCTTGATCAGAAAAAAGGCTGTATAACACATAGGTCTTTTAAAATAAGGTCAAAATAATAAGATTCCAAAATAAGGAGAATGGTAATATGAATGCGTAACGAATTAAATAACTGGTTATCTACAGGTGTATCTTCATTCGCAAATTTAATCAACTATATGAGCCTTCAAATACCCGTAAAAAAACGAAAATTATCATCAATATACAAAATGTTTGGTCATGGAGCTTAGATATGTTTCGACTAGATATCTAACAAGACGTTAAATCCAAGTGATTTCATATGGAAAATAGCAAATCAACCGAATTTAACGTCTTGAAAATCCCTATACAGTGTTCGAATGTAGGAATATCGATCGATCGGTTATTCAAAGCCAGAATCCCAGTTAATAGTAAATGAATTCCTGAAACTACTGAGTACATAGTAATAAGGCTCCTATTTCTTTCTTACAGGGATATAATATTCTTGATATCATATAGGTTTTTCAGTATTCTAAGGGTGGAAATGACTTACGTAACACTTTGAGGCTCCCACACACCGGATATGGTAGCAGTGGATCCAGTTTCTTCAGTAATGATTCGACGGATGACATCGATTATCCTCAACGTCTAAACAAAAATTCGAATTGTAATTTTAATAGCAAAGAAATTAACGTTACTTTTTTCAAAAGGGAATTGAATTAAACAAAACTTTTGAAACTAGTTTTACTTCATACAAATATCATGACTTGACTCATGAATTTTAACGTATCTCTTTACTTTTAGTGATTATGAATCGAACTAAAGAGGTAAATGGAAAAATCTTTTTAAAACGTGGATTATCTTTTTCTGACAAACATTCGGTTTGAGTGAAGAAAAGTAATAGAAATTAAATTAACTCATCAACCAAGTATTGGAATACGAGTCACACTCTGAGAGTGAGGGACAGTGATACTAGCCTACTACCTAAAGCAAAGTAAGAAGGGATCAAGAAGACTATATTTTGAAGGTACTGAAAATCCTGGGTATCTAAATAAACAAAAGGTGATGTGAGGTTTGGAACTGTGATATTGGTTTTTGATTGACTTTATAGATTATAGAGCAATGACGCCATGTTTCCATGGTACCTGTTGAACGAACTATTTAGTATCTGGTCTTGTATGTTGATGGACAAAAAGAGAACCACATACTGCTGTCCCTAGTATTTGATAAATTTTCTTCACGGCATAAAAATATTCCAATGGTTGACAACATGACTCAATCGAAGCTAAACAACCACGGTTGCGAAAAGAAGTCACTAAATCGATCAACAGAACTATCTTTTCTCCCTTAGTAGATAGTGAACATCATATCAAAATAGAGGGAGCTTTCTCTGTTTTATATCAAGTTTCAAAATATCTACCTCAAGGAGCTAGATTACGGTTACTCTAAATAGCCGAATCCATCTTGATCAACTTCAGAAAACCGAACTTATGTGTCCAGAGAAGGTATATCCAGCCTCTAGGTTTACCTTGGCCTATGACGGGATCACTGAATACCTAAACTGAACCACTGAAATTACTGTAATATCCACAAAAAGCCCTTGCCATATATGTTGACTAGATCTCTCAAAAGGCTGAATACTTCAATATTGATAGAAAACAGGCGCGACTTATGCTACAAAAGTTCCTGATACGACCACACACAAAGCTCCTTTTAGTAATAAGAGCAAAATTTATCTAAATAAATCTAACAAGAAAAGCCGAGTGATGACAATTCTAACTTGGACATAACTTTGGCTTGTTTCCACTGCAGTTACTATATTCACCACGTACCAGAATTCGTGAACCAAAACTATCGTAAGCAGTTTAATCACAAACAGGTTACACTTGAAAGTTTACATTGCAAAATGAGAGAGATAACAAAAATATTTTTAAAGTTACCGCATGATATGTTGGACAACGTAATATATGTGTTAGGTACATGTTTAATGGCTCTTCTGAAGACGGGTCTATCGCTTCGTTATTTGATGATGAAGTACCATGAGTTAGTAAGACATAATTTGCTGTTGCGGTGTCGGATCCCTTTGACAAGTTTTTGATCTCATTAAGTGGGAAACAAATTAATTGTTCATTGGTAATTGAATCCGTAACGCTAGAAAAGTGAGATAAAACAACACAAAGAAGGAAATCTAGTGGTCGGGGAAGTAACGGACTAATAAGTAAAAGTGGCAAATGTTCCTAACAAAATAGTTTTGATAATCAAATGCGGTAATTCAGCGAAATCGTGTATACTGTTAGTTACACATGATAAAGTGACACAAGTAAACTGCGCAGGTTATAATTATTAAAGTAGAGCTACTAGATGAGATTTCAAGTGAAAAATGAATGCAAAAAGATCTTCGAGTGAAATGAACTTACAATAAAATCCCCTCTCTGTTGGTTGGAATTGATATATTTACGACAGTGAAACAGTCTGTCGAGTTGTTTTCAAGAACATGAAAATATTTGTTTACTTCAGTTTTGTTCCATGACGACATATCGATATTTGGGGAAAAAAATTGGATGTCTTCGAAATAAATGCATCGAGAGTCCGTGCCGTTCGTTTTACCAGGTGAAGGAGTCGAATTCATATCGCAGTTTCGGATTATTTTAGGTAAGAACTTGAATATTCTCCTGATCGCCTACAGGAACCGGATGATTTGAATAACTACCTTCAAGGAAGTTAAATGATACGAGTTAGCAAGTTGTCGCGAAGAGAAAACGTTATTCCAAATAACCACCGAATTATAATAATGAAATTTGATTAACTGAAATTAAAACCAACCACTTCATCACAATAAATTATTTAAGAGCATCAAATTACAAAAGTTCGGAGTGTCTAGTATTTACAATTACAGCAACAAATGTTTAGAATATTTGCATTGAAATGCACAAACAAAAACATGTATTCACTAACCTACAACTCTAAGCAATTGAATAAAGATATAAAACACATAATGCTTTAGTGAATTCTATAACCAATTTTAAGCTAGCATATTCATATGAAATAGAAGTTTACGTCACAAGTCAGCTCCCAGTGTCCTTGCTATTTACATTAACTGCTCATTGGCTTCCGTTATGAATAAAGCAGCATGTTGATAAGCATGTCGAGTAGATTAGAATTTGCACAAGCATTAGGAGATGCGTATGGTGAAGTCTTACTTTCTAGTATTTTTTTAAGAAAACCAAATAGTAAATAACATAAAGGTTTTATTTTAGAGTTACGAATTTACGCCACATAACGATTTATCGACACCACTTATGAACAGTTTACTTTAGGTAAGACGGACATAGCATACTCGATTCAACCTCAGTCATTCAGAGAAAGTGCTGTTTCTGGTTAAAAAACTTCTTAATAAAGTACAGTTCAGGACAAATCGACAGGGGTTTTGTTTAAAAATAACGAAATATATAATTGGATCAGTTGTATCCCGCAAAAAAATGGTCTGTCCTAAATCAACCAAAATCAATAAACGGAGAGTTACAATCGTAGTATGATTTGTTGCTGCTAATGAAATCAAGTAAAATATCCGTCTCAGTAAGCCTCTCAGAAAATAAAATTATACTGAAATTTGAGACTGCTGCAGCACTAAAAGTTTAAATACTTAGTTTCTGAGAATATAAGTTAGATTTCCGAAAAAAAGAACATTTTGGCACTAACTCCACTCATACACCAAACAATACCAGGAGCTTAGATCCTTTTTGACAGTTAGGTACCGTACAAGCCAATTTCAGCGCTATTAACGAAGCTTTGGATATATGGTTTAAGATCCAATATAAATGTATTTGTGATGAACTTATATAAACTGACCAGTTTCTTAGCTCTCGTGTTTTTTTTTCTCGTTGCGGTTACATGTCTTAATGTTAATGTATAACTTTAAGTAGTCCGACCACTAAGATGGACAAATCCTTGTCAGTTTATTGGTTATTTGTGTGTTTGTATATTTTGTGGTCGACGTGGATGCATTTATCTCAAAACAACAAAGTGTTCGGATTTCAGCAGCTATTAAATTATTGGGCAGAAGTAAAATTGGTTTTAATGTGAAAAATGATATAGAGAAAATTTAGATGCAATGAGAAGACGGATGTTTCAAGTACCACAAATAAATAGGCTGTTAGTAATGAAGTACTACTGCCTAAAAGCTGCACCATCACAGCGGCGACGGACATAGCTACCATGGGAATTACGTTCAAATGTTGAGTTGCTGGACTTAACGAAATATAAATATACGACTTAATTATCGTTGTGTTCTTCCTTCCCAGTTGTCTAGGCTACCAGACGTTTAGGACACCTTTTGCACTATTTCTGTGTGTTTATTATTTTTACCATCTGTTGGAGCATGGGTAGGATTGCGATCCTGATCACTTAGTTGGAAACTCGGCTTAAGTTTTTGAAATATGTTCTGATTGACTAGTGTCGTCCCGAGCTTTCTTACCAACGTTTTGCTGGATACAGGGTCTTTCAACTTATTATCCTGACTTGAGTCAATATGTCTACTACTCGTCGTTGTAGTTAGATTGTAACTACTGGTCGCAACGTTTTTACTGTTCATGTGACTTAATGGATTAAAAGATATAACGTAAGTCAATAAAAAGAGGAAGCATACAAGATGCCAATTTCGATTGAGAAAAATAATACGAATAGCACATACAACCTAGAAGGCACTCTAGTCTAAAAAGCTACCCTTAACCATCCTAGTCACCAACCTTGCGTGAATCTGCAAGTTCTTGGTTTGAAAATGAATGAATGATGTTACGTTGTAGTTGAAGCAACTAGAAAGACAGCAGATGACTGAGAGAGCTTGTGGAATTACTGTCTAGTTCGGTAAAATAGTATGCCTTTGCTACCGTATTAATAGAGATAGTCCTAAAACTGTAGATTTGTCATGGTGTGAGTATCTAATTTTTAAGATCTTACATGAAAGTCACATCACAGACTATGCTGACTCGTCCTACGTGACGATGCGTATTATGACGTTTAGCACTTCTGAAGAACACATTTGAACAGAGGTGAGAGTAATCTATTCGATACAAAAAGCAGGAGATTATGCATATGTATGATTGTGCCATGCCATTTTGATTAATTGTTCCTGAGTTCACCGTGTGCTGACCTTATCTAAACCCTACATGCTTAATGCATATCTCAGTAATTACACGCTCAGCTTCAAAGATCATGTGGCTACGAGCCACTGACGTTACGGGTGTCACTTACCTTATAGTACTTCAACCTTGATGTGATTATGTATGTCCTATTTAAGATTTTGGTTTTCTATCACCAAAATAAGACGCGGTTTTGTTCTTTGAATTAGTTTACTATTTCACGTCGGCAGAGAAAACTAGATATTTATCGTTATTTGTGCGAAACAAAAGACATTAGATCAAACTCAAAAAACTCACTGAAAAACTGCTAAATAAATTCCCGTAGACATTTTACTGCTAAAGTGTCCCCACACTAATTACATTTTCTCTGAGGCAGGCTACGTGAAGGGATATAAACTCGTATTCAGATTTGAAGTTGTGTGACGAGGTCAGAAAGTGACGGCCTGTAATGAATCTTTTTTGTTAGTTCCTTTGGGTATCTAATAGACTCAAAGAGTTGATTACTCAGCGTGCGAACTTGTACGTTAGCAGTATTTTCTGGAGCTATATGCCCGGATAGGAGAGCAAAGTCTTCTGAACGTCTAAAGAACACGTTGATCCGATTACTTCTTTATTATTTTTCTTGTGGACACTTCTTTTGTTCTGTCTATGCACCTCCATTATACGCAAGTACAACGCGTCTTGATTTATTTCATATTAATTAAGTTGACGGGTAAATGACTGGATGTAGTTGTCCTTAAAAATGGCATATCAGTCATGAAACAAATGGTTAAACTTGGTTACGACGATCAAGTTCAATAAGTAAATAGAATAGCAGTCACAGAATGACGCCATAAGAGTCCTACTAATTGTAAGCAATGCCTCTTATTCTCCAACCCTCATGCAACTTTTCATGGACATTTAGTATTTACGAAGGAATTACAGACATCAAATAAAGTGATTCACAAAGTCGAATGAGCACTACGACATTTGAGAAAATACCGATTATGATTTTCATATCAATGACATAAACTCACGATTCACATACAAAATAAAACCACCAGAAAACAAAATTTAGATATTACTCATCCATGTGCATTAGATTTCTGCATATAGTTTGCTCGGTAGCCGCGGATTCTGTTTACAGAAACTGATTAGTCAACTGAACTACCGACACATCATAAATTAGTATTAACTGACAACATGGTTCAGTTACTACGTTCAAAACAAAAATGAATCGTTTGGCTCACTATGAATTGGCGACTAATTATTATGGCACTTATGGTGATGCTATATACAGTTGCTGTATGTGTTCATTAGATGAATAGGAAAAGCTATCAACTTTAATTATTACACATATAATTTTTCTTCATCAGATAAGTTACACATCAATATAACATTTCCACAAAAAGCGATTATACTTATACCTGTTAGACTTGTTTACTTTTGTATGTTAATAACTTGTGTAAGGTTCAAAAAAGTTTAATGCCGAATTGCCTTAACCTGCACTTACTAAACAACTGTCATATATCTTTGTAGGTATAACTACCAAGGTTTGATTTGATAATTTCGAATAAATTGAGCATTTGGTTGATTGTTATAAATAAAAATGATGTATTTGTAATATTACAAATATATTATTTTTGTTTATCATATATCTTTGTTCACTCACATCATTTGGAGTGTTAGATCATATTTAAAGGTTTTTAAGTCGATTTTGCATGAAAATAACTAATTTCAGTATATCTATGACCTGATAAACAGTGCATTTCACTTGAACGCGTTCAGTTTGACACAAATATGCACATTCCATTTGGCTTGGTTTTCCTCCAGGTTTTGAACAACAACTACGTTAAAATAATGATAAAATGGGAAAGAGCTACATATTCTTCCTTTTTTTAGGGAAAACTTTATCCGATTTGTTTAAATTTTGTGGAAGCCGCATTAAAAAACATTGGAGAAAATTTGAAGAAATGGCACAAAAACGGCACAATTTTCCTAAGTCTGGGGAAAAGTTCCAAAGATTTCGAGAGATTTAGAGTTTTCTTCAATATTTCCGCAGAATCGTATAACAATTAGAGGGTTTTTTTGAAGATCCACCTAACTTTGATGAAGACCAATCTTATTTTTCGGTGGAACGTTAAGGAATTTTGGGCAAATTTGAAGGTTTCTCGAAAATCGTCAGTAGTTTGGTAATTTTCAACAAAGGTTGAGGAAATTTGTGAAGACATCCTCAAACCGTCATAAGTTTCCGGAGAAATATTGGGGAAAACACAAAATTTTCTGAATCATTTTGAGGATTTACTCAAAACCTTGGGGATTTTCTCCATACCATTTCCATAAAAAGATAATCAAAGCTTTCTACCCCAGTTTCCTCAAAATTGACTCAGACCGTTTGCGAATCTAGGAGATTGGTTGACTACCAAGGTTCTCACGGCATTAGGGAAAACCCAAGAATTTACCCGAAATTCCGCAAATTAAGAAGATTTGGTATGCAATGAACATAAAAATTTCAAAACTTAACGCGGATCGGCAAAAATACTGTCAACAACTGATCACCAAAGACTTCAAATATACTCGGCCGACATTTTATAACACAAGACTAGCCAGATTGCCTGAAGAAATACATTGACTTGAGTAGAAGCAGCAAAAACCCAGAAAACATCGCTGATTCGAAATAAACTTCACACCAACATATAGAACATTACACTAACTGCGGCATTTTAGCACACTGAGACATTAAATTACATAACTACACAAAAGAATTAGCTGAAAGAAGCACAATACGAAGAAAGCCGACCGCCATTGCTTACAAAGATGGCGCATGTAATAATTCCCGCCTCATTGTGATTGTTTGCTAAGCTGAAGGGCACATTTACGAAATTGAGTTGCGTTTAATCGCAGCCCTCGATAACTTGTGACATGTACGCAAAAAACCGAAGCCTAATTTATACTTCGTTCTCTCACATTCACCTCAGTCCTTCAAAGTTTTGCTAACACGGAAGAGTCAATTCAAACCATAGGATGACTTTTGTTTCATACTGACATAGTGTGATTTACTGAAGAAGCAATATTGTTGAAGTATACTATACAGATGGCCTTAGGTTAATTAACATAACGCGCGCGGAGCTTGAAGCGTAGTGACTGGTATCTAGGTAGAAATTGACTATATTCAACGCTTGAAATGAATATAACCAGTCAAAATATCTGATACACAACAAAAAAGTAAATATCAAGTGGTTTGTTAGCTTAATTACAAAATATACCTGTTCGTAGACTAGATTGTGAGTTAGACCACATCAAGCACTTAGATGCTTTGTATAGTTCAACACGTAGTCAAATGTTTAGTAAAGCTTTGTTATTTTCTAACTTATTAATTCTTAGTATTATTTTCAATTACAAATCTTTTTAGGCTCGTGGAACGAAGGGTGTCAAGGCATTATCGATAAATATGCATATGCAGATATCATATTATCAATGGTGTCAATTCATGACGAAAATCCTGACTCTTATTTTCTAAAGCTAAACTACAAAATATATTGTCAGTGGCAGTAAGGTGCTCCACTAAATGCTTTACTTTTTTTGGAGGGGCGGTAGAAGATTTATACAAGTGTGCTTTTACGTCTAGGAAATTTACCCAGGTCAAATGTTTCCGAAAATTCACCAAATTCTGGACTTTCTACCCACTTTTCACAGGCCCTGGATTTTCTCACAAATTAGCCCCAAAAATCTTCGAATTCTTACCTCAAACGCTAGTATTCCGACAAGCGAATTGGAAAGGTGTTTACTCTATCATTACTTGTAGACATTTATTGTAGTCAAAGTGTGAAATCAAATTAGTGTAAGGTTTATGATAACACTTTTACAAAGTCACCAAAAAGCACACTTGAATTATAAGGCTTTGAAATCGCATATTAATGACATAAACCTAGAGTCGCGTTCGGCAAGTTTGATCTTCATTTTGCCAATATGGGTGCAAACTGTCCAGCATCAGTTAGCCTATATGACTCAGCATACTGATGATGTCTTAGGTATTCAGTGTTTGACAACGATTTTACCAGTAACACCTAATATATTTCGTTCCCACCCAGAGAAATCAAAAGACAGAGTCAAGGAGATCGGAAGAGTATATTTGGCGATGACCAATATATCGGAATTCTCTGATCTAATCTGACTAGCGATTGTGGTTGATGTTGAGCACGGCGTTACCACACGTGATCTGGTGCGGATGCATGACCGAGCGCCTTCAGCTAGATGAGTCCACTAAAACATATGGTCAGCATCGAACGTCGAAAACTTAGAGCTATTTATTTTGGGGATTTATTTACCGTTACAATACTATGAAAAAAGATTAGCATAGTCTGTCCTGTCATTCTTTCGAGAGAGATACAAACCAGGAGTTATCAGGGTTAGTCATATGGATGCCTAAAAGCCAAGAAAAAAATTAGATTAACAGATTTAGCTGTAACTTTGATATTAGTTTTCAGACATGTTCATTTTGCATCGTCAAAATACCACTTCTACGGTCAATTTGTTCATGGAATTCACTGGTATTTTCTTACTGTTCTGTCTCCAGTTATAAATCCTATGTATTTTTGACTTCCTTGAGTTATGTTTACGAAATTTAAAAATTTGTACTTCTTCGATGCAATAAAAATAAAGTCTGTTAAACACAGTCATCCAAAATTTGAAGCTAAACCCTGTGAACTTGGTGCCAACTACTGCATATTGTTGTTTTATGTGCATCATGCCCACGCTTTATATACCTTTTGATGCTGGCTTGTGTGTGTCTGGTCTCATCATTTTATTAGCTGACGTTCAGTCATAAATAAAGCAGAAGTTACGAGGACACCGTTATGAAGTAGGATCTATTTTTATGATGACTGGTGACTAATTGATTGATCTTTCGTTTACTATAAAATGTATTAATACCAGCGTAAGAAAACTTGTTGCATGAAGTCGAATATAAACAAACCGTTCAGTGATTTTCACTGACGACAAACTACTGACAAATAAATATAATACATGAAAAAGCTCACTATAATATTTTGAATACGTGGAGTCACGATTTAGAGAGATTCATTAGTTTGCGTTTAAATAAATAAAAAGTTCCATAACAATAGGCCTGAACTCTATTAGTATCCTGAATCGCAATGAACAGCTAAAACAAATCAACCTTTACGTTAATGCAACTCAATTACCAGGTGTACGTGTGTGCATTAGGTCATAAGGTGCATTTTATTTCTAAGTGCTAGTGATGCTCCTTGATTGAGTGGACATAATAGGTGAAATAGAGTTGGAATATGTGACTTGTGGTTAAAATTGGAATGTTTCAAACAATAACCTGCTAATCCATATTTCATTGTTTGATGGTTTACTAAGATTGCTGCCGTCCTAATAAAATAGTGAACTCCCTCAATAAGGTGACAGATTTGTTTAACTTTGATAAATTACGGTCGTCACTGATATAAAGTCACTTGTTTTTTTTTACAGTAAATGGTCTTTTTTTATGTAACCTGCACTCCTTGTGAATAATTCTTCAGCGTAGACCATTTTGCCAATCCTCTGTGATTATTTTCACAAAGTTAAACTTTGAAGGCTAGTCGACACATATACTCACCAATTTTGCACTGTGATTGGTTTTTCAAATACTCCAACAAGATCAAGACTGGATCTTTAAAGCTTTATCTGACGTACACTTCACAGATGTGTCTCTTCTGCCAAACGTTTGTTTCAATGTATGCGTATCCCATATCTTTAAACGTGCCTATATTTGTTTTGTGTTTGAAATTTACTGGTATAACAAGTATTTTTCCTTGTTAGATAAGACTATTTAGCGCAGTTCCTCTCTAATGAATGCCGAAAATGTCTTCTGTGACAAAATATCGTTCAAAATCTTTCCCGGACTTGTCTGCTTTGGGAGATTAACCAGTGATCATCACGTGCTTGCGTTTGTTACTTCCTCAGATAAAGTAATTGTTTCAACAATTTTTTCTTTTTTAATCATTACTTTCGGATTTAGTAATAATTCAAATTATTGGCGTTCAAGTCGTCTCTTTTATCTATGATTTTCGTCCGTTTATTAAGGTCAAATTATCAGGCGAATCGATGCATTATGAACTAAAGTTATATAATAAACCCATTTTTGTGCTGTTCACGAGATCAATAGTCATGTAGATATAGATCTCTGCATTGTGACTCTTTATATTCCGAAATTCTATTCTTCAGAACGATTATCAATCCCTAGATGAATAATAGTTAAAATTTAAGTATACTCTGTCCACTAAAAGATCCAGCAATATTTAAGATAAGATGGTAGCTGCGCTTTCATGCGTAAACTTATGTTATGCATAACGATCATGAAGTAAGTAGTTTCGAAGCATGGGTGAAAATAACAGTGTGATTTTTCCACATCAAAATATATTCCATTACTTAACATGAAACAACTTTATTTTTAAATTACAACTAAATATTTTTTATATAAATAACTGAAGTTACGGCAACTATTTAATAAGTAGGAAATAAGCACGTTGTGAATACATATGTAGTCTATTATAATTACAATCTGTCCAAATTAAACTGAACTAAATTCATTCAAATTTTTAAAAAAAATATCGGGATTCTTGGGGCATAACTAATACCAGTAGGTAGCATATTGAATCAATCTTCGCAGCCGAACAAAAAGTCTGTGTGCTAAAGGAAATTGAGGGTCATGGGCACAACTACATGTAAACGCCAGAGTGTATGTTTCCAGGTAAGTAGACGGAGGTTATTGTGAAGGAGAATGGGATATGGGTGAATGTTATAATACCATAACAGTAATCAGGTGAACGACAAGTAAATTTTAGTCAAGAACATTCGAATGAAAATTGTTGAGTTTACACTTACATAAAGATAGAATTTGATTGTATAGGGATTACTGAATAATGTACATGATCCTTAATGCTTACAACTAATTATAAGTTCTAAATTAGATGGATTCATAATTCCATATTTTCCTTTACTAAAATATGCTAGACGCGTTCTCCAAAGATATGGTTGTCGGAGAACAACCTGTGTTCATAAAACAACATTAAATCAGACTACTGTTATGGTTAAACCAATGAAATTAAAGATAAACAGTATTTTATTTGGGCACACATTCATTCATTGACATAGTTAAATGACGTTTCAGGTGTACAGCTGATACCAGTTGGTGATGAAAAACCGTACCTTAATTCATAACCCTAAATTCGAACGCTAAATCTTAATCCTGATTCCTCATATTGATTAATTACTCTTTTGGAACTGGTAAGTAGAAGAATTATCTAATGATCACTTTAGCACCGCTCAAATTTTGTCTAGAAATTATAGGTCTACCCCACATTAATAAAGTGCTCTTGATGATTAGCGAATAATCATTTAATTTTTGAAATGTGACTATCAAATATTTTAACTAAATGAGGCAAAATTAGTTACATAATTATTAGTTTGATCTACAATTTTAGATGATATATCATATGTTTCACGTACATTCCTTTAGGTTTACATTTATAATCCGAAATTTTATCATTCTTCTGAAGGTACCACTAAAATCTTATCCCAAGGTAAGTACCATTATATTATTTTAAACAGTTTTTTTGCATATCTTTTCTTATTTTATAGATTTTATTAAATGTAGTAATATTCATTCAATATGTGCAATTCATACAGGCAAATTTGAGCATATTTCAAATCAAAATGATCTATTAATAATTGGATCGAAATATGGTATTCTAATCTATGATTCAATAAATAATGTGGATATATTTTGGAAAGAAGTAACCATCAATTTCTCCTATTATAGCATAATTAATGATCTAATATTTAGTTAAAAAATAATGGTGTAAACACAATTTTTTACAAACATTTCGATGAACAGTATAAATATTATAAAGATACTGATATTATATTTATTGGGGGTCATTGTTCATTGATTGGATTGAATTATTCAGCCAAAGAATTATTTTGGACTGTAACTAGTGATAGAATATCTGCAATAACTTGTTTATCTTATGAGAACGATGAAGAATATCTCAATGATATTGTTGTTGGCTCTGAAGATTATACAATACGTATATTTCGTAATGAATTAATTATTCATGAAATATCAGAAACAGATGTTAGTAGTTTGTTTACCTATAAATGTAAATTTTTGTAAACTTATTATGAATTTCATGAAAAATAAGTGACTAGATTTATCAAGTTTATAGTATTTCCACACATTTTTAAAAATCTTTGTTATCTATCCAGGTTAAGAATTTTGTTCACGGTTCTTATTGAACGTTCAGCAGTAGGGACATATAAAGTAGGTCTTGAAAAAGAAAGATTGTTTTCTTAAACTAACAAGCAATTACTAAGTTGACATGAAAGTCGGTTATGTTTCCAGCTTCAACCGACTTTCATCGATCCTTTAACGTTTTGAATTCACTGCCGAAACAACGTAGATTACCACATTGAACTCGGAATAATTAAATCTATTTCAGTTAGTATATATGAATTTTCGTGTAAAATTGATAGATTAATTTCACAGTATTTGGACACCGAGTTGATGTGAGGCATTAAGGAGGAAGAATGTGTTTGTAAAATCATTCATTTGCTGAGATTTTACAAATACACTCTTTCTCAATGTTTATTTCAGTCAGTATTTACTTAATTTTTGATGTTAAAAACCTACTAATCAGGGTTTCACTGACTCGTTTTTTGCTTAAACTAATTCACAATCTGTAATTTTCTAATTTACCACACACAACAGTAGTAACAAAATAAGTTTGAAACCTGAATAAAAACCAGAACTGAATGTTTATGTAACAAGGTGACTCAAAAAATCTCTAAATTAGGGGCGCGCCGATTCATCTATTTCTAATAGACAGCTAACCAAATAAATGTTTTCATTAAAGACTATACTTCTTGTTTGACTTTTTCGTTGACATGCTTTTAGAGCTGACACTTTACTCATCTAAATTTCGAGGAGTTGAACTTTTACCGGGAGATTCACTTGTTGACTTAGAACATGTCGATGACATAGTTCTATTTGGTGAAGACGCTGAAAAATTCGGTCTCCTGACCGCTCTAAGCAGCAATGCAAGCATGTTCTTGATGCGATTCTCCCTATTGAAATGCAAAATGTTGCTTCAGGATTCTAATCTTCTGAATTCTTCATGTCATTTTTTTCTCATTTCAAATTTATTTCACTGGATTATACTCCCTGAATATCATCTTCAAACTCTAATGTTTCCAATTACTCCCTATACTTTTACTACCTCTACAACTATGGGATTTGAATCGGTAATTATATTTCTGTGCTTATATGGTGTGGCAACTTGAATTGATGTGCGTGCGTACGAAGTTCTACGTTGTTGCTAACTGATTGGTACTTTAAACTATGAATAAATCATGTAAGATAATATTTATTCATTCTAAGATTCTGAATAACAGAGTTTATTATTGTTTGGCATGGCTAATTTACCTACTTCTTCTGTAAATACGTTTTAAACAGGCAGTAATAAAACTTATTTCACTTGGTGGTGAGTATTTTGGTTATGGTTTGCGAAATGGTACTATCGGTGTATATAATAGAGTGAATCGTGTATGGCGTATTAAAGTAAGTGGTTCAAGTATTGAATGATCGAATCTCTTATCAGATATTAAAGTCAAAGTATATTTTACAATAGCATTACAATAATTTGTAGTGGCTTAATGATCATCCTTTTCCTTAAACATGTTTTTCACAATTCGAATGATGAGTGACAGAATTTATCTTCAAAGCATTGTGAAAAAGTACATTATTAACTGTGTACCAGTCTGTTTATTTAGTGACGTGTATATCATCCAGCTGTTAATGGAATCCAGCCTTTTCACTACAAAGAAATTTTCGTCTGAAATTAATTCTTGTTCCCGTTTTCTGGAAATCCTTTGCAATAACTAAGAATGAAGTCAGTGTAAAGAATCATGTTTTAAGTTCCTATGGTCTGACTTTAAGTAGTAATAGGTAGTAAATAAACCATTGTAGTCGATTCCGAAAATCTCTTTAGTCAAAATACTTATAATACTCACTTGCGTAGTCCATGTTTAGAAAAAGAATAAAGTCTACTACATTTCTGTAGAAATGGTATCTCCAATTCATATATATATATATATATATATATATATATATATATATATATATATATAAGAGGATGTAGATCTTCTAAGTTTCATATGATTTTGAGATAGTGGAGATAATTTCTAGCTCAGGTGGATGAATTTGTGCTAATGATTTTGTTCAGAAGGACAACGAAAGCTCCACGACCAAACTGAACAGCTCAGAGAACTAAACTACATCAAAAACTTTATCTGATGTATGTGTATTACTAATTTAAATTAAGCCGTAGTTTAATGATCAGACAAATCATTTCTTTTTTTACTTATTTCAGTCAAAAAACAAACCTATCTGCTTTGTCAGTCATGATATAAATTATGATGGATATCCAGAACTAATTTGTGGTTGGAACAATGGAAAAGTAAGTCTTTTATCTGCTTATCGTCATATCTCAACTTTTATCACAAATGAATCTGTTTTCGCTAATTATATCTTTAAACACCATTTTTGAGTTAATTTCCATCATAGTGCTTGATAAGGCTTAGCAATAAAATCAAACACAGATTTTCTGCTGTATTCAAGACTCATCACCGAAAGTAAACCACATTTTATTATTCGTTAGCTTTTAGAATATAAAGTGAACGATCTATATATAATTTTAAACGGTATTATTTATTTATTATGCAGTTTAAGTTATAAAATTATAAAAGACATTTCTATAAGGTTTTGTATAGTAGAAAGGTTCACTTTTACACCTGCTTCCGTCTATTTTGATACATATGTTAGGGCTCCGTTGTCAAACGTGAATGGAGATGAAGGGAATAAATAAAAGAATCAATCCTCGATACAAGGTCAACATATCTAGAATAGTGATACAGCCACCAAATTATTTTGATAATATTTCAGAATGCCTACTATGAAATAAACTGTCATCAATTGTTATGCACTGTTCAGTTTTGACCAAAGACACTAAATAGTGAGTTTGTTAATAATTTCAGTTAACGATACAGGATTATTTCGATCCGTGTTAATTCTACCTATTTGAGTCTGAACAGTAAGATAAAAAGATGAAACGAATTGTCCTGTGCACATATTCCTCAGAAGTCAAATGTCTGTATAGTTAAGAAAATTATTTTATTTTTCTTCCTATCCGGTTGAATCACCAATTCAGTTTTTTTAAAAAAAAGATCAATACGAATTTTGTTATTAGAGATATCTAATAAATCACTAATTTTTAAGGGTTTACTAAAATTTGTATCATTACAGTGGTTGTCTGATGAGGAGCATTTTAAAGCTTAACATTCTTTCATTCAAGTCAGTAGCTCTAATAAAAATTTATATAACTATCAACTTGATATAATAATGCATAACCAACCTACTTACTTATGCCTGTTACTCCTGGTGAAGGAGCGGAAACCTCCCACCAGCACTTTCTATCCAACACTGTCCTGAGCAATCCTTTACAGATCTTCCCACCTATACTTCACCATCTTCATATCAGCTTCTATTTCTCGACGTAATGTGTTCTTTGGCTTTCAACTTTTCCGCTTCCCTTCAGGATTCCATGTTGGTGATTGTCTCGTGATGCGTAATGCATGTCCTGTCCACTTCCATCGTCTTTTTGTTATTTGCTCTACTGTCGTAAGCTGGTTTGTTCTCTCCCACAAAAGGCTGTTGCTGATGGTATCCGGCCAATGGATGTTGAGTATGTTGCGTAGACAACTATTTATAAATACTTGCACCTTCTTGATGCTGGTTGTTGTAGTTCTCCAAGTTTTAGCTCCGTACAGTAGAATTGCCTTGACGTTGGTATTGAAGATTCTGACTTTGATATTGGTTGAAAGTAGTTTTGAGTTCCATATGTTCTTCAACTGAAGGGATGCGGCCCTTGCTTTGCCAATCCTCGCCTTTACGTCTGCATCTGAACCTCCTTGTTCATCGATGATGCTTCCCAGGTATATGAAGGATTCTACATCTTCCAGAGTTTCGTCATCAAGAGTGATTGGATTGCTGTTCTCCGTGTTGTATTTGAGGACCTTGGTTTTCCCCTTGTGTATGTTGAGGCCTACTGATGCAGAAACTGCTGCTACAATGGCTGTCTGTATCTACATTTTTTCATGTGTATGCCATAGGAGGACCAGGTCATTTGCGAAGTCCAAATCTTCTAACTGGTTCTGAGCTGTCTGTTGTATGCCATGTTTTTCCTCAGATGTCGAGGTCTTCATAATCCAGTCGACCACCAGAAGAAAGAGGAAGGGAGAGAGTAGACAGCCTTGTCTGACTCCGTTCCTTACTTGGAATGCGTCTGTCAGCTGTCCTCCATGCATGACCATGAACTGTAGTCCGTCGTATGAGTTCCAGATAACGTTGACAATCTTCTCAGGAACTCCATATTGTCGAAGAAGTTTCCATAATGTCCTCCTATCTACACTCTCGAATGCCTTTTCATAATCAATGAAGTTGATGTATAGTGACGAGTTTCATTCAACTGATTGTTATATATCAATGCATAACGTGAAACACAATTTGTCTGTTTATTCAATCTAAATTTATACTAAATTATTTTCTACATCTGAAAATTCATTGTTGAAAAATACTACTATTTAATTGCCGAATACAAATGTGACTTTTTCCTTTTGTGAGGTTGAACATATTAGCCAAATAGTTTTGGGAGTTGTTTTGGTTATATGTTTTGTGTGTATGATAAGTGAAATAAAAGGTAGTTCTAATATGTTGCATCACAGTAGTAAGCTAACTGTAATATTCAATCTTAGAGAACAGTCAGCTACATTAATTTAATACGGTAAATAATGTTGTTATTTACAGAAAAATTATTGTCTGCAATCTAGTTTATCATTCATTGCAATCTATTTATTCATGTTTTATTTTATATAATTTTAGGTAGATGCTCGTTTGCGTTCTAATGGAGTAATTGTATTTAAAATTCAACTAGATGATTGTGTCGCTGGTATGACAGTGGTAAATAATTCATTTATGTCAATAGGTTAACGATTTTCTTTTCTATCTTAGTATAGTTACTTCATCCATTATTCCAAATTGGTTATTGACTTTCAACAAATGAATAGAAGAGAAGCAGTTTCCAAGACTAATAGTAATCATCGCTGATGATTAGTTACATTTAAACTACTAAATTCTACAAATTTATGAATGATAGATGTACAATGGCAGCAAATTGTAAATTATCATCACTATCTTATTAAACATACAAATAGACTATAATAAACCAAGTCTTAAAACCACTAAAATAATATCTAATTTCATTTGAATGACACACAGAGATCTTTCTTAGTCAGAAAGCTGCCCTGGTTATTCAGAAACATTCATATATGAATAACATATGTGGTTTTTCACCTGTAGCTCTTCTAGGGTCACTACCGGTCCCAAGCCCGGTAAAAGATAAAGGTTGGACATGGGGTCAGGAACCCCAAGCCGTAGAAAAAAACTTACAACTCCTGTGACAGTAAGTGGACTGCATTTCGACGGAAGTCGGTCTTCTAGCAAAGGATCCATGGCTTGTTGATACAGTTGTGAGGACCATTTTTTACAGGTATGGCAACTCCTGAGAACCGATTTGACCGCTTCAGTGACTGTAATGATCCGTTAGCGTTTCCTTATTATCGAAAGCCTATAATTTAGTCCCGGGTCCACTGGATTTACGATTCAGTCGAATTACTAAGCGATTAGCTGGTATTACAATTGAATGTCTCATCTAATACGGTAAACTAGCCCTGTCTAAACGTTCACCAACTCTTATCATTCCGTTCATGAATGTATGCTTTAAACGACGTAAAAAACTGGCAGATATATACATCATTTTTGAACCTATACATCGGTTCTTTGCTTTCGCATTGGTTGTAATGAATTAACTGAAGCTAGCTTGATCTCGGTATTATAGCAATCCTTCCGTGCCAGTCAAATAATATCAAGTACCCAGAAATCTTTCATTTCATAAAAGACTGGAATCCTTTTTCCTTGTACCTCATTGGTTAAATTAATTATGGACAAACTGGTTATGCTCATACTGTTTGAAGCGTATTTTGTTTAGACAGCTATTTTGTACCTGTCATTTTTATGTTTGACTACTTTGTGATTTACTGTTGTTGTCTCAACTTTAACTAATTGTGATTTATTGTAGAACCACATATATTAGTGTTTTTCTTTGAAATTCCTTCTCCAGGTTAGAGGTTTTTAACAAGGTTCTTTTTCTACGGCCTAGGGTTCCTGACCCCATGTCCAACCTTTATCTTTTACAGGGCTCGGGACCGGCAGTGACCCTAGAAGAGCTACAGGTGATAAACCATATATATTATTCATATATGAATGTTTCCGAATAAACAAGATAGCTTTCTGACTCAGAGAGATCTTTGGTGTGTTATCCAATTGAACTTAAATGGTATTTTTTCGAGTTTCAGTGGGTAACTCTGTTTGTAATTGTCTGTTAAGATGAGTTATGATCTTTGTCTGCTTGTAGGCCGTAAATTTAATGACGGTTCCTTCATATCCTTTTATACTCAAAATTCGTAACAGTTATATTACTGAAGAACGCCCATTTCAGCGAATAGTTTTTATTGTGTTCGCTTCGCTACAATTACTCAAACAAATTTCATCGTAGTTATCTATTTTTAACTCCTTTTCCTTGAAAATTCACCGTTTGTTTTTTCATAGGATAGTTCTCGTAAATGAAACTTAGATTAATATAGTCAGACGTATTTAATTGTGTTGGAAATTTCTTACTTTGCTTTTTGTGTATTTCAGGGTGATTACTATGGTTTTACCAATATATTGCTTGTTTGTACCACTGAAGGTGACAGTAAGTTCAAATTTTTGTCCTACTGTCTCCATATGTTAAAATATTATTAATTTTGTTCGTGAATTCAGACTTTATTAATATAGGTGTTTTTATTTAACCGATAAATTCCACTGTATAATGTGATCATGGCTATGAAGAGAATTTGAATCACGCGTGCGGGATCGTGGATGTCAACTGTTGAGTCCCATACTACGACGAAACAGATGTCCAGTGCTTCCAGGTTTTCAGTGGTGGTTTAACATTGATCAATTCATGATCCTAATCATAAACTCAACATTCTTCACAACCCCATATTGATAATTAACATGTGTTCACTAGTGACAAGCTTCGAGAGGTAATTTTCGGAATTCTAGTGATAAGCCGTGACCAGTAAAACTAATGTTTCGGGTGTGAGGCAGTAATTCACCGAAGACGATCGATTTTGTGGATTGGTTCAAGTTAGACATTAACACCTTTGGATGCTGGTTCGGTGGTCTTGAGGTCAAGCGTTCGCTCGCGAAGCCGAAAGTCCTGGATCCGAATCCCGCGTGCCGGGGTCCCATACTAGGGCAGGACGGCCGTCCAGTGGTTACAGGTTTTTAATGGTGGCCTAGCATTAATCGGTTCATAATCTCAATCCAAATACCATTTCAATCAAATTTTGAAACATAGTCGATTCGTGAATAAGCGATAAATTGGGGACGTAGTTTTCCGTAATCAAAACTAAGCAGCTGTATATATCAGCAATGAAGTTCTTCAGTCGAATTTGATGGAATTATGTATATTATGGGACACCACTGAGAAAATATTCTATTTTTCATAACGATCTTATATTATGTCAAAACTTTATTTCGCAGTAAAGGCAAATCAGTTATTGCTTAAGTCCAACAGTACTCTGTATACTTACACTATATATATGTTTTTATTTCTATAAATGTTTTGGTGCATCATTTTTCTGCATATTTTAGTACGCTGTTATTCTGTAAGCCACTCAAAGAATTACTTGAATTCAGAATCATCTGAAGATACTTTACGTCATTTAATCACTAAAAGACAGGTGAACGAAAATAGTAACTACTGAGTATAATATTATTTTTCACTAAATTTCATTTTATAAAATGGTCAAATATAATGTGATTGATAAGCTGCCTTAGAAGAAATTGTGATAACCAGTTTTCTCTGCAATCGATCATTCACTTTTGGCATATGTGCATCCCATAAGGATTTTCTCAATGTTCCCATTAAGTCATAGGCATTATAAGCACGGTTGGACAGTGGTTAACAGTGTAATCCAGGACTTGCATTTCTTCAGCTGGATATGCTTGCATCCCAAAGTTGATTAATTAAAATTTGCTTCATTGTACACGCTAGTGGCTATCTGGACTCAGTAGCTAAGTGAGTAATGCAATAGGATTTGAAACAGACGGTACTAGGTTCGAGTTTAGGAGTGAACATCAACTATGGAATGCAGGTACATCCAACTAAATTCTCCTCTGTCTAAGTTAATGCTGTATTTCGGTAACTGCTTTTATAAAATTTGAAATATTGTGTTTTTCGGATGATGTCTTCAAACGGAAAACTTAGATTGTAAAATAACTTACAAACTATTCTTGTTCATGGTACACATTTCCAAAGATCGATTAAATTAATTACTAAAAAATGTTTCTTACATAAGATATTCCAAACAATGCGTATTCGAGTTCATACCTACTAGGATGTTAATAAGTCTCGTTCGTAATCTGTCGTGTTGTCATACCTTTACTAGATGGTGTTTAACACACTGTTTAGGACTGGTACAAACGTCTGTGATTTCTAGTATACTGAGGATTTTATATATCTCGGTTTGCATAACAATTTTACTTTTTCACTTTGGAAATATTTCATTTTTCTACAATGTTAAAACAACAAGTGTACTTATTCCGCTGATAGCCATAACACTTTTTATTCCTAAAGTACAAAGATACCTTAACTGAGTTTCAGATTATATAAGTCTACCATTAAAGAAATCATTCAGTTAAGTTCTGACTACCTAATGGTACAACGAACACATATCAACAATTTCTTTCATTATGATAACAATTATTTCATTTTAATCTATTTTGAAATATCCCTAAGAAAAAGTGATATTCAACATTTTACTCATATTTTACATATTAACATTAATTAGTAATAAATATTGGTTGGTAACCACTATCAATTACTGTGTAGCATGAGATTAATATTTAGTATGAATGAATTTTTGTTTGTATTACTTGAATTATTTTGGACTAAGATTGTTGACGTTTAAATATTAGTACAGGAATTATTATTCATCAACTGCACATTAAACTTCTATCACAATTCATAACAAGACTATTGAATCATTCAATCGTTATGAAAGAAGACACCATTAGGTCATGTATTTTTGTCTTTCGTGTTTAGTTATATCCATCTAAATATGTCTATTGTAGTCAACAAATATAGAATTACATTCAATCAGAAAATTTATTGTATCGGATCCATATTATTTCTTATGACTGAACTTAAAATATTAATAATCTGACAACTTTGCATATCATTAGAAGTTAAAATTACATACTGAATATTACTAGACAATTAGTTCGTGAATCAATTTAACGGTTACGTAACTAATGACTTTGGTATCGTATGTTAAATTTGATTATACTATTATTGTCACTTGAGTAAATAATTCTAACTGTTGAAGTAAGTATTTCGTCTTTTGTTTAAAACTTCTACCATGGATACAACTAACTTTATACTGTTCAATGTTTTGTTATTTTTTTTTAAAAAAACAACAGAATTTATTATTGGAGATTCAAAGTATTGATCAAAATAGCAATTTATCCCAATGGAGTAAAACTGAAATTCGTCATGGAAACCTTAATATCATTAAAGTAAAAATATATATGTTTCTTTCTTTCTGTGTTATGATTTAGTATCATAGTTACAACTATTTCATATTTTTAAAATTAGGAATTGTGTTTTTTTTTAAAATCAGACCTTTGCTACTTACAAATAAGACAGTAGATATTCGAAAGTTGTTAACACTTAGTTCGTACATGTTTATTATAGTTTAAGAAGACCAGTTTTAAAGCCTGTAAACAACTCATAGAAATGTTGGTGTTAGATAAAGTAATATACTTTTCATTTAAAAAATTTTGTTTTCTATACTACTAAATGGAGATAAGTAATCATTAAAGAATCTCCGTAATAAATTTGAAGCAGTTACTACCGATATATAATTTTGTTCCATCACTCGGTGCTTAGTGTTGATGTTGACTGAGTAGATTGCAAAGTTTAGTCACTGTTAGATCTACCTCTAGTATGTCAGAATTCTGTAATTTGAAAGTTTTGACAGCGTTTTGTGGTGTCACTCTTATCAGTCGACTTAGAACATAGGATCTAGAAAAAAGATGACATCAGAAGAGAGAACGGTTGAATAAGCACACGGAATGTGCTTTAGTCTTTATAAAAAGTTTAAACAATATTATTTATTGTTTCACAGATGTGAATACAACGCAATCGAGGGACCAGGACATGAGGCAAGATGAATAAATAACCTTAATCGTCACTTGATTTAAAGTGTTTATTTATATTAATCATTAAAACGAACTGAATGGTACAGTTAACACTCAGTTTTAACTAGATATTTACATGTACTTGTACCCAAACGATAAGACAATGTTTGGATTCGATTGCAATATTTAAACTATTTTTTAGCTGACAGAGTGACTTGAATAAAACTACTATTCTAATACTTAATATTGAGATTATTGTGATTATGAATGAGAAAACAAACCAGTTTACATGGATATTTCTTTGAAAACTGACGTGCTGCAAAATGACAGATAAAACAACCAGCTCATGGTCATTTAATATAGACTAAGCTTTTTTGTGGGAAAAGTTTTTGACCTATCCAAGTTTAGTCCCATAATCGTTTAGTTACTTCGAATAAACGTTACCTCTGTTCTATTGAGAGAATAACGTAGTGTCTGATATTTCAGACAGATATCCTCGTTATGACATCCTGACTTCATTCTATAATTCCATTTATAAGGGTATCTCTTCATCCAAATTGATTCATTATGTATCGTGTATAAACCACCATTTTATTAAATTTGATCCTTAAGTGTGTAATCATTTGATAATCCGTAAATTTCCGAGTTAATACAATAAGACTCAATTTATTTTAGAATCAAGTAGTTTTCAAATTGTGTTTGCTGAGTAATAACTTAAAAAGTTTTCTAATTTGATGTATTCCTTAATTTAATTTACTTTGAGGTGGTTTTATCCATCGACAAGTTTCATGTCAAAAACATAACATTATGACATTTTTCTAAAAGCGGTGGGATTATGGTAATGTTATGTTATAATATTGATTAGTGTTGGTAAAAGTGAAAAGTTATTTTTATTTGAAAAATAGTAGCATTGATTAAATAAATGAATTTATTTATTATAATCAGATAACTGCCAAGCCGAGGTTGAAAGGAAACTTTGTCTGACATGGACAGTTCTTCACTTACTTACTTCCTTATGCCTATTACTCCTCGTGAAGGAGCAAAAACCTCCCACCAGCACTCTTTATCCAACCCTGTCCTGAGCAATCCCTTCCAGATATTTCCACTTGTTCTTCATCCTTTTCATATCTGCTTCTATTTCTCGACGTAATGTGTTCTCTGACCTTCCACTTTTCTCCGTCCCTTCAGGATCCCATATTAGGGATTGTCTCGTGATGCAGTTTGATGATTTCTGTAATGTATGTCCTATCGATTTTCATCGTCTTTTTGTTATTTGCTCTACTGTCGTAAGCTGTTTTGTTCTCTGTCACAGTAGGCTGTTGCTGATGGTATTCGACCAATGGATGTTGAGTATGTTGTGTAGACAACTATTTATATACACTCGTACTTCCTTGATGATGGTTGTGATAGTTCTCCACGTTTCGACTCCGTACAGTAGAACAATTGGCGAACATATCGAACTCCAAACAACTGTCTGCAAGCCAATATCAAAGTCACAAACTTGCTTTGCTATATTGCTCTGTCAATCCTCACCTTTACGTCTGCATCTGACCATCCTCTACATCGATGACGCTTCCCGGAATTATAAAGTCGGACAGTTCTTTAATAAATAAATAATGACAGCTTTCTTCCCAAATATATTCTAAATTTTTCCATTAAAATCTTAGAAGATAAATAAGTGATATATTTGTTTTCTTTACAGGCTAATACAGAATTACAGACTAAACTGGAAGTTTCTCCTGATAAACCATGTGTTAATTTGACAATTCAAACAAATGATGGTAAGTTAAACTATAAATTTTGTGGAAGTTGACATATTGTCTTCTTCATAGACATAACTCAGCTAGCGAAACAGTTGTTTCATAAATGTTCAGAACTCTTCATCAACGCGCCACCTCAAAATCTCACGAGGTGCACAATGCATTCAGACCATTGCTTAGTGAAATAGCGTGATAGTTGTTTGATATCATTAATGTCGACTATCTTCATTCATACATGCTTGAAATCCTCCATAGCTATAAATTAGCTTGTTTGCAAATGCCATTGTTTCTAGATTGATTCGAGTATATAATAATGAAAGGTGAATATTTCACAGTATAACATAATGACCATTTAGGTAAAAAAATACACATTATCATCCGAATTTTCGACTTGGTTATATCAACTTCCGCGAGATGAAAACTAAAAATGTCCTATTTACAAAAATAGTTTTTCTTTGAATACACTTAGTGTTACATAATCTTTAAGGTTCTATAAATAAATGCATACATAACTTTTCTTAGAACTAATAATTAATGATTAGCAAATAGTTTTCAAATGTTCCACCTAATTACAAGTGTCAAAATGATATATGATAAGTTAACTCTGTCATTAGTGCCAGTCTAACCATCAGCACATTTGACTTATTTAGTTAACGAAAAATAAAATTCGTAATATAATAGTAGTATAATCTTACTTCTTGATGTTGATAATTACCCATGAATTACATATTAAGTAATAATAAGAACCCACTACTGTAACTGATATTTTTACTGAGGTTAATCAAGGTAAATTCAATAATTAGTAAATATTTATCTTATTTATTTTAGGTACACTCTTAAGATGTGTTGTATTATTTGCTGAAGGTATTTTCAAAGACGAAAGTCATGTTTTGTAAGTTAGTAATTTGTATGCATAGTGTAACATATTTTTTGATTGAGATCATGAACCGATTAATGTTAGACCACCATTGAAAACCTGGAAGTACTGAATGGCCGTTTCGTCCCATTGTGAGACTCTTCAGCAGTGCGCATCCACAATCCCGCTCGAAGTATTTGAACCCAGGGCCTTTAGTCTCATGCGCGAACGCTTAACTTCTAGACCACTGAGTCGGCATCCGATGGTGTTAATGTCCAACCTCAACCAATACGCAACCACCTTTCACTGTACAGAGGTAGACACCTGTCTCTACCTGACACGGATTAGCTCCACCGGTTACGGCTTCTCATTAGAACTCCTAGAATTTTCTCCCGAAGCTAGTCACTTGTGAGCACATGCTAACCATCAGTATGGGGTTCATGATCCAGTAAGTTTGTCGTGATTTGTTACCTGGGGATTTTTCCCATGACTAACTACTATGCCAAACACTGTTAATCGTTGGATAAGTACTGGTTATATATGAGTAGTTTATTTCTTAACCACCTTATTCAATGATTATTGATGAGCTAATTAGCCGACTCGTTATTTTTTCTTAAAGCTATATTCCTAACTTCTCACTCAGTAGTTTTACTGTATTCAAGGAGTGTTTTGAAGATACAATTGATTGATTGCTAGTAGCCACTATGTTTTCCACTTTCATAGATCAGCTTAAGTGATCGTGGAGTAATACAGAAATGAATGATACTCACTATTCCCATATGTACATCGATAAACGGACATCCTGCTCATGCCACAAGTTGGTTAGATCCAAACAAAATTTATGAAAAGACTGATTTTTATTATGTATAGCAGAATTTCTGTTGGTAAGAATGAATCTTACAACATAAAATGGATGAATTACAACTTGCGCTGGAGTCCAAGCCGCACGTTTTGTTCTATTCGGGACTCGTATAGGTATATTCAGTTGAAAAATTTCAAATAGAAAGAAATGTCTGTCCTGAATTTCACTGTTAGCCACATTCGTTCTATTCCATATTAACTTGTTTTATAAGGACTGTATCGAGGCACTTCGTTCATTATGCACACATACCAAATAAACCATCTTGCAATGTTTGATTCTTGATATGAATGTTGAAATTTTTTTCTAAATGTTTTTAATGAGTGGAGTTTTAAGGTGTACTGATAAATCTTAACAAAGATGAAATGTAATGGCTAGTAAAGTTGTTGCTTATTTTTGACGATGAGAGCAATATATATATATGTTCCTTAATTTTTAGTTTTACATTGACATAATAATACGGAAAAATATAAATAAACTATTCATTTAACACTTTAGACATCCTCCAGAGAACGTTTCTTATACTTCCACATTTTCAATCGAATTATATCCAGCAAGAGATATAGCAACTGATGTATTCATCAAAGCATATGCAATACCGATAAACAAATGGCAAGTGAATACTTAATATGAATATATATGTATATATATGTACTTGTAAATTTGAATTTTATTTTGTGACAGATATAAAATGTTAACAGTTAAATTGACAATTCGATCTAAGTTAGACCACCATTGAAAACCTGAAGGCAATGGATGGCCATTTCATTTTAGTATAGGACTCTTCAACAGTGCGCAGTGTAAAATTGTTCTTTTTTTCAACTTTGCCAAGGAATCCTGTTGAACCAAAATGAACTACTTTTTTCTCGCTAGAACTAGGTAAAGTCTGATGTTATAAACGGAAAAATATGTGAACAGATGAAATAGTGTGTATTAATGGTTAAAGTAATTAGTCCCTTTTTATAAATTTCGATAGAACAATGAGAAGACGGAATTGATCGGTGAAATGTGATGTATTTGCGCTATACATTTCGAACAATCTGGTCACACATATACTTGTCAGAGCATTTTATATGAAAATTAATAAAGGTCAATTAAATAAAAGTTCAAGTAAAAAATTAACAGAGAAGAGAGAAACAATTGTACATCGTATGGAAAGAATAAGAAATTGTCGCGTTATCCTAGGCCATAGAATGATTTAAGGATTACTGAGGTAAATCCAAGGTTACTACGAATTGTTTTTGTACATATAAGGAAGGGATTTAAATTTACGAATAGCCAAGACTTCAATAAACTTGAGAATTCGTCCTTGACAATTTCTATACAACGTTTTAAAAGCTGTATTTATGTCAATTTTATGCCGCGTTTCAATTATTCGTTTTGCTATCGATAAACTTGATTTTCTGCCTCCCACGTTGGTCGGATCGTTTGACACACATTGATTTTGAAGCCATCTAGGCACATGTCCAATGACCCTTGATTGCATTGTTCGGTTACTCCTCTCTATGTATGTGTGTCCACACTAACATCTAAATTGGTAAATACAATGGGATGTGACGTAACCATTAGTGCATTGTCTAGGTCTATTTAGAATTCTGGACTTAGACTTTTCAATCACAACCGATTGAGCGGGATAATAGGTTTTCTCGATGGCTCCTTTCAATCTCTGTCTTAAAACTATGCTGTTGGATTAACCTCTATATTGTAGATGGATATAAACTCTTTTCTTTGGAACTGAATAAACAATTACTGGTTAATCGATTATAAATATTGTTGGAATATTTGATAAATTCATGCTGAAATTTAGTATTTTCACTTTTATCTATAAGAATATGTCATCAGTTTTAAGTTTAATCGTTAGAATATTTTGAAATTTCAGTGTAAAACCGATGCTATGAGAATGTTATCATTACAGTTCTTAATACTTAATAATGATATACTTATCAAAGGTATATTGTTTAAAAAAAAAACTTAACGGAACCTATGAAAAATAGAGAGAAAACATTGTTAGTAGTAAACCTGGAAACGTTTCAATGATTTTGAAGAAAATCTATTTCTTTAACAATTTCAAATCAATTTAAAAGACCCCATTTGATTGTTGTCCGATTTTTATCGATTATATTATATTCAAATCATGATCTTTATTTATCCGATGAATCTTTGGAGAGTATATGCCGTATATAATTCGAATAAATTCTAAATAATTTTACATCCATGCCTATTCCAACTGGACTTTGTTTTAAAAAATAAACTATTCTGCGATAAAATTCCAACTTAAAATGATTACACTAAAGAATTTCATAATTAAAAATGTATAAAGAAATAAAGTCAGTTTCAAACCTAATTGTTTATTGTACAAATTTTCCTTTTTTGCTAAAGAATAACAGTCAAGTCAATGATAATAGTGTTTAGGTTGACTACGTTATCTATTTCTCACGTTTATATGTTATTGTCTGCCGGGTAGTCCGTATACATTCAACAAAGCTATTTGATCTACACCTTAGCTATCAGAAACCATGTCAATGAAAAAAAGGCGTGGAGCACATCTCAAAAATATAAAGCCGTATGTTAGAATAGAATTTGGCGTTTTCGTCAACTAATTGTTTGAATGGATCAACTATTTGAGCCAACAACCTTGAATAATTTACTGAAGGCATCAAAATCGTATGGAACTATATTGTTCATTACGTAAACTACGTATTAGTGTAAAAAAGTCTCATTAAAAAGCCTTAATGGATCCACATACTTTTATTATCATTGTGGCATCTATAATGGACCCTTTTAGAAATAATTTTGAACAATTTGCTGAATTGAAGAATCAACAATTTTTGGAGTAGAAACTGATAACCTCAACAATTTAATACAATGTAGTGCTATGTGGGAATTATTGTACATTTAGAAGCTATGAGCATTTGAACTTTCATTGCCTTTTTAGTATTAAGGTGTATGGCTGTCAACATAGATATGTTGAACACAGTCTTCATATACTGATGAAATGAATTTCTTATGCATAACAATAATATTGTCAAAAGTTTTATATATATTCAGGTATCAAATCTTGGGTGAGTATTTATCGTACATTATCCTGTATATATAATGAGTGAATTAGGTCACAGACAATCCGGTGTTATTACACTTAAAAGTATTTTATTTCTGATCTTAAATTTGTATCTTAATAGTTCAGATCAAAACTCCTACTACTTGTTGGCTAGCACGCAACTGTTGCCGCAGTTTTGCCTCTATCGATTACTCAGTCAAAATCCCAAATTAGACTTTCATGCTGATTTAGATAGTTTGCGATCAGGAGTCTTCTTTATAGTGCATGAACGACCTCAGAGGGTAAGTTAGTAAAAAAAATCTTCTTGTTAATTTTATAATATAAGTTCTTAAAACAAATTTTTTATCACCTAAATATAGTCTAAATAAATGAAGTACACAATTGTATATTTCGGTAGTTGAGATCATGAGTCAATTAAAGTTAGATCACCATGGAAAACTTGGAAGCACTAGACGACCGTTTCGTCCTGGTGGTTAAGCGTTCGCGCGTAAGGCCGACAGGTCCTGGGTTCAAATTTCGCGAGGCGGGATCCTCAACGCTCACTGTTGATGAGTCTCATATTAGTCCAGTGCTTCTAGGTTCTCAATGGTGGTCTAGCTTCAAATGACTCATAATCTCAACTATTAAAATTACTACAATATCCACAAAAACCCCTTCTGATACTAATTGTATATTTATTAAATACTGTAAACAGATGAGTTTTCCTGAAAGATTTTACGGCCGTTTGATTTATAATTCTATTCCATTTATAATCTTACAAAATAAAATGAGATAATCAAGTTTGAAATTGTATTTCCCAATTAAGTAAAAATCAAGTTTACTCTTGTTACTTATTCTCATTCCTATGACGATTTTTATAAGTCTACATATGCTCGTGTTAATACGAATAAATAGCGAAGATAATTGATCTGTGCTGCCGGTGTTGATAAAACGCATCAAAATGGCTTTGAACTCAGTTAGCATCATGAAATTGTCTATATGATCATAAGAAGCTAACAGCCATTCTTTTCCATAGCGAAACATAATTAAGAGAAATTAAGTATGTCAATCTTAAACCCTTGCATATAAACTGTAAAGCATGCACTAATGAGCTAACAGAAACTATAATCACCGAAAATATTTTAAAATTCTTTTAAGTGTTCGAAAACCAATTGTTCTGAATATGAAATTACTTACTTACACCTGCTATCCCTCGTTGAGGAACATAGGCTGCCTACCGGCACTCTTTATCCAACCCTGTCCTGAGCAATCCCTTCCAGATATTTCCACCTGTTCTTCATCCCTTTCATATCTGCTTCTATTTCTCGACGTAATGTGTTCTCTGACCTTCCACTTTTCTACTTCCCTTCGGAATCCCATGTTAGGGATTGTTTCGTGATGCAGTTTGGTGATTTCTGTAATGTATGTCCTATCGATTTTCATCGTCTTTTTGTTATTTGCTCTACTGTCGTAAGCTGTTTTGTTCTCTGTCACAGTAGGCTGTTGCTGATGGTATTCGACCAATGGATGTTGAGTATGTTGTGCAGACAATTATTTATAAATTCTTGTACCTCCTTGATGATGGTTATGATAGTTCTCCACGTTTCGACTCCGTTCAGTAGATTTGTCTGGATGTTCGTGTTGAAGATCCTGACTTGTATATTGGCTTGCTGATAGTTGTTTTGAGTTCCATATTTTCTTTACTTGTAGGAATATGAACTTCGGTTGAGACTAATTAATTTATTCAATATTGAGATTAATGCAACAAATTGATGTTCTCTAGATATTATTCAATCTCGATCCTAGATCCTAAATTACCATTTATTTGTTTGACATTTAATAAATTTCGCTGAAATGTATTACTGTTATTATATTGATAAATATAGTTATTGCTCAATGATTAATGCTTGAAAATAATCATTAAAGTGTTTACTTATAACTTATCTGTTCTTACTGATTGATTCATGATTGATTTTAAATTGATTGGAAACTCTTGAACAGTCTTTATTACTAGCTTCATTTGCTTATGATGTCATCTAAATAGTTATAATTTATTTGTCTGTTCAGTGGACTGTCAACTTTATGCTTGCAATATATACCTTTATTTCACAATAAAAGTTTCATTTCATGCATTATTTTCATTAAAATTTCAGTGATAAAAATGTGAATAATCTTGAAGCCTTAGATAAAGATGATTTCGGTGTAGTGGGTTCTAGCGACCTGCTTGAATATCTGAACTATCTGTTTCTGACTTCTAGATATTTCAACAAGTTATTCATTTATTTGTTTATTTTAACAAATCATTATGTCTATTAATCGCATAAACTATTTAAGGGGGTTTTTGAAAACTATACGACCTTCCCCTGTATAAGTTTTAAAAATGTAAAATCAGTGACATCGTGATGACTGGCAAAGTACATTGAAAAGAACGAACATTATTCAAATGAACTGCTAACATCTACCTGGCGATTACTCAATATTTATCGTAAGGATCGTCCAAGAAATAAGAAATAAGGAAACTTGTTGAAATACTTTGTGTTGAGAATTTTATATTATACCAAAATATAATATTAAATTAATCCATTAATAATAATAATCATTTAACAATGTGATGTTATACTTTCATACAAACATTTTCACTTTTACTGATAAGTATTTTTATGTGATAATTTTTGTGGTAAGTTATTATGATTAAGGGCTTGAGTTGTTTCTTATTAAATGACAAATTGATCTATAATAACCATTTTAATAGTTGAGATCATGAGTCAAATTGAAACTAGATCACCATAAAAAACCTGGGTCTGTTGTGAGATAGTAACTCACTGAAGACAATGGTGGATGGACGCGCAATTTCGTGAATTTGTTAAAGTTAGGTATTAACACCGTTGGTCTAGAGGTTAAACATTCACGCATGAGAATGAACGTCCTGGGTTCGAATCTCGCGAGGCGGGATCCTCGATGCGCACTGTTGATGAATCTCACATTAGTCCAGTACTTCCAGGTTCTCCATAGTGGCCTAGCTTCAAATGACTCATGATCTCAACTATTAAAATTACTATTATATTCACAAAAATTACTTCTGATACTATAATAACCAATAAACGACATATTTGCATTGTCATGTATTCACTATTCATATAACTAGTAAACAAATGATTATTTCTATTGAAACACACAGAACAAGCATATTGATGATTTCTATGACATAAGAAAATTACAAGATATATTTTATTTCTATCATAAAATAGCTTGCTATTTGGTTAAATCAAAATTTTATTCTGGGATCAGAAATTATTGTCAATGAACAATCTTCATTATTTGTTGTATTTGAAGAATTACGCTCAGCTAATAGATGGATTTCAACAATAAATAAAAATTTGAAGGAAATATTAAATAATTTCATTGTTCAACAACAGAATTCAAAACGTTTATTATACATAACTATGACAAATAAAGGTGAAGTAAGTAATAAATGTATGAAATCATTGAATTTTCAATGAAATCACTATATTGTTATGATGTAATTCAAAATAAATAAGTTTAATGACAATTTCATTCAATGAAATAAACATTGAATGGAAAACATTAGTACGTTGAAATGTTTGTCAACAATCTGTTTGTTAACTTCATTTTCATACACGACAAGTGAATGATGTAAGAGATCAATGAGACTAGTTAATAGAATAAGAAGTTTTAAAAATGTCAAATCATTCTAGAATTTAACGACTGTTATGTAACTTTGATAAACTCAACTTGAAAAAGTAAAATTATTTCAATCGCCTTAATTTTGTCAGTTGATCTAAGATACCTTTATTGTATTGAATTAAGTTTTTAAAATAATCTACTTGATAAGATGGACAATGAATCCCTCACTTATATATTCATATACATGATAAATGTTAGTTTATTCATTACTATATCTGCCTATTGGTCGTTTCATTTTACTCTTGTGTCTAAAATAATTTATTCGAAGTACTTCGTTTTACCTTTTGAATACCGTAAATCATTGAGATTTATTATGATATTGATTGTGTGGTCATTATGTGTACGAACGCTCAACATATCCCTATAAACATTTGCTTGCAGAAATTATCTTAATTACTATCCATACTAGTCTAAATTCACAAAATTGATTTACTTTTTATCGCCAAACTGATAATTACATGATTATTGATGAATTTTGTTCTACAATAAAATAATAGAGTATATTGTTGTAGCTAATTGAACTCCATTATGTCAGGAATGAGACAGTTAACATTGATAATATCAGATGAACACATGAATTATTCAATTCAAAGTAGACAATAACACATTTTTATACTTATTGACATTACTTAAAATCTTGAATGTGTAATCATGAATACACATTACTGAAGAGTCTGTAAGTTTATGGACAAAACATTTCTTTAAATTAAGTTAAACAGTTACTGTTGAATAACTCTTGAGTTTTTTTCATTTGTTTTTATTTTATTCAAAAGATTACAATAAAAACTGAAAATTTAGAATTAGCTGCAAACTTAGTTCAATCAATCAGTCGACATTTCAATATAACAGAACTTTCAAGCACATGTGATTTTCCAGAACTATTTAATACATTAGAAGAACTAATTGAAATGGTTAGCAATGAGTTTTAATTTTGAATAAATTTACATTGGCTTATAACACTATAGATATATAATGACTAGTTATTTACTATAAATATTGTAATTGAAAATTGATAGCAATATTATTGAAACGTAATTCTATTACATATGAGTGCATCAATGTATATAGCTAGAAGGAGTTATAGTTTACATCTTTAAACGTTATGAGAATTTAATAATTGTGAACTTATATTAGTAGTATTATATTCATTGTTCAGATCACAATACTATTTAACTAAGTGTATTGCTTAGAAACTAGTATTTCCATGATAATATTTAAAAACAAATAAATTAGAAATTCCAGGAATGAAATAATAGTAATAGTAATAGTAGTAAGTAGCACATTAAGTGTATGCATACTTTGAATAGGACATATCAGGTGTTCATATTTTTTCACTATTAATTATATTTGTATATTGGTCTATATCTACTGAGGCTCCAGTTTATCATACAAAACGGAGTAGCACACATAATTCATATGCCTATGTCCTAAAACACATGTTAGTTCTTCTAGCGATTGTTTCCATTAGAGGTACTTAATCACACTGTAACAGTCAAGTGCTTTGTATATATGATGTTCTAGGTACTTGAATTAAATCACTTTCAACAGATCGTTATTGGGATGAAATCGTTGCTAAAGCAAACTGATTCTACTTTCCTTACATGTTTATTTCATAAAGTTTTATAAAGTCTTTGGAGAACATTAATGTTATACATCGTTAATATCTAGTTATTCAATGCCCCAAATACCCTGGTACGGCCAAGAGTGGGGTGAGTCAGATCAACCTCTCGAAATGCTCTCACATGGCCTCGTTCATACAACCACTGCCAGGGAAGTCCTACTCACTGCCTTCTCGTGGAATCTCTGTTGTTTACGAAATTGAGAGGACGAAAAGCGAATGTCCGGCGATTTAACCGGGTTGGTGGGCACGAAGAATCCACCTAGGGGAATTGGAAAAACCTGATTCCAAATCAATGGTGCACATGGGCTGCAGTATCCTGAAGGAACGAATGGAGTATGAACAAATCATTGATCACTGGCTACCATGGGATTGCATCTCCTGACGTTGCTTCAGTGCCTTGTGAATCAGACCTTTAGGTCAAATCCTCCGGGGTGTGGCTGCCTAATAGAACCACCTGCTTCAGTTTGAACACTCGGGCAGTATTCTAGTCCTCAAACAAATCGAATGATTTATATGGCGTATAGCTATTTGGTGCCTCTTGTACTAATGTTTATGTGTTTAAATAAATAAATAAGTATTCACCTAAATAGCGTACTATTTATATTCGTAAGATCATAGAGAGTTCAACACTTATTCTAAATTAATTTTCCGAAAATAAAATATGACCCATATCCTCTAAGTTAAAGCTTCAATTTTTGAACAAACCACAATAAGTATGCTTTTCAAATAACTTTTTTTTGTATCAAAACTACTGTTGATAAATTACATTGTGTTTATCACAACCATTCAATATTAGAATTATTAATATCATTCTTTTTATCTTGTTTTATAAAATATTTCGTTAGTCTAATGCTTATTCTTTAACTCAACAACAAATTTTGATGGATATGACAATTAAATCAGATGATATCAAAAGATTAGTTGTCAAAGCAGAAGACTATCGATTAGCCGGTAATTGGTATGTCAATCATTCATGATTTATAAATGTTTAAAACAACTAATCCATTTGATAAATTCAAGAAAGTGCAATAAGAAGACGATGATTATCAGAACTACGTAGTGCTAATAATAATAATAATAATAATAATAATAATAATAATAATAAATGAAATCAACGTTTTTAAGTGAACAGTGAGAAGTTATTTTGGTCCTTAGAACAAACTATAATAAATTGTATTTCTTTTTTCCATTTTAAAAGTTTGATGCCGAAATTGCACAACATCATAGAGTACTGATGTTGGAGATGAAATTAGAATTATTAAGGCTATCTGTCATTAAATTAACCAACAAGTATAGAATAAATTGAAAGTTCATCTCTAAAAACTTATGATTTCATAAAATATATCCGTATTAAATATAGAATAAATGGGATATAGGTAGCAATAGAATCCAGAAAATACATCTAGCTGAAAATTTTGAAAAAGGAAGAATGGCGCGTCGTGCATCGTACCGCTTATTACATTCCACCTGTGCTATAAAAAATTTGCATCATGATAGCTATATTGAGGCAAATCGCATATGACAAACGTGTGTCAACCAAGAGTGATCAAAATTTAGTGAAAATATCTACAACCATTGCAAACTAAATTATTTCCTTAAAAGTTGTTGGCTCAAAATAATATGATTAAAGCTAGATCTAACTACAGAATGAGTGAAAGTTAATAATTCACTAAATAGTTTCACACTGGAATAAAATCAGTTGTGATTGTCAGCTTTATGATTTTGTACTATACCGTTAAGTGATACAAATTAGTTTTTGATAATACAGTCTCATATTTCGTGATTAGATGTTGTTGATTGTTTCGATGGTTACTTCTACTTAGTCATGGACCCCTCGAAAACAGTGCTGGGAAATTTGAGGACCACTGAGTGAGCCATATTAAGATCAGGTACAGAGTAATATGCAATGATATTGCAACAAACTCATATTTGATACGGATTTTAACTGAAGGATATGTTAAAATAATTTCTTAATGGATGTGATCGTTTTTTGTCACTGAAACTTCAACATTTCACATTCAGTGCGTAATTCATCTTGAGTACAACAATTCCTATCCATTTCTTGTTTGTTCAAAGAATTTCGAAGAAAAATGTACCAAACGCTTTCGTACTTCAGCCTAAGTTTTGGAGTATTTGACCGGAGTATAGGTTGAAAACAATATATTAAGAAAACTTAGATCAGATGTACAGTTAAACAATCAATTTCTAGTCGATTGTTGCATCTGTAATCTTATTACATTAGTTCACTCTGGGACTCGAACCTAGTACCGTTCGCTTCAAACGCCACCGCGTTATACACTTAGCTACTGAGTCCTGATAGCCACTTGTATGTGCAATGGGGTGAAGTTTAAATTTATTTGATATTGTTTACTTGAATCTTCCCATTGATGTTTGGACTGCAATTGATAAGTCTCTTATTGGCAAATGTGCATATTGTGCGTATTGGCTTGATATTGCCTTAATTTACAAGTATTATAATCAAAGTTGGATAGTGGCTAGCAGTGGAATACAGGACGCACGTTTCGTCTTATTTAGGACTCGTCACCTGGATGTACCTGCATCTCAGAGTTGGTGTTCACTCCAGGACTCGAACCCAGTACTATTCATCAGAATACATTTGAATAATTTAAAAACTGAATATCAACACAACTTCAAATGAATAACATGGATGAAAAGTCGGCAATACAAACACGTAAATAATAATAACAGGTTAACAAAATTACTATTAAGCTGCTTCTGATTATCTGTAACAGTTTACCCAAAAATATAATTAGTTAACCGTAATTCTTCTAATTAAATATTTACAGAAAATTTATTGTTAACTGTACCATTCAATTAGTGATATCGTTTGAAGTTATCTTCTTATTACATTATTAAACTATTTCCATAACGGATATAATTCATATGATTTTATCATTAATTTTTCTTGAAGGAAATCTTTGAAAAAAACAATCCAGTTATTGTCAATCGCAAATCATGACCTTATGTCGAATTATTATTCACGGACTACTAATTATGAAGTTTCAATGGATTGCTTGAAATATATTAACCAAATCATTGAACATGTTAGTTCATTAAGAGGTAATTCATTTGACATATGTATATCAGCTATCATTGTGTTTAATTCAGGTTTTATATTAAATTAATTAGTGTCAAACAAATACACTAAATTTAAAGATATGAAACTTGAATTTCAAGTTATTTAAAATACCTGCTCTCTCAAACTAACCTCTCAATTTACGACTATCATTCCTTTTTAAACTAAGTATCTTAGTCCGTAAAGACGTAAGATTATAACATGTTTATTACAAGTAGAAACAAATTATTTTTTGTAAGAGTTTTGTTCCCTGAGCTGGATGGTTTTGTCTTGGAGCTTTCATCGTTCTTCAAAACGACCTCATTGGCACAAACTTCAGTAGGAATTCAAGTGTTCGAACTTCTCGAATATTTTTTGATGATAATGTCGTTCAAAAGAACAACGAATGCTTCACCAGCAAACCATCCAGCTGAGAGGAAAAAAAAGTCCTTCAAAATAATCCACTTCAGGTAGAAATCTTATTCAACATCTCAAAAAGACGTCAGACTTTCGAAATAGCACAGAATTAAATGATATAAAAATTAAGACGCTCAAAATAAATCTGCAACATAGTATAATTATGATTGTGTTGAACTGTTTTTGAACTACAATGGGTGTTCATAAAACATAAATCCATAATACATATACAAGATATACATTTAAAACCGACAATACTACTTCATTAAGTATCATTATTGATGTGTATAAAAATTCAGTAACGATTTTATCTTTCAAGTTGACCGATACATATTCCACATCACACCATAACTATTGATAATTAGTAGTATGTTATGCTACGAAATGTTTATAGTGAAATAAATTAGGTTAATATAAGAAAACTGTCTGTAATTCATAAACCATTCAATGTTGTATTTATTTGAATTTTTTATTATCATATTTTGCAGTTGGAAAGTTTAAAACAAATGTAATAACCATGTGTCATAACGCATTGAAAGAAAACAATATTGGAGCATTGAAGAAAATTTTTCGAACTGGTTCGAACTAAAATTTTAATTCTTCATTGACATGTGTACAGTGTGAATCGTTCGTTTAAATAATAAAGTTCATTGTCTTCTGCTTTCATCGTTCACATAAGAATGAAAGTGTTCAAATCTCAACAGAATTTCATTGATATTGACCTTTATAAACTAACTGAAGATGATGGTATAGATTAGAGGAAGGGTCGCCTTAACCTATTAAAATCTATCTGTGTTGAAATTTTCAGTTTTTGTTGCAATCGAATATTGTTATATATATCAGACAAACATTCGTAAGATCATCACGCGTCTCATTCTATTTGAGACTGTAGATATCACTTCTCATGAAAATCAAGCATGAACCTAGTACTCTTCTCTCCAAATATCAAATCGTTATCGTACGAGGATCTTATGCATCTCATCATAGACAAATCAAATTTGGTCTTGACTATTATCAACCAAAAAACAAATTTTCACAAACAATGATAGTCAAAGGTTCACATTCTGTAAATACGATGGACAATGTGTGAATAATTCGTTTAGTATCGTTTAAAACCATGGAGATATTGAAACGAATCTCGAAAATTTTACCACTGTATTAGATTATTATTATTATTATCAATAGAAATTCTTAACTTCATTTCAGGAATCTCAGATGAATAAATTATTGAGAGTCTGTGGGTTTAATTTCGATTGTGAATTAGACTTTCTATCAATCCAAGTTATTCTCCATATAACTGTACTCAACTATGTAAAATCTAGGATCTAGGACTCACAATAATTGCATGGTTGGTTTGTCCGACTATAATAATCTAATTAACTTGGGTATTTAATAGTAGGCAGTGTTTATGACTGTCATCTCACCGGATGTTACAAATTACAGGACAATTGGTGACTGAAAAAAAACAACAGCACAACTTAAAATGCTTCTACTTTTTCAACTGGATACTGAGCTTAATTATAATTTATGATCCAATGGTTTAATGTCCATTACTTTTACCACTAGATCAAACCATCACCAACTGACAGTCTCGAAAACTGACTCACAAAAGAAGTGGTACACACTTTACCTATCAACCTTAAGACGAAATAAAATCGTCGTCTACATACAAAAGTTGAAGTCAGAAATGAGAGGAATCCATGAGGTTTGCCAAGGCTCTATAGTTTTTAATCTGCAATAGATGTTCTGCTAGAGATAACAAACTCACCGTCTGACTTTGAAGGAGTCGATCTCTTACGAGGAGAATCACTTATTGACTTCGAATATTCGGATGATAGAGTTCTGTTTGGCGAGAATGGTGATAAAATGCAATCTTCTGATCGCCTTGAGGAACAAACGTACACATGTTTGTGATGCGTTTCTGCCCATCCAAATACAAAGTGTTGTTTTAGAACTGGTAAGTGTCAGAGCCTAAACTAACAATGGAATCTAAGGTAGTCGACCACTTCATCTACCTGAGAAGTTTCGTAACTCCTGACAGATTAGTGTTTGATGGAATCTTGGGACGGATCCAGACAACTCGACCGTTTGTTGCATACTTGCTCCACTTATAGCGTATGTTGGGACTATCGAACAAACAATGATGAGGTTAGATAAAAAATAATGAGTAAAAATGCCAAATCGGTTGACGGGTCTTTAGATCTTCATAGACTGAGCGGGTGAAAACATGCATTACGTATATTCATTCCCCCTCCACTTCAACGACCGATGTTGGATAGTGTTGTATTTTGCAGAAGATCAGGAAGAGATTAAAGAAAACGTGATATCAGTTCATGAAGTCTTCAAAAAATGAACTGAGTTACGTAGGCATGTATATTCTATCTCCAGTTTTTAGTTCCGGAAACAAGGAAACATATCATGTTAGGTCTTATTACTGTATTCTTCTCACCCAGAGGTTTTCATTTCGCATACATGGATCTGCGAAATAGCTTAAAAAACCAATTTCTCTAGTACTCGTCCCGTTATAGCGGTAGCCGTTATTTCGTTGTGTAGCCGTTACTTTATCCATCTCATTATCTACATTATCCTCAAAACAATAGTCTGACTCTATGGCTGAGACACTTGACCACATTCATCTTGTACTGAAGAGGTGTGAAGCTATGGAAGTGGGTATATTGGCTGTCTCAGATATTGTGAATAAACCACATTTCACAGAACGTTCCATCTCCCTGGAAAGGAGAAAAATTATCAACGGGTATTGAATCTAGTGAAGATCTCAACGCTTCTCCATTTATTTCTCTACAAATTCGTTATTAGACATGAATTGGGTATCCGCGATGCATGTAACCGGAAGCTACTATATGTTCATTGTCGGCATAAGTAGCCTTGATTTATTTCTTAAAAGCTGTTCGCATGTGTAATCGATCGTTTCTGTCAGTGGAACATCCCTGAAGCTATATGTAATGTGCGGAGAAAACATAGTTTTGTCGGTGACATTCACATTTTTTACTACATCTACAAATTATAAACGTCTTTAACGGTATATTTCATGAAGTTTCGGTGTAATTATTTCTGTAATTTTACCAACTTTCGCACTGTTGACTGTTATGATGTGTTTGACATATCTAGAATCGGAAGTATAGGAAACTCTGGATTGTGAACGAATTGTGCGAATAAAAAAATTCATGTTATCACTCCGTACCTTGCCTCAATTTCATCAGTAACTTACTCACTAGTGGTAAGGAGACAACCAAAACGACTGAAGAAATACACACTCTAAACTACATTAATCAATGTAGAGAGACTAAACACTGACGCAGAAAAGCCTTTCGGGTGAAACTTATTCATGTCATTCTTGTAGTGCTAATCACAATTTTCAGAAAACTGGATTTCACCAACCTATTCTTTAAATAAAATCAAGCTAACAAAATACTCATAGCTCATAAAGAAAATACGATAATTCATTGACTGGAAACACCGGAAGAGGTAAATGTCACTAAAAGAAATCAAACGAAAATCAAAGTGGATGCGTTCAAAAAGTGAAACATAATAGCGTTGAATCAATGAAGATCTATTCTTATTTGGTACGCCAGAGGCAAAATCCAAACAAATGGAAAATGAAATAATATAAAGCAGTCCCAATAACACTATCCAAAGATGATAAAATATTTAAAAAACTAAAGACATGAAATTCAGAAATGATATACATATTGAATAGTATGAATAGCTGAGTAAGTGTTTCATAAATATCTGAGAACAAAGCGGAAGCAATCTATTCTAGCATTCAAAATGCTATCATCAGTGAAGATTATACACCTAAATGCAGAGAGTTCAACTACCGTAGTATAAATTACAAGAAAGCGTATTAGAAAGGGCAGTAAAGAAGGCGAACTCCAAGATAGCACGCAACACAAAAATAAGAACATTAGAAAGAATGATAAGAATAAAGAGGTAATTCCTTGAAAAGCTTGGACTAGATTGTCAGGCGTAAAGTTGGATTTACTTCAAAGTTCATTCGCTGAGATTTTACAAGTACATTCCTCCTCTTTAATAAAGAGGTTATATTCAGTAAAACTCACAACAATATAAGGTAGACATCTTGAAGAAAACACCAAACACCTATAAGAATACAATTACAGAATTAAACTTAATAAACAAATGTCTAGTTGAGTCCCGTCGAGATTTGCAAAAGAGAAGCTAAAATCATTCCGGTTATTTATTTACTTATTCATTTGAACACGTAAATGTTGGCACAAGGGGCACCAGATATATATGCGCCACACAAAACGATGAGAATGGGAAGAGAAAAATAACGTAAGGTGCGTATAAGAAAAAAAAGAGAACAATTACGAAGACAGATTAGTGTATGGTGGCACAATAATGATAATAATAATACTAATAATAATAATAATAATAATAATAATAACAATGGGGGAAACGAAAAGGTACAACCAGAAAGATTTCTTTCAGTTATAGAAGTTACAACAAATTTTATGAAGAAAGTAAAAGAAAATTACAGCAGTATCGCCACCGGTTTCTATTCTGAGCCATATCTGATAACGTCTCTACCCACTGTGTTGCACCATCTCTCAGACCCCAGCCAGGGAGTTGTGAAGGACAGACAGGAGCCAGCACTTTGCAGATTTCTTTCATACCCCGACATCATGTCATACACTGACCACCTCTACGCTTTTTCCAACCAGTCCCAGAGTCGGCAAATAATGCACGATGTGGAATTCTCTGTGACGACATTCGTAGAACATGTCCAAGCCACCGAAGTCGGTGTTTCAAGATGGTGACACCAATTGCATTATCGTCTCTGTGCCCGAACACACGATGCCGAACCTCTGCATTAATAACATGGTGTTGCCACTGGATGTCAACGATCCTTCGGAGACAATGATGACCAAACACAGAGAGTCGTATAACGTCCTCAACTCGAAGAAGCCATGTTGCACAAGCGTAGAGCAAAACTGCTCTGACCGACGCATTCTAGATGCGACCTGTTACACTCAGACTGACATTACGAAGCACCAAAGATGGTCCAGATTGGCATAAGCCATTCTGGCTTTCACTATACGTGCATTGATCTCATCACTCACGCCAACACCAGCACTCACACAGCTACCCAGATTCACGAACTTCTCGACCACTTCTATCTGCTCACCAACAATGGTGAGTACGGGATTAGAATCCTGCCAGTCTTATAGAAGTACTTTTCACTTCAAAGGTGCAAAGCACATACCGTACCTATGGACACTGATTGCCAACTGAATAAGTACGGATTGCATGGCTTGGGCATTATCGCACAGTAAGATAATATCATCCGCATACTCAAGTTCCAGAAGCCTTTTTCCAGACAACAGATCCACACCGCCATTACTTACATCCATCAGAGCTACTTCCAGAATGTCATCGATGGAAAAGTTGAAGAAGAATGGTGAGATTGGACAACCCTGTCTAACCATACTGCTTGAATGGAACAGTGGAGAAAGGTGGTTGTATGCCCTCACTCTACTTGAGGTGTTTGTATATAGGACCTTTATGGTGTTAATAAACTTCTCAGGCATACCCTTCTTCAATAGACAATCCCAGAGAACAGTCCTGTCTAACAAATCGAAGGCAGTCCTGGTGTCAAAAAACACTACGATTGTTGGCCTGTGATAAGTATGACGGTGTTCTAACATTTGGCGGAGGGTGAATATATGATCAATACATCCTCGACCAGAGCGAAAACCAGCCTGCTCCCCGCGAGTCAATCTTTCTCGGTTTTTGAACAACCTATGAAGTATGACGGGAGCCAACGGTTTGGACGCAATCGAAAGTAGACTTATCCCCCGATAGTTGCTATAGAGAGAACCTGAACCCTTTTTAAAGATAGGGACAACTATTGACTCATTCCATGATGTTGGAACACTATCTAGCTCCCAGACCTTTGTAAACAACGTTGTCAGTTCCTTAACCAGAAAGTCAATGGATGATGATAGTGATTGGCATCCCGCCAACCCCGCAGATTGTTTCGCTCACACCAGACTTCTTGCTGCAAGTGGCTCGGATGAGTTGAAAGAGCTTCCAGTAGTTACCAGATGCAGCTGCTGCTTCCAGCTCATTAGCAC